TATTATTTTGTTTTAAAATTGGGTTGTATTAATTGATATTTAATGTTATAACATATATAAGATGTGTATATTGAAGTAATTGATGTATCTATATATATATATGTAAAGATTTATTATATATGTATAAATCGACCTATTTTTCTAATCAACTCCTATTTCATTCCATTATGAATCATTAATTTCTATCATTTATAATCATTATTGTATTTAGAAATCCTTGGCCCTGCTAATTTAACTCTTGGTACCCTATTTGTGTTCTTTTAAATAGACCACAGCTTTAGGGGTGTGGAAGTGTGCCGGCATCACTATGTTAATAGTCCTTCACGTTTAAAGTGCGCTTTCGCTCCAGCTCCTTTCAACACATCTCGACTTTCCTTTGCTGAAGTCATTAAATGCTCCTGCAAATTAGCTAAATCGCTCTACTAAATAGTGAGATTAATAAACTACTTTCGGTTTTTGTTTATTTTTAAACTGCATATGTTGGAGCTATCAGTTTTCATGATGATAATTCTGTCCAACCATATTCACCAAATATTAAACAAGACTTAACCATAAATACAATTTGACTCTCCCTAATTCAAGAAAAAGTAGAAGTACTCTTGCCATATAAGTACAAAGAGTTTTTACGGTAGCTTTTTTCTCATTTTTGAAATTGACAACTTTTTATGGCTGGCACAATTTTATAAACGTGAAGGACTGTATCTATCCACTAGGTTAAGAGTTAATAAGCTGGGTCTATTAGTTGATAACTTAGATGTATTAACAGTATTCTAACAATTGCTTCCAGTAAATTATTGTACTTTTATTTATGTTTTATAATCTATATATTGGTGTACATGTATGCATGTTTATGATTATTTGCAATCGTCAAACATCTTCAAATTTTAAAAGAGTTATGTATTTTTGAAATGTGGTTGTGTTGTCACCCCTGGCCGTAGGAAAACAATTCTTTGTGGACACTAAAGCAAGACGAGAAAGCCTTTTGATTTTCAACGATTTCCAATAATTACATTCAGAGTTTTGGCCCTTGATCAGTTTAGAAATTTTTAAACTCCTAGATGGGCATCCCCTCAAGTATTAGTGATGGTCATATTTAACATAGTATTATTAATTAATAAGAGTTGTATAGGGTAAATTTTGTCTATACTACATATAGGCCTCCTAGTCTTATTACAAGCAGATATTATATTTGTAACCCGGTTTCCAACATTTTTAACCGGGAATGTCTTTCATTGATGAAAACCACAAATCTGGTTAGATAAACAAAAAGCACAAATCTGATTAGATTTACCACATAAATGAATAACTGGACTGTATTTATTATTAGAGAAATCCATAGCATAAAATCTTTAACATAAATTATTGGTGCATGATTAACTTATTTCTGCCCATATATATGAATGTAAAAATATGTAGATTAACAATCTGAAAAGCATTCCAATCCTTGGACCACGATTTAATTGTAGATTTCTATGTATTGATGAATTAATTTTATATAATTTCTTTGCATAATTATTAATATTTGGTAGTACCTGCCCAATTGTTACCTAAATACATGTGGCACAACTGTTAAGATTTTCAATTGAATTCGGTCCACCATAATTTTATATTTGTTAATTAATATTGTGTACTTTTGTTAATGACTTGTATTACCTTGTCTTTATTTTTTCTTTTTTCGTTTTGTGCAATACATTGTAATAAAATTTGGTTAATTTCATGAAAGTGTTCTCAGAGGTTTTTCCCACCAGATGACTATGCACACTTCCCGGTGGGTTAGGCATGAAAAATCCTAATAGTTCTTGCATATCCCATGCTGGGATCCGGCCCATTCGACCAATATTACAGATACCACTGCATTTGTCAGTTGTAATCTGATTAAAACACAGATCCTATTTTGTTTCTTTTTTATACACCCACATGGAAATCTGGACGTATATTGCTGTCGTCCACAATTTCTTGTAAATGCTCTAACGCCAAAAGTTATCATCCGATTGTTTTAAAATTGATATATACTATTCAAAAAAAGTAGGGGATATTTGATTTTTAAGTGTTATTAAAGTCACCTAATGAAACTGACGAAGAAACAAATGACAAAATGAAATGAAGTTCACATTCATCGATTTATTCCAAATGATCGTTAGACTAAGTAAGGCACAAACTGACCATTATAAGGGTAAAATGATACCCGGGGTCAAACAGCAAAGTTACCACAGCATCACAACCAAGTCAGTAACGGGTAAATCCTCCTCTGTTTGCCAAACAAGCATTGATCCGACGTGGCATACTCCTAATGAGACGTCTACGGTCATTTTGGTCCAGATTGTCCCATTCCTGTTGCAACGCAGCAGCAAGTTCTTGGACATTGGCAGGACGTTGTTGACGTTGACGTAACCTCTGTCCAAGCATGTCCCAGACATGCTCGATGGGGGAGAGGTCGGGACTCAGTGCTGGCCAAGGTAATGTGGTGATGTTCTGTTGTTGGAGGTAACCTGTAACGATCCTGGCCCTGTGACATCTTGCGTTGTCATCCTGGAAGATGAAACGGCGGCCATGACGTCGTGCGAACGGCACAACATGGACTGCCAAGATGTTGTCCCGGTAGTACTGGCCTGTAACACGCACCCTGCAACAACATGTAAAGCCGTTCTTCCAGCAACAGTAATGCCTCCCCACACCATAACAGAACCACCCCCAAATCGATCATGTCTGATGACGTTAACGTCTTGGAAGCGCTCGTTTCGACGACGCCACACCCTCCTACGTCTGTCCAAAAAATCAACAGTGAACCTTGACTCATCTGAAAACATCACATTGCTCCAGCGTCGATTATCCCAGTGTTGACGATCCCTACACCAACGACGTCTTGCCTGAATGTGATGATCTCTCAAACAAGGGATCACGCGAGGACGTCGGGCGCGAAGGTGACCCCTATGCAGTCGATTCCGAATCATTTGGCCACTCACTGTCACACCAGTGTCTGTTTGAAGACGAACGCTGATCTGATTTGCTGTGATGACACGATTTCTCAAGGCCAAGGTACGGATAAATCGATCCTGGGCTTGAGTTGTCGCCCTGAGCGTGGTCTGTCCTGTACAGATTGTGTATCACGGTATCTGGACCATAGCCTGCTTATGACAGACTGAGAAACATTCATCGTCCGTGCCACAACCGCCTGTGTTGTGCCGATCTGTAGCATGCCAAGGGCACGTAACCTTTCATTTTGGGTAAGCCGACGCATATCAAAATTTGTTTTCTGGTCACTAAAACAATTAAACTGATGTTTCCACCATGGAATTCAATGCCACAATGACTAACATTCAAAGTCAGAGTCGTGCAAATCTTGGGTTGGACCCCCATGATGATCCCAAGCATCACCTGCATTCCATGCGGTAGCTATTGGTGCGTTTGGGCGTCACATGTAACTGGAAATGTTTCTTCTGTTAAGTTCTATAGTGACTTTTTTCGTAGTCATTTGCATATTTTAGTATTATGCCCCCAAAATCAAATATCCCCTACTTTTTTTGAATAGTATATGTTGAATTTCAGCAATTCCCCTTAATTACTTATAGAGTTAGACCCTTGTTTCAATTTGTTGCACCTTGTAAACGCTCTAACATCCAAAGATATTTGCCGATCTGTATGAAATTTATATGCGTCATTTAAATTAGTGAAAAGTAGAATTCTATTGAACGTCAGCAATTTCTGTTAATAACTTCTAATAACCCTTGTGAATGCCGATCTGTATGACATTTGTATGCATCATTTAAGTTAGTAAAAAAGAAATATCCTATTGAATTTCAGAAATTTCCGTTAATTTCATCTAGAGTTCTGGCCTTGTTTCACTTTGTTGAATGCTCCAACGCCTAAAGTTATCATCCCATCTTCGTGAAATTTATACACATTTAAATTAGTGAAACGAAGAATCCTATTGGATTTCATCAATTTCTGTTGATTACTTCTAGAGTTATGGCCCTTGCTTCACTTTCTTGCACCTTGCGAATGCTCTATCATCAAAAGTTATTTACCGATCTGTATGAAATTTATATGCAGCATTTAAATTAGTAAAAGGAAGAATCCTATTGAATTTCAGCAAGTTGAGAACGGCAAGAGGAACTTGTCGAAACTAGTGTGAAATAAACCCAGTGATTGTTTTCCATATAAATTTGTGTTTTATATCATGCTCAATTACTAAATGCCGTATAAGGATTTAATTATCTTTCTGTCACTGGAACTTGTATCAACCACACCTACAGATCTGAACCCCATTTGCACAGTTAAGTTGTCAGTGTTTTCCGCCGTATAGTAGTTTGCCCTTATTAGTGGCACAGGACAGGGCTTTGCAAGGAAAACCTGTACGCATTTGACAGCATGTAAAATGATCTCGGGATTACCGTCCTACATCAACTGGGATTATGAAGAGAGACATACGTCATAGAGAGAGAAATGGGGTTTAACGTCCACTTGACACAAACTATGTCATTTCGGGACTAACATATGGTTTAATTTTATTTCAATAATTTGTTTGCGCGTAGGGGTCTTTAGCAGTGGGAGGAAACTGGAGAACCCAAAGAAAACCCACGAGGTTGGACAGGCGACCCTACTCCTTGTCACATACAACCGGTTAATTGAAACCCCACCAGTTGACTCATTACAGAATTGTATGATACAGCGCGCACATGCTAACCCATTCAGCCATCCAACACCCCCCCCCCCCCAATACGTCATAGAATGTGCTATGAGGAAAGATTTGCCCCGACAACGGCGCTACAGCCTACTCTTATATTGAATTCCAACTGTCAATGTTTCTTTCACGTGTGCAGGACCTCAGTTCTCCATCTCATCCAAATGACTATATGTTGTCCCTTGCCAGGCTCATTATCTATTTTGTAACTATTTAAGGGAGAACTGTGAGCTCTTTATCTAAATCTTACATAATGCATTTTGAAGCAAACGTTACTTAAGTTCCAGGATCATTTCAATTCAAAGGAAAAGACAACTGCATCTTTCCAAAAGGCTTTTATTTAGAAGTCAAATGTAATCAGACATCTATTTTTTTCCTTTAGCAGGTGCTGCTTTTTTGGCGGGTGCCTTCTTGGCTGCCTTCTTTACTGGCTTCTTGGCCTTTGGAGCTTTTGGCTTTTTCAAACCCTTCTTTGCCAAAAATGCCTTTCTTTTAGCAGCATTCTTCTGAATCTTCTTGGATTTAGGGGCCTCTTCCACTGGTGGTAACTGTAACAAAATGAAATTCTATTCAACAACAGATCTATTATATCCATTAACTGATCTTATAAATATAAAATTCTATCTTTAGTTAATCAATTCAATACTATTTAAGATCAAGATATACTTACACCACGTTTCTTATTCAAGATATTGGTTCTTTCACGTTCACGTTTTTCTTCTATTTTCATCTGGACTTTAGCATAAGGATTAAGACGAATCATAACAGAACGATTTTTCAAAGGATTCTTTTTCAAAACTCGTCTTCTACGATTATGACTGAAATGAAGCAATAGAATAAAAGTTCTAGATCTGATATTAAACTGGAGTCTAAATATTTGAAAATATATAATAAACAAAATTGAAATATTTAAAAGACATTCCTTTCAGAATATATCTAAATGGTCAGAATTTTGATCCTTCAGGGCAGAATTGTTTAATAATATGGTTTAAATAGCTATATCATTGTATTGGTCATATAAATATTCAAATGTGAATAAATTTTCAAGGCTATGCAGACATGTCTTCTTCAATATCAATTAAAACTGATGGAATTCAATCTATTTTTGTCTATGAAATATTTATTAATACTAATTAAATGAAATAAACAGTATTAAAATATACTGATTTGAAACATTTATGTTTCTAGAAACATAATCCAGAAATTGATAATTTGAATAATATCTGAGAAGTAAAACCATTATCATGTTTGACCACCAAGTAACTGGTTTTGACAAATTCGAATAACATTTAGAACTTGTTCAGTGTAAGACTTTGTTTATGCTCATTTCATGAAAGGAATTAGATTTGCAGAGATGGATGACCTAACTACCCTCAAAAGGGATATATCTTTAAAGTTAAAATAAAACTTACATTGCTGGTCGTACAACTGATGTTATTTCATCACTCCTCAATAATCGCATAAGATCAGTATTTGTCATTTTAGTTGATGGTAAACTGAAATGCATTAAAACAGAAAACATAAATTGTTTGTTCTATTTCGAAATATATTTTGATCTGCATTAATAACTACCGCACATAGAATTATATTTTGTTGTAAATGCCAAGATTTGCATTAATAATTATATCATTTTAATGCAAGCAAAGAAACCTACTTAAAATGTTTTTTCTCGGTTGATGATTTTTTCCATGTTCCATATATATTATCTAAAGCTCTGAATGCTCCTTCTGTCCAAATAGTGAAACGACCAACATGTCCACCAGGAGCAACTTTTAAAAGATTTAGTCTAGAAACATCAAGTAATGTGACACCTGCAATAGATAATTTATATTGTTAAACCATACACTTTTTGATAAAGATAGCATCAACAAGCATAAATTTAATGACCTACAAAATTAGAATTTCTTTTGCTATGGCACCAACAATCAGAAAATGCTGGGCGCAACAACATGAAAAGACCATAACTGAAATTTCTTCAATAAGGCCAATATTTTCAAAACTGAGCCTTTGTCAAAATGTGTATGAAATACCAAATTATAAAGGTAAACAACTATAAGGGTTTTGCCATAGATCGTTAATTCCGCGAACTGTATCCCATTAAAATCAAACAATGAAACTTTGGCAACGTCCAAATTTAACAAAGATCAAAAGCAATTTTGATCTGTGGCATAATTCAACCAATTTACTAACCTGGAACATTTCTAAATGCGCGACAGATACCATTATTTTTATTAAAAACTACAAGTGGACCTTTTCTCATAAGTTGACGTCTGTTCCTCAATTTACCTTTACCTGGTCGCATACGTTTGGATGCATAAACCTTTAAGATAAAATTAGACAATCATTAACTAACAATTTATAAGAGAGAGAGAGAGAAATGGGGTTTAACGTCCACTCGACACAAACTAGGTCATTTCGGGACTAACATGGTTCAATTTTATTTCCATAATTCGCTTGCGCGTAGGGGTATTTAGCGGTGGGAGGAAACCGGAGGACCCGGAGAAAACCCACAAGGTTGGAAAGGCGACCCTACTCCTTGTCACGTACAACCGGGGATTCGAAACCACGCCAGTTGACTCAATGACAGACTTAATGATACAGTGCGCACATGTTTACCACTAAGCCATCCAACCCCCCTACAATTTATAAGCTTTTTTAAAATACATACAACACAATTTATCAAACTACTTCAGTAAAACTTATAACAAAAAGTTATTGCAAGTTTAATTTTTTAGATAATATTTTTATTTCCAAGACAAAAACTTGTCTGTTTGAATGCAAACTAAAAGTAAGCAGTAGTATCGCTGTCAATGCGAAATTTCCCTGTAGGTCAAAGCATTGTGTATGCCCATTTTCATTAGCCTGGATGATGCATAAACCCCACTTTATTTCATGTAATACAAATGTCTTCACGTATTATATTGTGTCCTGTCCACAGGTTTCTCTTGTGTAACTGTTAATGTGTGTTGCAGTCCTCCTGCAATTACTATTTATTAAGACATTAGAATTACACTAGAGAAATCAATGTACATTAATATACCTTTTGAATGTCAACCCAGGCCTTGAGTTTTTTCATCAGTTGAACTGCTTCTTTTGTTCTCTTGAATTCTTCAATTTTGTCAGAAATAACAAGTGGTACTTCAGAAATCTCTTCAATTCTGTGACCTGAAATGTTTTATCAGAAGAAATAAGAGATTATCCCTATTACTTCTATATGTAGATCTGTTAACACTGGCTTTTTTTTATGATTAATTCCTTTTTAGAAATTTCAAAATGGGTTATGTTTAAATGACGTGAAAAGTATTCTTTGGACAAAATTAAGTAAACTGTACCTTTAGACATAACAAGAGCTGGAATTCCAGTAGCAGCAACAGCAGAACAGATGGCATATCTTTTCTGTGTCACATTGATTTTACGGTGCCATCTTCTCCATGTCTTGGTAGGAGCAAACATTCTACCACCTCGGCACATGTTTCCAAATGCTCCCTGACCTGAACGGTGAGTACCACCTCCACGGACACGAGGAATACGAGCGACGGCTCTACCAGTACCCCAAGATTCAGCAGATGTTTGATGACCTGCAAAATACGTAAACACAGCAAATGTTAATGAAACATTAAAAATAAAACAATTAGCTCAAGTATGAAATATTCAGAACTTTATTATACTGACAATTAAAATTGATCTTTTACCTGCTTTCTGGGAGACGGCATATGGTTGCCTTGTGTTCTTCAGCATTTCAAAATGCACAAAGTTGACAACATCTGGCCTTATAGGAGCTCGGAACACAGCTGGGAGAGCAATATTGGTACCAGTTCTCTCTCCCTTTTCATTGTAAACAGACACTAAAGGTCTTGCCGCCGACTGAAATACAGAAATATTCATTGTTAAGTAAACTTTCTGTCAATTACAAGGGGAAGAATTTTCACGCTGCTAACTTCCATGCTGCTGCTAATTTGAGAGGTCAGTGCAGACATTGTTTGTTACAGACTAAGTCCCAGACATCCTGCCTTAGATGGACCAATCAGAGAGAAGTTTTAGCATCCACTCAACATCCTAGGCAGAGGTCACAGTGGATCAATTTCGAGTTCCATAAAAATATGAAGACATTCCAAAATTTTGCGTTTTTGCCCTCTACATATGCTGGACTTGCAGCCCCTCAAAATACTCAATATAAGTAAGTTTAAGTATTGAATGTCTGGATAAAAATACCTATTGACTGATTGAGACTACAGTAGCAGTGTGTAAATGCCGCATAAAGCAATTAGATTGATGATGTGTAGCATACATGTACCTACATGTACAACAAAGATATAAATTATAATAATAATAGAATAACTTTATCGGTAATCTACTTAGGCCACCTAAAAAAAAATAGTTGGTGATCGTCCTTTTTTTCAAAAAATGTGGGAGGGAGGGAGGTTTTTATTTCTTTCTTTTTTTAATGAATATACAGAATAAGCAATATACTTCAGGAATATTAACCTTTTATTTCATGTCAACACATAACTCATCTGCATATAAAGCCGCTGATCGTCATTTGAATTGTTCAGATTAATTATTTAAACTTTAGATATTCCGGCTTGGGTTTAATATCAGATAATATAAAGAGATTTATAACTGAATAGTGTTGTCACGATTACAAAATTCTTGAATCGGTTAATCGGCCAGCCAAATATCGTATCGGTGTCGATTAATCGGATGTCGTATAAATCTATAATGGCATTATGTCTGTACTGCGCTCCGTGGTTTTTTTCTTGTGATTTTTTTTTAATAAGTAAATTATAAAATGGCGCATGAACACTGAATAGCTGATTGTATATCAATGTAGTACATTTCGTTGAGTTTGTCCTAAATAGATGTTGGAATAAATTGTTTAAATTGGCAATAAACAACATTTACTAAGTCATTAGTTTTGATATTTAATTACGCGATTGAGATGAGTAAGACAGTCCTGTGTTCTGACTTACCCCCACAGCTTTAACTACTAATTAAATATCCAATACTGGCAATAGATTACAATTCACTAGTACAACAATTCCCGTACATAATATTTTAACATATATAGCGATAATCATATTGACGAAAAACAACAAGAGAAGCCGCGGAAGACAGCAAAAATAGAAAAGAACACGTGTCATTTAAAAAGACGGCAACATATGCCGAGGGGGGCGAATAGAAGATCCTCGTACACAGGATAGAGGAGTCTCGTACACAGCAACGGCACATTCTGATTGTGAATTAAATAATAAATTACAGCTGGATTTAAAATTAATTTATACTGGAGCAGTGTTTTCTTCTTTATAAAACGGTATTTTATTAAAATTACATTGGCAGTTTATCACTCATAAAAAGGCATAGCCAACTTCCCTGTCTCGAGCGGCATGCATTCAGTCCATGTATTATAATGCCAATGATTATCATGTCCGTTGTTGACAGCTATTTCGTGCCAAAATCAACCATTTTACACATTTCGTAGTAAGATATGCCTAATATGGTAGGCGAAGAATTCCATGCGACATTGAGATCGTGCCACTGTAAATGGGAATTTCTGTATAGTCTCAAACGACGTACTTACGTAGGGCCCTACTTTCTATACGGTTTTAATAGGCAGCAATTTAGCAGTGTGTTTAGCAGACAGTAAAAGTCAAACATTATATGTAATTGTATAAATATAAATTGGATGAAACGACAAACGATTTTTCAAAATGTGAATTGGTTTGAGCTAGAAACCGAATCGACTACGACTAAACCAATTAATCGTGACAACCCTATAACTGAACACTTAGGCCTATAGGTGGTGCTGACTGGTTTAATGTTGCAGGATATCAAATGTTGCAAAATTTTCAATTCATATCATGTCTTTGGACTGATATTCTTTGTAGACATTCAACTTTCATAATATTGTATTTTGTGAAAAGTAAGACCAGACGAACCCGTAAAGTGTGTGAAAAAAAAAACTGAAAAAACAAGCCAACAGTGAGGCTGATGTCCCCCGCCAAAATACCAAAATAAATAGATGACACATTAATTTATCGCACATTTATTTTTTTTAAAGTATCAAGCAATCAAACTGATTATCAACTATACACTTAAGTTTCATCACTCTCTATCAAAGTTATCTTGTCCTAAAGCATCAACCAACAAGGCATTGACCTAAGGCTGACCTTAAAAATATCTTTGTTTCGCCTAACGCGACCGACTAACTAAAACCACCCCCGACTTAAATTATTTTATTGCACTTTTCCACGATCTTTTTATTTTATTTTGTGTGTCAACCTGAAATATATCACGAGAGTTATTTCCCTTTACTATGGCTATGGTTTGATTCATTATTGAAACTGGTTGATCAAGACGAAAGCGTCATAGGTGTCGCTTCTCAACAAAATGGTTGCAGACGAATACACGTCCATTCCCACGAAATGATTCTGCTTCTATGTCTGTGGTGCGTAGTTTTAAACATGACGACGATATTTTCAATATCCGTTTTCGAGAAAAATGAAGGCACAACCCGCAGTATCGTTAAAAACGTGTTGAAGGAGTTTCACACTTCAAGTTCGTGGCAAATCGTTTGCGAGTCGGGCATCACGAAAAATTCCCGATGTCATTCACTCATTTATTTTTTTGCCAATTGAATAAAGAAGACGAATGTTTCCACCCGGAAAATTATTAAGTTCGTTACTTTTTACGTCAGACCCCAAATTCATTAAACAAAATTAATGAATCTGTAGTATACAGCTAATAAGTTTTCTGTATTGATTTTACTAACTTTAAAAAAAAAATCTGAAAAAAAACCGACCTACCGACCCTTCTCCTCGATTGTGGGTCGGGTTTGGTGAAACAAAGATATTTTTAAGGTCAGCCTAATCAACACATACACCAAGTTTGAACATTCTAGCTCAATTAGGAAGAGAGTTATCGTGCCCCAAAGTATCAACCAATCAAATTGCTTATCTCTGCTTACCCTAAGCGGAAAATGCTCATCTAATCAAATTGCTTATCTCTGCTTACCCTAAGCGGAAAATGCTCATCTTCGAACTCCATCAAGGCATTGACCTAATCAACACATACACCAAGTTTGAACATTCTAGCTCAATTAGGAAGAGAGTTATCGTGCCCCAAAGTATCAACCAATCAAATTGCTTATCTCTGCTTACCCTAAGCGGAAAATGCTCATCTTCGAACTCCATCAAGGCATTGACCTAATAAACACATACACCAAGTTTGAACATTCTAGCTCAATTAAAAGTTATCGTGTCCCAAAGCATCAACCAATCAAATTGCTTATCTCTGCTTACCCTAAGCGGAAAATGCTCATCTTCGAACTCCATCAAGGCATTGACCTAATCAACACATACACCAAGTTTGAACATTCTAGCCCAATTAGGAAGAGAGTTATCGTGTCCCAAAGCATCAACCAATCAAATTGCTTATCTCTGCTTACCCTAAGCGGAAAATGCTCATCTTCGAACTCCATCAAGGCATTGACCTAATAAACACATACACCAAGTTTGAACATTCTAGCTCAATTAGGGGGATCACGTGGCTAAGTGGGTAAGGCGCTAGCTCGCTAGCCTGGAGGTCGGGTGTTCGATCCCTGCATTGGCCGAGAAAGTTCATCCAGATTTTCCGGCGTGATTCTCCCTTGTCAGTGATGCAGGACGGAGGGGCTGACAAGGAAAGCTGTCTAGTCGTTCGGATGGGACGAAAAACCGAGGTCCCGTGTACACATTGGCGTGCACGTAAAAGATCCCTTGGCAGTTGGAATTCGATATAAGAGTAGGCCGTAGTGCCGCTGTCCGGGCAAAATTCCCCTCATAGCACACTGTATGGCGTATGCCCGTCTTCATTAGCCCAGGTTAGGAGCAGAACAGTAGGACGTTAAACCCCATTTCATTTCATTTCATTTCATAGCTCAATTAGGAAGAGAGTTATTGTGTCCCAAAAAGTGTGACGGACAGACAGACGGACAGACGAACCCATTTTAATAGTCCCCTGCTTTCTTCGAAAGGCGGGGGACAAAAAACATTTTGCATAATGACTTACGATCACTAGATCTAATGATCAGTCGATTTAGTCATTCATACCACCAATGGCCATTCCTAAAAATCTGTTACATTTATTCGAGAGACTGTTCCATGTCATTCAGAATCGGCGAGACGTATTCCCATCTTAACATATAGTTCCAGGTTGTATTGTATTCAAATTATTTTATTTGGTGCTGTACGCGTGCAAACGAAAATGTCGGCCATTTCATTCAGTCCTACGCATTTGAACACGTGTCAATAATTATATCCACTTCATTAATTCTTGCGCTTAGGAATTTCTTAGTCTGGCTACATTTTGTAACTTTAACCATTGGTTTTAACCATCGTAAGAAGGTAAATTTTGAAAATAAAAAAAAATTCTGGTCGGGTAGAATTTTCTGGGCGGGCGGGGACGATCACCAACTAATTCATTTTAATATCGCCTTATCTAAACATGATTATTCTCATATTGGGGAAATTTTCTCTGCATGTGAATTATGCAGCATCCCCAACAATATTTGTGTTTATTTGGAAGAAATTGCACGAAAAACACATATTACTATTAGTATTAACGCGACTGTGACCTGGTCCTAGGTCATTTTGGGACTAACAACACATAATTTGGTTGCACGTCAGTGAAACCGGAGAAAATCCCAGAGGTCGTTCATGCGACCACAGACCTTGTCCCTTACAAGCTTGGGCCTGGAACCATCACACCTGACTCAATGACAGGCCCTGTGATCTAAAGCCATGGCGCGGACACACATTCTCTTAATCCGCCCTGCCAACCACGACCCACGTGCCAAGGAGTTTGCTGAACTGTTACAGAGAAGCAATCAGTGTCGATAAATAAGCAATTACCTACACCGAAACGGGCTATATTCATAAATATTTATTTATTAAAGAATACGAGTTATTATTAACCTCACCATTATTAATTTTGCGTGTTGCTTTATTCAACACGTTGTGTTTCAATGGCCAATAATATGTAAAAGGACGTGTTTGAGGATGGTGGCGGATGAATTTAAAATATAACACAATCCTGATTATATTTAATTTAAAAATAATAGTTTGAATTTTCCATTAAATATAAGTTGAAATCAATGACCTTAATACTTTTATTTGTATCGAACATATCATTTTATCAGTTTTGAAGATTCAATATATTGAATCTACTTTTGAAGCGAATGTATAATTTTAAGGCGTAAACCGTTTGGTCGGTTCACATAATATTTACTACCCATACAATATTATCCGGTGCCGCATCATTCCCATTTTGCCTCCATTCCATTTTATATTTTTAGCTCTAGTGAAAGCAAACCAGATATTTATCTATTTGGTTCTCTGTTTTCATACGGTACCTATTGTCTAACAGCCAAGAATCATTTTATGAAGATTTATTTATTTTTTTATTTTATTTTTGTCATTGATATCGTTCTAGTGGAGTAGATATAGACCTATGCTTATTCATTACTACGTCGTCTATAAGTTCTTTTGAGTCCCGTATTGAATATAGATATGCATTCCCGTCGACGCGGATACAGTAGGGATCAGGGGTGACGGTTCTTTCACTAATGGGGACGAATCTTGGCATTAACATTGTTTACGATATTATGTTTAAATAGATTAGTTTGTCAATTCTCTTTAAACTTGCTATATCCCTATTCTTCAATTATATTTATCCTTTTTTGGTTCTCGTAGGCCTAATACTACACTTGCCTAACTTTTCTGTAGTGGTGGAACCATGGACCTTATAATACATTTATAAGGTCCATGGTGGAACAAAGGTGTTGAGATTTGTGGTTTTGATTTTTCTAGTTTGGGCCTTTCTTTGGGGGTTGGAAAATTAAAATGTAACTATTATTTTGGGAAATTAATTTTGTCCTTTATTCACATTTACATATATTGTGCAAACATATGAAGCGGAGATAAGAAACTCTCTTAATGTTACATGTAACAAATTGTAGGCTACCCTTCTATGCCGTATTTTTTTTGGGGTTTTTTTTTTTGGGGGGGGGGGGGGTATTCTCCGAATAATCAGAAGCAAAGTTCAAAAATAGTGTTTTCTTCACTGCCTGTCATTGTTACATAATTACAAAAATATAAAGTCGCATTTTATGTTTTTAAATTGTAAAAAAGAACAAATTAATACGGTGCGGTGTTTAATGATGAACTTTGCCATTATTAAGTATAATTTACAATGTGGATGCATGTATCTTACCATAGTAGAACAATTTCATTTTTACCAGCCACCTTAAGTGACTGACCCTATCAATTAAGATAAGGCTGTTGTATCTAAGGTATGTAACTCCCCAGAAATCTTATTGTAATTGAATGTACCCCCCCCCCCCCCTCCTGATCCACCTGTCCCCTGGGTTATTTTTATGAGGTATCCATTGTTCTCGTCACCGTTTCGTAGAAGATGGCAGATAACTCTAATATTTAGCGCCATAAACAAACTACGGTAACTTGTCATGTTTTACAAAAGTGAATAATTTGTTTAACGTCCCACAGAAAACAAAATGTACCATGAAATTTTATTAGCACTGTCTGGCAACACCGGTGGTATATTTAGAGACAAAGGAGACGGCATCAAGGTTACCTTTATCCTTTATTAGTAAATATTTATTAGCGTGGAAACTGAAACTTCGTCGACTTGTTTATTTTACTTTACAATAACAATTTCGACATACCGGTAACAGAAATGAAATGAAATGGCGTTTAAAGTTCTTTTCTGAATCAAATGCAGATGGGTAGGCTCCGTGCAGTGCCAGGATAGCGACATTTCCGCATACCAGTATATATACTGTCTGTCATTGAGTCAACTGGCGTGGTTTCGATTCCCCGGTTGAACGTGACAAGGAGTAGGGTTGCCTGCCCAACATTGTGAGTTTTCTCCGCGCATGTGAATTATTGAAATAAAATTGAACCATATGACGATATGTTAGTCCTGAAATGACCTAGTATGTGTCAGAGTGGATGATAAACTCCATTTGGCATTTTTCTCTCTCTTTGGGTGCAAGTCAAGTTGTCCACAAGCAAAGCCGTCCACAGTTAGTTAAGTTGTCCACGCCCGTTGGTGGAGTCGTCCACAAGGCATTGGTGATGTCGTCCACAAGTAATACTAAGACTCAAACACAATTTAATTGTATGGAAGAAATAGCTAGTACTCGTTGACTGTTTTGTTATTTGATTTTAGATCGAATCACCAATGTTTTAGTAATAAACTCAATCGGATTGTTTGTTAATTGTATGGAAGGAATAACTTTTTCTCATGCCAACGAGTAGCCTACACGGCACTTCAGTTTTTCGTCTCATCTGAAAGGCCCCTTGTCCTGCACAACTGACAAGGGGAAAACACACTGAGAAATCAAGTGGAAGTTTCTCTGCCAACATTTGGATCAATCCTATGACCTCCTCATTAGTGAGAAACAGTACCATATAATATATAATACTCATAGTTTCTCTTGTTACCCTAGGACATGTTCATCTTCTTGTCCTATTTAATGACCAAATTTTGTAGATACTTATTTGTGCACTTAAATCAGCCATTTTCGTATTTTAATCTGACTTATCTACAGATAATAGACACTATTTTCATCATTGTTATATTTATCTTGCAGGTTATAGCTGATCTTCCATTCATTAATCCTTCAGAAATCAGCATCTTGAATGAATTGGGTAAACTAGGAACATATTACAAACACTTTCAACAATTTATTGCAAAATATAGCAATGCATTATCAGTACATCACAGAAGTAAGTATAATTTATTTTGTTAAAGATGCGTTATGTAAGAGCTAAATCTGCCTAATGCAGATCTTTCATTTGGCCTCAAATGTTATATAAATTATTAATTAGACATTTATTCACATGCCAAGCCCATAATCAACTCTATAGACCAATGAATCAGTGGCAATGTTAGCCGCTGGTGGATGGAGGGGCACAGTCGAATCTTGAGAGCACCAGTGGTGCGAGCCCCAACAGGGAGGTATGGGGCGTCTGTTAATAATTTAATTAAAAAATGGATAATCAAGATGTTGTTTATTATCACAGTAGCAATGGCAATCAAGACTACACTGTTCTTCAAATGGTCATAACTCCGCTGAAAATGAAGCAATTATAGTGAGAACTGTCATTTCTTTAATCTTACTTGCATCATTAAGGAATGCTAGCTTAATACTGATTTTCAAGGGCTAATTTTTTTTATCATGATGGCCTGCTACCAGCTAGACCCACTTGCCTGGAAAAGAACTGGCTAAGGTACTTACATATCTGCCTTGTATTTTTTAGCACTGAAATCGGAGGAGGATCTGCATGGATTATATTTGAAAGCAGCATGTCATGGTATTGATATTGTGTTACAAGATTATCGTCAGTCTCTGTTGAGTTTAGAAAAAGATTTTATACAAGACCCATATCTGCCTGTTTCACATCTTTTATGTACTTTAAAAGAGGTATGTACCACCTTGACAACACAAATTATATTTAAATCAAGCAAACTATTCCATACACTGCACAGCAAAAGAAAGATGGCACAGACAGTACAAATTAAGAAAGAAAACAAAAAAAAGCAAAGTGCACACACTAGGTCCAAATGTCAAAGTGAATGAGGCAAGTGGTATCAGTTGTTTCAGAAAGTGTAATGGAATATATACTACCTCCGATCAAGCATCAAGAAATTATTTCATGCACAATATAAAACAATATATTATAAGTACTTTACTTTCAGTTTTGTCATATTTTCAGTATGAGTTGTTGTTTCCAGAATTATCTGCAGTTATTGAACAAATCAAATCACACAAGGTAATTATTTATAGATTTTATTACTATCTGTATTTGTTATAATTTCTTCAATAACCAACATAATGCCTGCACCCCCCAAAAAAAACATGCTGAATAAATAGATAATGCTAATTATGGTATGTTTATCATTTTATAAAGCATCAATCAATCAATTTGCTTATCACTCTGCTTAAAGATAAAGTATTCAAGAGCTAAATCTACCTATTGTAGGTCTTTCTTTAGGCCTTAAATGTTATATAAATTATTGATTAGATATTTATTAACGTGACAAGACTATAATCAACTCTCCAGGCCATCGGATGACTCAAATTTTAAGTAGATTAGAACAGGTTGGCCATTTAATGATTCAGTTTAAAAATGGAGAAGCGAGGCTAAGTCTTGAATATACCAGTACCATGGTACAGTGATAACTTGACTCAGAATAAAGTATAAAGTAATTTGAATGAAATTTTCAATATACCGTATTTTTCGGTGTATAAGGCGCACTTTTTTTACCAGGTATTTTATTTTCTAGAGGGGGTGCGCCTTATACATAGTATTAAGCAAATCTTGGCTTTTCTGTGTGTCAACATCGAGGTCTGAAGTTGATCATATCGACAACAGCAATAAAGATGGCGGCCATTTCCCATACCGATATCCCGTATACCGTTAGTCATAGACGACAGTGGCAACAATATGGGTCAATAGCGGTTTAGTGTTATTAAAATATCTGCAAAGATATCGTAAATAATTAGATGACATATTTTTCTGCTATTCCGACATTCCGATGTCGTCTTTTCTCGTGCAATAAATATGGCGGCCATTTAAGATACGGTATCGGCTTTTCCGTATACCGTTAGTCATATTTCTATTATTCCGGCTTTTCCGTATACCGTTAGTCATAAACGACAGTGCTAACAATATCTGCAAAATTCTCGTTAATATTTCTATTATTCCTGCGTATTTGATGACATATAATTCTGCTAATCCGTTTACCGGTACAGTTAGCCACTGTCGGCAATCCAAACAGTGTGTCGTCAACGGTGATATCAGTCAAGTTGACGAAAAGGCGGGGCTTTCGACAGACAAAGAGTTTTCATTGGCTATTAGAAGGGTAATTTCCATTGAGCACACGCTCATTATACCATAGGCTATGGGTATTGTCTGTTACAATGACAGCGTTAATGGGCGGGATTACAGTTAAACTGGCAGAATATATCGAAGAACAGAACAAATTTAAGCCATCGACTAAAATATATTTTAACACAAGTATAATAAAAACATATAATAAAAACAAACAGGTTCACCAGTATAGCACAGCATAGTTATAGGCACAGTATAGATATAATAAAATATGGATATAAGAAAAACAAAACGTCTCACGTTTGACTCCCCCAAACTAAATTCACGACCCGCGGCCCTATTACCGTGTGCTTCAGCGTAACTAATTACCCTCAACTTCTCCTTAGCGGTATAAGCGGTTCGTCTCGTAGCCATTCTGAATAATTAATTTTTAAGAATGATGGAATGTTCACTGGTGTTTTATATACATCGGGGTGTTTTCTTTGAGCAAGACTGTCTTTTAGTAACCGTTTTAAGTTACCGACGGTTTTCATTCAACATGGATTCAGTGATTGGCCCATTGTTATAATTTACCGGTATAGTTAATTATCTACCAGTGAGTTGTTATCGTTTTCTTTATGAAGTCGTTTGTAGTTGACAAAATCATTGTTTCTTTGATTGGTATTAAAAATGCTATTGTATTATTTTACCGGTATAGTTAATTATCTACCAGTGAGTTGTTACCGTTTTCTTTATGAAGTTGTTTGTAGTTGACAAAATCATTGTTTTTTTGATTGGTATTAAAAATGCTATTGTATTATTTTACTGATAGATCTAAATGGCTACAATCTGGGTATTGTCATGACGCGTGGAGTGGGCGGGGCAACAGCTGACGCTATCGTTTGATTGTCAGTTGTTTGCATAACTTGGAGTAAACTGGAATTGTTGTTTCTCTTTTACCGGTAGTCAGGATTTAAGTTGTGAGTAACTGATCATGATATATTATTTCTACAGGTATTATTTAATTTGTTTATCATCAAAACCGATTCATTTATCACAGACAATTACTCACGAATTTAACACGATGTAATAGACGGCCATGTTTGTTGTGGGCGGGCTTTGAATGACAATTTCACTACCGTACGAGCAACAGAATTACAGCTGAAAGTTATGCAATAATGCAATTGCGTGTTATAATTAATATAAACAAATGTAACAAAAGCAATTTATTTCATAAAGAAATATAATTATATAAAGCTTGATACGGCTAAATATCGGTAATTATTATAACTGTAAACAATAGAGTTTGACCTAGTTACTGGAGATCGCAGGTGGATTTGAGTCACATATGCTATGGCACGAGTTTCACACGCGCTGGGAAAGGGTGCGCCTAAACCACGCATATTTTTTTTTTCCTGAAACACCTCTGCCAAAGTCGCCCTGCGCCTTATCTACGCATGCGCCTTATACACCGAAAAATACGGTATTCATTTTGCACTATCTTTTTTTTGAACTATAATATACTATTCAAAAAAAGTAGGGGATATTTGATTTTTAAGTGTTATTAAAGTCACCTAATGAAACTGACGAAGAAACAAATGACAAAATGAAATGAAGTTCACATTCATCGATTTATTCCAAATGATCGTTAGACTAAGTAAGGCACAGACTGACCATTATAAGGGTAAAATGATACCCGGGGTCAAACAGCAAAGTTACCACAGCATCACAACCAAGTCAGTAACGGGTAAATCCTCCTCTGTTTGCCAAACAAGCATTGATCCGACGTGGCATACTCCTAATGAGACGTCTAAGGTCATTTTGGTCCAGATTGTCCCATTCCTGTTGCAACGCAGCAGCAAGTTCTTGGACATTGGCAGGACGTTGTTGACGTTGACGTTACCTCTGTCCAAGCATGTCCCAGACATGCTCGATGGGGGACTCAGTGCTGGCCAAGGTAATGTGGTGATGTTCTGTTGTTGGAGGTAACCTGTAACGATCCTGGCCCTGTGACATCTTGCGTTGTCATCCTGGAAGATGAAACGGCGGCCATGACGTCGTGCGAACGGCACAACATGGACTGCCAAGATGTTGTCCCGGTAGTACTGGCCTGTAACACGCCCTGCAACAACATGTAAAGCCGTTCTTCCAGCAACAGTGATGCCTCCCCACACCATAACAGAACCACCCCCAAATCGATCATGTCTGATGACGTTAACGTCTTGGAAGCGCTCGTTTCGACGACGCCACACCCTCCTACGTCTGTCCAAAAAATCAACAGTGAACCTTGACTCATCTGAAAACATCACATTGCTCCAGCGTCGATTATCCCAGTGTTGACGATCCCTACACCAACGACGTCTTGCCTGAATGTGATGATCTCTCAAACAAGGGATCACGCGAGGACGTCGGGCGCGAAGGTGACCCCTATGCAGTCGATTCCGAATCGTCTGGCCACTCACTCTCACACCAGTGTCTGTTTGAAGACGAGCGCTGATCTGATTTGCTGTGATGACACGATTTCTCAAGGCCAAGGTACGGATAAATAAATCCTGGGCTTGAGTTGTCGCCCTTGGTCGACCTGAGCGTGGTCTGTCCTGTACAGATTGTGTATCACGGTATCTGGACCATAGCCTGCTTATGACAGACTGAGAAACATTCATCGTCCGCGCCACAACCGCCTGTGTTCTGCCGATCTGTAGCATGCCAAGGGCACGTAACCTTTCATTTTGGGTAAGCCGACGCATATCAAAATTTGTTTTCTGGTCACTAAAACAATTAAACTGATGTTTCCACCCTGGAATTCAATGCCACAATGACTGTAACATTCAAAGTCAGAGTCGTGCAAATCTTGGGTTGGACCCCCATGATGATCCCAAGCATCACCTGCATTCCATGCGGTAGCTATTGGTGCGTTTGGGCGTTACATGTAACTGGAAATGTTTCTTCTGTTAGGTTCTATAGTGACTTTTTTCGTAGTCATTTGCATATTTTAGTATTATGCCCCCAAAATCAAATATCCCCTACTTTTTTTAAATAGTATAGCAAGAACGACGACCAGCTCTTTATCTATATCTTACATAATACCCCTTTAATATGAGCAAAATATACTCATTATAGAATTTAGTCCAGGTACTGATGTAATGAAACTATACACTCTTATGTATACAGGCTCATGGATGTTATATATTAGATATTGTACAGAAACGTTCTATTTGTGGATTACCAGTGGTAAAACAGGCTTTTAAAAGGTAAAATTTATACTATAACTATTATTTCTTTAATAAACTACATGTTTTAGAATTAAACTTGCCGAAGAAAAAAAGTTAATATCAAGGGCTAATTAAATTAACTCACGCAGATGACATCCCTATCAGTCATATTGGCAGCCAATCGAATATTTACTGCTGATCAGTTTGGTCGGTGATGTGCAGCCATTTTGGAGGCATTGGTTAACTGTAAAGTAAGACCTGTCCCCAAGTACACAAAGCATTTTCAGGCTTTATTTAAGAATTTACTCTACTTTTAATCACTGTATAGAGGTAATATCTTTGATCCAGAAACACAAACTTTGCACATAGTTTCTTATTGATGTATTTGATACATTAAGACAACAATAATTTTATAAAGGGCTATATTTTAGTTAAAATAAGGCAACAGTTTTGAGAATCCTTTGTGAACTCGGGGCCTGGACCACCAAAACTTGAGTAACTCATATTCATCACAATTTGAAATACATTCTCAGATTGGTCTGTGTAGTTGTGAAGTATTTTAGTTGTTGTATATTACAGAATTCTACATGTGTGTCACAATGTGTTTTATAAACAGCTTTGTGCCTGGTTATTACATGGTACGTTAGTTGACTCCTACAATGAATTCATTATACAGAAAATAGATGAAAACTCACAAACACTGACTTTATCTAAAACAGAACAAGAGGAAGATGATTTAGGTATAATGGGTATTACTGGTCGTCAGATGAAGGTTAGCAATATTACTACATTCTGTAGACGATTTCTTCACATATTGAAGTAAAACATTAAACAACATAAAACTTTAGTAAATGTTTACTTACTGTACTGAGGATATCTGGACAACTCTTATACAAGCCTGGAAATAAGGCACCTGTCACAAATTCTGTTCTTTAGGCACATGTTGTTTTTGATATTAGTAATACATGTCTGTCACAAAATTAGTTCATTAGTGAATGACATTTTGTCAGATACATCTTAAAGATACATTCCCACGTACAAAGTGGGTGATTTGATGATATATTTGGACTCAAAACATATTCAAACTAATAAATGTACCAAAAATTTGCTTCAAATGCCTCTTAAAACATTGTAATACCCCAAGATATAAAAAATATATTTTTAGAAGCCATGCTTGTCATGTAACTTGATTCAGGGAGGGCCCATTTTCAGAATGTATTTGTCAATACTTAGCGTCCTTTTGCCATACATTTTGAAACCTAAGTAAATTGTTGGATTATCCTCTGCCAACTACTTTTTCGGTCGTTTAATTGCTGTCTTCTGTACGTTTAAACCCTCAATGTTTCCAAAACCACATAACCAGTCGATCAAGAAATAATAACCACTCCCTAAGTTACACTGGCAGACAATATTTTCCATATATACCAAATTTGCCATTCTTTTATTGGAAATAACTACCCTATAAATCCTTTGGGACAACGTATCTTTAAATTATTATTTCCAGGCCTTGGTAAAATTTCTATAAAATTTACAGTTACACATCCATATTTAAATAGTGTATACCCACGTTCATTTTCTTATTGGTATATTCAAAATGTTTTATTACTTTGCTAAGATGATATCTTCATTTGGCTGTATGACCAATACCTTTCTTATTTGATTAGACTCTATGACATATTTTTTTTTTCAGAAAGCAATGACTATATCTACACCTAAATATGTTCAACCAAAAGAACATTTATATGGTATACAAGCTAATTTACTCCCTGCTTACATTCCTATTAGAGTAGCGTCTAAAATACTGTTTGTGGGCGAATCAGTTCAGATGTTTGAAAACGAAAAACAGAATTCAAAGAATATAGTATCCGGTAAATTTCTGATATTTACGATTTTTCACATAATTTCTGTCCTTAGTTTTAATGCTTCATATGTTAGTCTCACATTCGAGTTCGTTAATGCTTAATATGAAATTTTATGAATATGGCCAGCATTATTAATAAACATTCTTTATTATGAAAGAATTCACAAAAATATTGTAGCCCAATATGTTAATTATGTTGATATCATAAATAACATTATTTTGAAAGAGAAATTGACTTTTGTTGGAATCGTATAAATTGGTTTTAGATTCTTTACATAAAGAATGGTATTTATGCAATGCTAGTCTGATTATTAATTAGTTCTTATTTCATATATACTTTATATTTAAGATCCAATATTATTAGTTAAAGACGCATTGTGTAAGAGTTAAAGATGCATTGTGTAAGAGCTAAATCTGAATATTGCAGGTCTTTATTTTGGCTTAAAATGTTATATAAACTTTTATTTAGGCATTTATAAATATGATAAGCCCATAATCAACTCTGTAGATGGCAGATATTTATAAGGATTAGGTATTACAATGCCCACTAGATTTTAAAGTTAAACGATGAAATGGACAAACAAGACTAAGTCATGATTGTCCAATACCGTTGCTATGATAATAAACAATCTGCGATATATCTTCCAACACCCATAACTTGATTTGAATGAAATTTTCAATATATTCATTTTCTACTTTTTAACTATTATAGTAAGAACGACCAGCTCTTTAATCTAAATTTTACATAATGCATCTTTAATTCTTAATTTATATATTTATAAGTTAATTCTTAATTCACATACTTTATATTTAAGATCCAATATTATTTGTTCATTCTTATTTACTGTATATTTAAGATCCAATATTAAGAAGCCGAGTTGAAGAATTTACTAAAGATCTACATGAATTATCTAAGCAAGAAGAATTTAATCTCATGGTGTTCGATAAAATTATTGATAAAATTAGAACATTTGTCGCTGAGGTAAATACAGCTTATTTAATTATATAGTATTTGTTTGGTACTGGACATTGAACATGAATCTGTCATGATGGATTTTCCCCGGGCATTTGGATAATGTCTAGTTATTTGGATGGTACAAAATATTGATTAGAAATTAAACTAGATCATTCTATTCTATACCCCTTATTCACTATTATGTCTGTTAATCAGCTAGACTGAAAATGTAATGAAAGCATACAGTATATAAATGATTTTATAATAATTATAATAACTTTTCTAGAATTTATATCATTACTCATCCATTTTGTTTTTTCTGTGCTGGCGGCACCATCTATTATTATACTATGTTTTGCTATCATGATATATGTTGGTTTTTTTTAGCGGTTATGGGTGTTAATAGTAGAAGAATCTGATTTACGGAACCAACTAAAAGTTATAAAAGATTTTTTTCTGCTGGGAAGAGGAGAATTATATTTAGCCTTTATAGACCAAGCTCAGCATTTATTATCTGGTCCAGTTACGTCAACAACACAACATGGTAAATATAACATGTAATTTCACTTTTATCATAAAATATCAAATGTCTTGTTGATTGATAAAACACAATCTGATTAAAATACAGATCTATATTTCGTTCCGTTTTTTTTATACTTTCGATGGCCTCTACTACATGGAAATCTGACCGGTTGTAGTGGAGGGTCGCGTCAGAGGTCATACGAGCAGATTTTTACCCTATGACATCAGACATTTGATTAATCAATCAGCCTTAATGTTTCTAGTGGGTTACCCACAGTTCTGTGCATGGCACGCCAAGAAGTCGCCGTAACAGACCGTTTCATTGGCTTATCCCTCACTTCAACCAAAACGCTGGTTATATAAAAACTCTTCCAGATCCTAGTGTAGTTAAGACAAGTAAAACGAAATTTTGAACTATAAAAAAACCAAACGAAAAAGGATCTGTGTTTTAATCAGATTGGACAGAACACAAGAGAACTTCACAAGAAATCAGTATAATAGTATCAGGACTGGATAGATTAGGTTATATTATTGTATAGATTTACTGAGTGTGTTATTATATATGTTAATTACAGATATAAATATGGCGTTTCAACAGGCTGCTAGAAATGTTCTCCTACAGAATGAATCTCTTTTGCAGAAGTTCCAATTGACAATAACTCGAAGTAAGTATCCTTACATTACAATATCCAAGTTCTTTTAGTTACATGAAGTCAGATTACACAATTGTTAGGAATGGTGTAGAGTTTGATAAATTATAATGAAATGGTGTTATAAGATCTACTTTTCTGAACCAACAGTATGCAGCTAATGTTCTATGAGGAAATTTCCGGCATGTTTTCCCCTTGTCATTGATGCAGGACGAAGGGCCTGACAAGGACAGCTGTCTAGGCGTTCAGATGGGATGAAAAACTGAGGTCCCGTGTACATATTGGCGTGCACGTAAAACATCCCTTGGCAGTTGGAATTTTATATAAGAGAAGGCCATAGCGCCGCTGTATGGCGTATGCCCGTCTTCATTAGCCCAGTTTAGGAGCAGAACAGTAGGACGTTAAACCCCATTACATTACATTTCATTTCATTTCTATGAGGATATTTTGCTCAGACTTTCTTGACCAACACCAAGAGTAAACTTGTGACCTTCTAGTTAGTAAGTCAGTGCCATGTTAACTGAGACTGGGGAGGGGAGGGGGAATGTTTAACATATGCATGTTGAATCAGGTCTATCATTGAGTCAAATGGCGTGGCTTTGATTCCCCGCATGTACATGACCAGTCCAACTAAAGACCGCTACAGCAAGCGAATTATTGAAATAAAATTGAACCATATGTTAGTCCCGAATTGACCTAATTTGTGTTGAGTGGATGTTAAACTCTCTCCATGTTCATTCATTTGTAAAACTTCATCTGAGATAAAGAAAATAAATGTTTTCAATATGAAGAATTATTAATGTGATATAATATATTGGTGAATTGTTTATTTATTACTAGAGAGTGGAAGTGGTCCGACAGGTTCGGCTGTAGAAAATGGTTGGAATTGTCTAGGATTACAACACACGATACACTGGCCTTTACATATATTCTTTACTTCAGCCATGTTAGAAAAGTTAGTATTTTATACCGTGTCCGTTAAACTTTAAAGATACCAATCGTCATTTTTATTTTTGAGATAATACTTAATTTTTTGGGACTTGTACCCAAATCTAACATTTAATTAAGAAAAACAAAATAGCAGTGGTAAATAATCTGCCTGCTTGGATTCAGTCGGATTAAAATGAGGCCCATCAAAAGATTTATACAACTTTTATAAGTGGCACTAGCTTGTTTATATCGCCTGTAAATATTTGGACTGATATTCCTTCTAGAGTTTCAATTTTCACAATATTGTACTTTTCAAGGACAAAACACCCCGAAATTAGAATGAGCAGCTTTAATACTGAAATTTCTACTTTAGGTACAATAGAATATTCACGTTTTTATTGGCTATTAAAAGAGCACAACTTGATATTCAGTCATGCTGGACAATACAGATGATACATAAACAAAAACCATCACATCAAGAAGAAATGGCTAAATGGCAGCTTAGAACACATATGGGATTCTTAGTTGATAATTTACAATATTACCTACAGGTAATTGATATCTCTTTATCATTGTTTATAACAGGGATCTTCAACGCGTCCCGCTACCCCATCCCCGCATGGGGGGTTGGATGGCCGAATGGTTAGCACGCGCGCACTGTATCATACGGTCTGTCATTGAGTCAACTTGCAGGGTTTCGATTCCCTAGTTGTGCGTGACAAGGAGTAGGGTCGCCTGTCCAACCTCATGGGTTTTCTCTGTCTCCTCCGGTTTCCTCCCACTGCTAAAGACCCCTACGCACAAGCGAATTATTGAAATAAAAATCAACCATGTGTTAGTCTCGAAATGACCTAGTTTGTGTCTAGTGGACGTTAAACCCCATTTCTCTCTCTCTCTCCATCCCCGCATAGCAGTGTGTTCCGGCCCACTAGAACCTGTTGTGTTTTGAGTTTGTTCGTTCAGAGTCATTAATATTGATGTGCTCTTTATGTCTGCCTCTTCCTCTAGCCGTGATATTACATCCCCTTGTGTTTTTTTTTGTTCATTTAAGGTTGTGACCCCCGGGCCCTCCTTAGATAAGTTTGTGGTCATCGGGTTTATAAGATAATCATACTTCTAATTGCATTTACAGTTTCATAAAATGTTTAGAATTAAATATCATTTCTGCAAAAACAAAGATGTTTTGATTACCTTATGAAATATTTAGAATTATTTTTGATGTATATATATATAACAGGTTGATGTTATAGAATCACAGTATGGTATATTACTAGATAAAATCAATTCAACCAGAGATTTTGAAGCAGTTAAAGTAGCACATGAAAACTTTCTTTCTGCTTTGTTAGCACAGAGTTTTGTTCATATGAAATCTGTAAGTATTAAGATGAATATATTACCTTTATCCATTATTGTCAATATATTTTGGGGTTATTCAAATAAACCATGAAATGAACAGTGTAATCTGTGATAACCACGAAATACCCACCAGAGAACTTTTCAATGTCCTTGAGTAATAAACGTAAACAGTAATTCCAGTTGACAAAACGTTATTTTTTAAGTTAATTAAGTTTTGATTATTTTACCAATAACAAGCCTGTCTTCATTAGCCCTGTCAGAGCAGAACAGTAGGACGTTAAACCCCATTTCATTTCATTTCTAAAGACAGGTAGGCTACACCCAACCATACTTGGGTCATTATTTAAATGTGTGTGTGTGTACCTTTATATATTATTTGAAGGTATATATATGTATATTGTAGGTATCCCATTGTTTAAGAGAAATATTAGATTTATGTACAGCTTATAGTCAACTGATGACATCATCTGACATTCAATTACTTCCACAACAACTTCAACAATTAACAGACATAGCACAGGTAAATTATACTGTATTTATATATTTAAATTATTGTATAACACAAATTTTTTATACCAATAGCAACATCCAAAATTCAACATCTTGCATTGATTTAAGAAATGTACATGTGAACTGTGAAATTTTTTTTATTAATATGAAAACATAAATTCTTCTAAATTTATCTTTCAGAAATTTCAGCGTCAATTTAATCTTTTGTTCAAGATATTATCCAGCGTAAAACATCATAATGCCAGTCCATATTTAGCCCAGTTATTATTACGACTTGATTATAATAAATATTTTACTTGTACTGGTGGACAAATAGGGTAAATATTTAAAACTGTTTTTACATTTGGGAATGAACTAAAGTTTTAATTTTAAGTTCTCCAAAGAGATTAGCAGCATGTAGTGTAAGGGGAGATAATATTGCATTCAGGAACTTTCAATCCAGTTACCTCCCTTTATATTAAACAACTTGCTACCATTTTGTAAAGTTTAACCAAATGGCACCAGAAACTGTATTGCCAATTCATTTTGATCTCTTTATATAACGAAAGTATGAACTGACTAAGACCATTAAAATGGTCAAATGAAAAACAAACATAAGATGGCCATAACTCATGTTTTAATGTTTGGACCAAATTTGCTTTTTGATAAGACTGCTTATCAAAATATGCCATTTAGTCAGAAATATTGGTATCTTATTGATAGCAACAAATAGCATTTAACATCCACTGACAATAATCAGGTCATATAGGGACTAAGATATGATATTTTTTATTTTGATAATTAGTATGTGTATAGCGGAGCAAACTGGAATACCCAGAGAAACCCCACAAGGTTAGGCATGCAACCCTATTCCTTACTTACTGTCCGCGAGATCAAACCCATGACTTGCATAGATAACAGGCCTTATCATCTACTGCATGTTTATTAGACCACTTGGCCACCACTGTTTTATTAATAATCTGCGCACTTAAGATTTATTGAAAATGTATTTTATTTTTTCTTTCAGGATTTGAGAAATCATGATTAAAGTGCTATGTATAAAATGTAGTCATGATATTTGTTTTGTACAGTGTATTAAATTATATTATATTTAAAGTTTTAGTTATTTATATATTGTACTTAAACGTGGGTGAGGTGGTGGCTCAGTGAGTAAGGTGCTAGTTCACAAACCAGGAGGTTCTGGGTTTGATCCCAGTGTTGGCTGATAAAAGTCAGTGGTCCGTGACTTCAGGCCTGTCACAGAAAAGCCTCTAAAAAAACCTTTGACGTTGGAAATTGATATAAGAGTAGGCCGTAGTGCTGCTATTCGGGCAAAATTTCTATTGTAGCACACTGCACACTGACAGAGCAGAAAAGTAGGATGTTAAACCCTATTTCATTTATGGTAGTTGAACTCAAGACTGTCCAGACATATATATGCAACTGATTAAGACAGATTCAGTGTTTTCCTAACAGTGCTTTCTACCTCAGATGTATATAACACATATTTAGCTGCTTCGATTGCTATATTTCCTTGCTACATTTTTCACCCAAAACTCAATATACTTCTACCTTAAATTTATCCTTCTTCTGGAAAATTCTGCTTTGAAAGTGTACAAGATAAAGAAGGTTAGAGAAATAATTTATCAACTTACAATTCATAATGAAGACAAATCAGACAAGAAATGGAACTCCAGTATATTTGGGGCAACATTCCTGGTAAATGAGTATGGAATGGGACCACTATCAAGTTTCAGTTATGTTTTTTAAAGCATTGAGAGAAAAAAAGGGGAAAATTATTTGCACCCATAAAAAGTCAAATGATCAATGTGAAATTAAATCATTATTGTTGAGCAAGGGAGGTAACTACAGCTGTGTTCCCCAACACACTATTATCTCCCCTTAGACCACAAATTGTTTCTCTTCAGAAGACTATAATTAAAAATATTATGAAGGAGTACAAACCATAATATAAATACAGTAGAAACACGTTCATAACTCCTCTCTCATGTCTGCTTATTAGTTTATCAAATGTCTTAATTGACATTTAGTAAGGCAACAATACAAAACCAACAAATGATTAAAATTTATTTCTTTTTAAAATAACCAAGAATACCATTAGTCTTTTTCTGTTTATCTGAATTCAGTGATATTTTAGGTTTATTAGTATGTTTCCATTCATTAACTAATTCTTGTTGAATGTCACTAGGTAAGTTTATAAAAACACTCTTGTCTATATTCGGGGGTATAAAATTATTACACTCATCAACATTTGTGTCACAAAATTCAGTGGATAATGATGATGATGATGATGATGATGGGATAATTATAGATGACACACAGAGTTCTTTATCACTTTCCTCTGAATTAGCTGAATGTTTATTTTGGATAGGAGATTTAGTCACTTTAGATTTTGTTTCAAATAGCTTCGGTGGTGTGGTCTTTAATTTATTAGTCATACTGCCCTTACCACTGAAGAAAGATTCTAAAGAACGTTTTCTCTTTGATTCAGTATGTATAGATTTTGAAGTGCTTTTTGATGAATTGGAATGACTTGTATGGCTTTGTAAAATTTCTTTCTTAATGTCTTCTGGCAACTGGTTATAAACGTCTAAATCCACATCCAGATCAACAAGTCTTTTATCAGTCTCTTGTTCTAACGAAAAACTTGTATTTGTAGACACACTATTTCTATCCAATTTTGATCTTTTATTAACTAATTCAGATGGAGATGTTCCTTTCCGTTTCGAAGAACTAGTTCCGAAAAAATCTTGTATTCCTTTAGTGGGTGATGTCAACGACATGTTCAATGCAGGGCTACTTTGGTTTTGAACTTTAGTTTCCACAGGCTTCATATCTGAAATAACTTGTTTTTCATCTTGCCATGTTTTGTGTTGAAAGAAGGAAGAGATATCCTCACCAATAACTTTAGTAAATTTAGTAACACAGATATTAATAAGAGTTAAATGGAATGATTTAGTGATGTCCACCATTTTCTTGAAAAGAGTCAATGACATGTCGACTAATGAGTTTATCACAACAGATTTATCTGAAAAAACAAAACAAACAATAATACGATATTGACATTGCATAAAGAGTGAGAGAAATGGGATTAACGTCCACTTGACAAAAACTATGTCATTTCGGGACTAACATATGGTTCAATTTTATTTCCATTAATCGCTTGTGCATATGGGTCTTCAGGACACAGAGAAAACCCACGACTTTGGATAGGCAACCCAACTCCTTGTCACGTACAAGCGAGGAATCAAAACCACGACTTTTGACTCAATGACAAACCATGTGATAACCCATATGCCCCCGCACCCCTTTTCCTCATTGCATCAAGAATAAAAATCTTAATATGTTGTGCACAAGAACCAGGTAAGATAGAAACCCAATTACAATAGCATATCCACATGGGGGGGGGGAGTGGAGAGACACACAATGGTTAGCGAGCTAGATCTGTAACACTACTGCTGCATGTTCAATCTTCACAAGGGACCACTGTGGCTCATTGAGTATTTTCCAACCTAGTGTTCCCTTAACAGTGGTGTAGGACGGATAGGCCTGGCAGGTAAAAGTATCTAGTAGTGGGGTAGACAAATTTTCCTTAAAGCACACTACACAGCATATGCATGATTTCAATAGCCAAGTTCAATTTAATCCTCACTCTAGCTGTGCCCTTGAATAAGACACTGGATTCAGTCTACCCAGCTGTAAATTGGGCACCAGCAGGATAGTGTAAAGAGGCATGAAAATTCTGTATGTTGTAGAGAAATAACCTATCAATGGGGTAAGGATATCACAGTACATGACATCATTATATGGAATACCAAGATACCTAAAAGTTTACTTCTGGAGATAAATAGACCATTTGTTAAAGTACACTAAGGTGAGTGTGATCAATAATGAGTCGATTAAGATTCCTGGTGTGACGTCACTACTCAGTCTGTCAAAAGATAATTTGACATTCTTTTTTTAAAGTCTAATCATGTCAATAGTATCTGAGTGGTGGATCTGTAACTTTGAGTGAAGATGTCAAACATCTATATTGTTTGACAAGTTTGAATGATATAGGTTAAACACTTTTTAAATCATTCCACCTTAAAGATACATTATGGGAGATAAGATAAAGAGATGGCAGTTCTCGCTATAATAGTTAACAAGCGGTTGCCATGCAAGATACACCCACATTTTGCAAGAGATGGACAGAGAACAAGCTCAAAAAAAGAAGTGATTTTTTCGTACAATCAAGGGCCATAATTCAGGAAGTTACAATCCGATATGCATGAATACCGAAAGGAACCAAGATCTTTGGGCTATAAACATGTATTTCAAGTTACATCAAAATCGGATCAAAATTGTGTCCACTCTCTAGAGGGTCCAAAACCTTGATATACAATATATTTAAAATATTTGCGTACGAGGGGCAGCCATTTTGTCCGGCAGTTTTGGTGCGATTTGTACGAAATGACCTCTATAGGGTCCACAAGCTAAAAAAGCGATTTTTCGTACAATCAGGGGCCATAATTCCGGAAATTACGGTCCGTTATGTGCGAATATCGAAAGGAACCGAGATCTTTGGGTTATAAACTTACATTTCAAGTTTCAACAAAATCGGATAAAAATTGTGACCTCTATAGGGTCTACAACCTTGATATACCATATTTTTATGCTATTTGAGAACGAACGGCAGCCATTTTGTCTGTCAATTTTGGGCTGATTTTCACGCAATTCAAACTCAGTCGTCCTTAGGGTGTAACGGTGATATAATAATACGGTTTTTTAAATCGGATAAAAATTATGACCTCTATAGGGTCCACAAGCTAAAAACGCGATTTTTCGTACAATCAGGGGCCATAATTCAGGAAGTTACAGTCCGATATGCGCGAATATCGAAAGGAACCGAGATTTTTGGGTTATAAACTTACATTTCAAGTTTCAACAAAATCGGATAAAAATTGTGACCTCTATAGGGTCCACAAGCTAAAAACGTGATTTTTCGTACAAACAGGGGCCATAATCCATGAAGTTTCGATCCGATACATGCCAATATCGAAAGCAGCCGAGATCTTTTGGGGATAAACCTATATTTCAAGTTTCGTAAAAATCGGACAAGAATTGTGACCTGTAGAGAGTCCACAAACAAATTGTGGACGGACGGACGGACGTCCGGACGGACAGGGGCGACGACAATATACGTCCACATGAAAATGTGGGCGTATAAAAACTTGATAGTGTAAAGGTAATTTGCTGAAAATTTCAGTCAAATTGATCCACTATGAGCCGAGAACGAAGCGGGTGAAATTTTCGCATAGTCTCGGTCATCATTACTAAAATCATTAATATAAACAGCATAGTCTTGATTATCCACTGTTTTGATTTAATTATCAATGGCCGTTAAGCGGCATATAGGAATCTAATCCAGCCAACATCGAAGGCTAGCCTTGACATCGAGAGTTTATTATGGTCTGGTTAAGTTAATTAAAGTCTAATTGATAATGTAGATAACATTTCAGGCCTAAAGAAAGACTTGTAATAAGCAGATTTTGCTCTTGCATAATGCATGTTTAAATAGTGTACTCATTTTTTTCTGGACCCCCCAATATACACCAAACACAGAAAATACATAAACATCTACACCAAACACATAAAAACTACAAACTAAATGTTAAAACCTACCTTTATTAATATGTTGAAACAAAGATGTGGATATAGGACATTGTCTACTTTCTCGACCACCATTAGAATAATCTTGTCTAGGTGTAAACTTCCTTATTGTAACTCGTAATGTTTGGGGATATCTACCATCTTCTTCAACTCTAGAAACAAAATTTAAACACAACTAAAATCAAAATAGATCTTCTTCAATTCTTATAAACAAAATTTACAACACATCTGGCTGTTTGGCTGTTTATGAGCTTGTATGTATACTGTTTACATTTATGATTCATCTTTCAATTATTTCTATATACTGAGTGACATTGAAATATAGTTCTACCAACCTTTTAACAACATTAGTTACAAGTCCTTTTATTTCTTTTTCAACTTCTGACATTAAACTTAGTTTTCTATGTGAATCTTCATCTGATATTGACTGAAAAAAAAATATGTTGTTTGTATGTAATATTAAAAGAATTTCAGACAGGACATGGCTAGAAGAATATGTTTAATTTTAAATAACAGTAATCACAGGATAGGTCTTATTTCAAGTTCTTATTATCTTTCATTTGTATTGCTTTTGTTGCACAGTTAATGTTGCCCTGTCCCTGTAAATACATTGACTCTGACGCTTTTGGATATAATACAAAAAAGATTAACAAAATGTATTAATTATGTGAACTTTACAATAAGTGTGTAGTGTTATCAGGTGTTTTAGAACTTGTAAGCATAAGCATACCCTGTCTAGTGTACAATGCCAATCACTACATATTGTTAAATAGATATACATGTATGTATATTAGTTCTTGATTGCACATATTACATACCCTAAGTAAAACCTGCTCTATACCTGTACATCTATACCCTGACTGCATAAGCTGTCTTGTATGCAGGGGGGTTGGATGGCAGAATGGTTAGCATGTGTGCGCTATATCATAAGATCTGTCATTGAGTCCACTGGCGTGGTTTTGATTGCCCAGTTGTACGTGACAAGGAGTAAGGTTGCCTGTCCAACCTTGTTGGTTTTCTCCTGGTCCTCTGGTTTCCTCCCACTGCTAAAAACCCCTACGCGCAAGCAAATTATTGAAATAAAATTGAACCATGTGTTATTCCCGAAATGACCCAGTTTGTGTCAAGTCAACATTAAACTCATTTCTCTCTCTTTCTTTCTGTCTTGAATGCCAGAAACGTTCCAGCAACTCTTCCAGATTACATGACCTAACACAGTACATAAGTTTGGTCCTGGATTTCAGAACCAAAGAAGCTACTTGAGGGGTATTAAAAAAAAAGTTATTTTGAATGTAGTATATTACCTGTGGTAGTCCATATTGTATTACAGGTGTATTATCTATACCAGCTGATAAATGTTGTAATAATATAGCTGTTTGTTCTCCTACTTCACTAACTAGTTTATCTTTACTACAGTTAAATAGATCACACACAGAATTAACACCAATACCAGCTAATCTCTTAGCCATTCCATATCCTATACCTAAAATAATACATACATTTATACATTTACCCAATACTAATTAAATACTACCTCATTATTGTGAAACACTAACATAATACTTCAATTATATAAACAAAATTGAGTTTTTTAGACATAAAGCATCATACTTAACAACATTTGCCAACTTTAAACCACAATTAGTAAATAAGCTAACTTTCACTTAATCATTCCAAATAAAATTTAAAAGTACTGTTAAGTCTTTATTTTGATCTAAACCAAAGTGGTTTAGCTTTTTTAACGTATTTAAAATAAGATTCATTCAAATTTTGAAATAACGTCTATGTGTTGATTACCTGGTATATTTTGAGCTTTAGGTAGAGAGTTTACTAATTGAAATGACTGATCAGGAAAGAGTGTAGTTTGTTGATTAGGTTTATGTATACCAGCAACAAGTTTAGCTAATAGTTTATTATATGATATACCAGCACAACATGTTATTCCTAGTTCTTGTAATAAACTCTGTCGTATTTCACTAGCTATCTGTGATCCTACAGTAAGTCTCAGATTACATCCACATGAACATTGTTTATATTCTGTAAAATATAATATCATAATACATGTATACAGTCTCTCTAGATGGATTAAATATCACTGTTTTCTTCTCTGTTAAACAATCATTAAACATATAATGTTATTGAGTATAGCACTGGATCATGAGGTCCCACCCATGTTTCTTTGGAATTTTTTCAGTCTGGTTTACCCTTGTCAGTGGTGTCGGACAGACCGTTTAACAAGTAAAAAGCATCTAGTCTTTTAGATGGGCTAAAAAACCATGTCTCACCTGTGTAAAAGAACCTTTGATATTTGTCATTTGATGAAGAGTAGACTGAAATGTTACTGCCTGTGGTGCATTGGTGCCAGACATTGTGCCGGTATCAAGGACATTCGGATAGCAATTTTGTGAACAACCAAACCCTTAAAGCTTTGGCTATCCAGACAAGATATATTTAGTGCACCCTTTTTGGAAGATATGGCACAAGTATACTTTTAAGATGTTATAAAGAAATAGTGAGTTATTCTTGTTTTGATTTAATATCAGTATTACCATTAATATTGACATCTTTATCATCTGATCCATAGGTATATCCAGATACCAGATGAAGTGTTTTCTCCTTCATTCTTGTCCCTACTAGATCGGATACATCTAAAAAATTCTCATCAAAACCTAGACGTTCAACTTTCTTAGTATATTTCAACAGATGTTCTAAAAAGAAAAAATATAAACTTGATAATTTGAAAATTCCAAAGTATAAAAAACACAAGACTTGAATTAATAAATAATAAAGAAATCAGAACACAGCATCTTTAACGTTTTTTCAAACTAGAATCAATTATCATCTTTTTAAAAAAAATCATTAAAGTTTATAGTTTTACTGTCCAATATGCAAAAGTTAGCTATTAAAAAACATTAGATGAAATGAAATGGGGTTTAATGTCCTACTGTTCTGCTCCTAACCTGGGCTAATGAAGACGGGCAAAAGCCATACAGTGTGCTATGAGGGAAATTTTGCCCGGGCGGCGGCGCTACGGCCTACTCTTATATCATATTCCAACTGCCAAGGGATCTTTTACGTGCACGCCAATGTGTACACGGGACATCGGTTTTTCGTCCCATCCGAAAATGACTAGACAGCTGTCCTTGTCAGGCCCTCCGTCCTGCATCAATGACAAGGGGAAACCACGCTGGAAAATCGGAATGAACTTTCTCGGCCGATGCAGGGATCGAACACCCGACCTCCAGGCTAGCGAGCCAGCCTCTTAGCCACGTGATGAAAAAAACAAAAAAAAAAAAAAACATTAGAAATCTATGATTTCTCTCATGTTTTAGGATATGTGTGCTGACAAAAAAAACCCCAATGAACACAATAAAAAGAACCAACCAGATATCCTATAGGACATTTTACGATAATCTGTTAAATCTTCTCCACTAACTAATACCAATGATGGACATTTAGCCCTGGCATCTTTAATGGACATCAACTTATTAACACCTAGAGCTCTAGCTGGATAATTACATGTGACTATAATATACTTCTGCTGAATACCTAAACAAAAAATCATTGAATTTTAAAGAGGGAAAATAGCATTTGTTAGCAAATGGTTGCAATCTAAATTATGCGTCAAGTTCTTGTTTGTGTCCTAGAATAAGATAATTCATCTCTGTAATTCTACCCAGCTGTAAATAGGTACTGGTAGGATGGTGCCATCCTCGGTTACCCAGTGTACTCATTCCGTTCTACTCCACTATACCCTGAGTTAATCCATAGGGTTTCCACGATTTCAAATTATCTGCCCTGGCCTAGAATGTAGCTACAGTCTACGAACCAATCAGAAAACAGTTTACAAACCAATCGTTTAGCCTTCGTTTTTATAAGGGTAGATAACCATATTCATGTCCATTTACTGAATGATTTATGTAAATGATGTATATATTTATAATTTATTTGATAAACACTAACTTGTCAACGATTACGTGGACATAAAATCCCAAGAACGAATGAAGGATTCTCAATAAAACTAATGACCCTACATTGTTATATGTACCTCTGGTCTTCATTAACATAATATATAGTGGGTTGTTAATAATTACGCATTTAGAATAGGCCAACTCCTAACATTGTCCGATGAGAGTAACTTCCCTTTGCCAACTTCCTTTTCAAATAATAATTTATTGAATTGGTCGATAAAAATAGCACAATCATCAGGGGCGGATAACTTGAAAACATGTCTCCCCCATAGATTAACCCAGGGTATAGTGGAGTAGAACGGAATGAGTTCAAGGGTAAAGCAATCTGATGAAAATACAGATCTATATTTTGTTTTGTTTTTTATACTTTCGATAACCTACACTACATGAAGATCTGACCCTGTGACGTCAGACATTGATTTATCAATCAGGTGTGACGTTTGTAGTGGTTTACCCACAGTTCTGTACATTGCACGCCTAGAAGTCTCTGTAACAGATGGTTTCATTGGCTAATATCCCTCACGCCATCTAGAACGCAGGTGACATAACAACTCATCCAGATCCTAGTGTAGTCAAGACAAGTAAAACGAAATTTTGAACTCTAAAAAACAAAACGAAATAGGATCTGTGTTTTAATCAGGTTAATGGTAAAGGCTTTACCTGTACGATATCTTAGAGATTGGGATATTAATTGTATCACACTTTGACCACAACCCTTGTAGATAAAGTGCATTACAAATATATATACACATATTATTATAAAACAGGATTTCTTGAAATGTACTGCATCTGCTAAAAACATGGAATACTGAAGTCATACTTCAGTCACACCCTCACAGCCACAGGCTAATGGTTTCCATGTTTTGGTAATAAGTCTCGAATTACTTGCATAAGTTAATAGTGGTAAGTGATAATTGAACAGTGGAATCCCTTAAGGGTTATGTAACCCTAAGCTATCTGACCTATTTCTTCCCAATATGGCATTTCATTTGTATACTTATACCCTGATTTGTCAACAGTAACATTGTGAAATCTGGGACTACCTTAATACATGAAACCTCACTTTATCATTTATCAACTGAATTTTACACTTGCCAGAAGTAACAAAATGAAAACTCACCAAGAGGTATATTAGCAAGGTTTGGATTTTTAATCATTTCTACTTGAGCATAAAAACAATCCATATCAATATGTATGATGGTTCGGAGGTGTTGTGCTTCAATGTTTGCATGTTCTGAAACAGATCAAGATAATTCTGATTAATTAAAAATTGGAAATTGACAATTTGCAATAGTTTATACTTAGGGTTGTAAAAATAAATCAATATATTGCAACGCAATCTACAAATGTATACACGTTTTGTGGATTTGATGCTATATTTATATACAGAGTTTTCCCAATATGTTTTTCAAAACTGCATTTGGCATATCAATGTTTTCACCTTTTTTTAAAAATAGACTGTTTGATTTTTAAAAATAATTTAATTGTATGGAAACACACATTCCTACATGTACAATACCATAATAAAAGGATTTTTGTGCATTGGATTTTTTTTTTTTTTTTTACTGTATTGAAATTTTCCTTTAAAGTAGCTAAGTCTCTAATTCAATATCATCCAAAATCTTCAACATTGCAAACACGATTCATTTGTCAAATTAAATCAACATTCATGTTGTGATCTTACCGGAAAAAGATGGGCTTTTGATATCCAATATTTAAGACAAAATAAACATTTTACCATTGGTACACGAATCGTGTACCATAATGCGCTTCAGCCCCAGTTGTATCAAGAGACTCGAGGGACGAGGCTAGACACATTGCACCAAATCAAACGGCGTATGTAGACTGGAATAACCAGACGCTAGAAATTTGCACTCGCTTGAGACTGCTGGCTTATTTCGCCGAACATAACTGATTTGAAATTGGAGTAAAAATGGAAACCATTGAATGTAAATCAGTTTATATACATTTATACTACAGTATTATATGTGTTGCGACCTACTCTTGTCAATTTCTAGGTCCCAAATGTTAGCGATTTAGCTCCTTTAAATGTCTTTAAATGAAATGCACCAACCAAACTAATAAAGAGGGTTATACGCTATCATTGCTATGTGGGAAATTGTGCCCGGAGAGGAGCCACACTACAGCTTACCCCATCTCTCTCTCTCTCTCTCTCTCTCTCTCTCTCTCTCTCTCTCGTTGAAACAAGGTAGTGCAGCTTTATGGTTGTTTATATGGAGTTGTGTCTTGCTATTTTTCCAACAGAGCTTGGATCGTCTAAAACCACAGGCTGTAAATAGTGCTCCTTAGAACGCACATTTTACCATTGGTACACTAATCGTGTACCATAATGCGCTTCAGTCCCAGTTGTATCAAGAGACTCGAGGGACGAGGCTAGACACATTGCACCAAATCAAACGGCGTATGTAGACTGGAATAACCAGACGCTAGAAATTTGCACTCGCTTGAGACTGCTGGCTTATTTCGCCGAACATAACTCATTTGAAATTGGAGTAAAAATGGAAACCATTGGATGTAAATCAGTTTATATACATTCATACTACACTATTATATGTGTTGCGACCTACTCTTGTCAATTTCTAGGTCCCAAATGTTAGCGATTTAGCTCCTTTAAATGTCTTTAAATGAAATGCACCAACCAAACTAATAAAGAGGGTTATACGCTATCATTGCTATGTGGGAAATTGTGCCCAGAGAGGAGCGACACTACAGCCTACCTTAAACTTGATTTCAAACCGTTTGTGGGCGATATTTAACATTTTATAACAATGATATACACAATTATATAGATGCCTTTCCTTTTCAGCGTCTGCCTATACACCACTGACAAGTTGAAACTAGACTGGAAATTCCTGGGTAACTTTCACAGTCAACACCTGGATTGAAATAAGACCGTCTGGTTCCTGAGACATCCCCCGTTTATGATGTAAAGAAAAAAACGGAAGTACCCAAGTGGTTGTGGTGGGAGATTTAGGCTACTTACTGTTAGTTACACTTGTAGTACCGGTACCGGTACTTGGTTTAGGTGATGTATAAACCTCTGATTTACTACCATCATCAGATAAACTAACTGGTTTGCTCCAATCTTCCTCTCCATCACTATAATCATCATTGTCATCTTTCATTTTATCCTGGCAGGTAGCCCACTACAGGCCTAGTAGAGCAATCTGTAACAGTGAACGATTTGGTGATTTAATTAAACCCAAGTGCATTTTATCATAAAGAGAGGTAGCTCTGGGGCGGGGGATGGGGGAATGTATCCTTAAATAAGGACACACCTTATCCCTGTGCTCATGATTGATATTGACATGGTTCCAGGCTACATAATTTAAAGGGAACAGCGCAATTTTTCCCTTGGTGTTGGGCTCATCTCATTCTCAGTTATAGACTACCGGTACCCTATTTGGCCTGGGTTATACTTAATCTTATAGGCTATAATTATATAGTATAATATTATTTATTATTATACTACTACTAATAGGCTTTCTTTTAGTTTCAATAAAACTAATGATTTTTGTCGATGTTATCAACACTAGAAGATGCTACACTGATTGTCAAGCTGTATTTATTAACTGGTCGATGATATAGACCTACTTTGAAAGTCTACCGTTACTAAACTAGAAAATGCAATAATATTATGCCCGTTTGCCGTTTAGCTGTCAAAAAAGAGTTTCCTTTCCCCCGCGAGTTGAAGAAGTTGGTTTGTTGTTAGAAGTTAGTTATTCGTTAAATGTATTGAAAGACCACAAATAGGACAGGGTTCATTTAAAAGGCATACCCAAATGACGTATGGGTGTAAATTAAAAAATAAATTATATGACTAATATCTTAAAGTTTTTAATGTTGTGTATGAATAAATTATTGGTAAAATGCAGGCTTTCGCAATACCTCTGTGAAACAGATTGGGTAGTAGAATATTCAAAAACGGAGTTAACTCCCTTTAATTGGACATGAAATTAGTTTGCGGTTAGTCATTTTGTTCTGTATTCACCGAACGAGAGAGAGAGAGAGATAGAGAAATGGGGTTTAACGTTCACTAGACACAAATTAGGTCATTTTGGGACTAACATATGTTTTTGGGGTTTTTTTTAATTTTATTTCAATAATTCGCTTGCGCGTAGGGGTCTTTAGCAGTGGGAGGAAACCGGAGGACCCGGAGAAAACCCCCGAGGTTGGACAGGCGACCCTACTCCTTGTCACGTACAACCGGGGATTCGAAACCACGCCAGTTGACTCAATGACAGGCCTTATGATACAGCACGCACGTGCTAACCATTCGGCCATCCACCCCCTTCACCGAACGAAGTGTACGTGACTGAAATATTTTAGACTTGGCTATAGCCTACAAATCAAACCCGTCTTTTGATGCTTTCTTTATAAACTGCTTTTATCTGTGGGCGCCTATAGATCGACGTAAGAAATAATATGATTCTTCGCGGCGCACCCCCAATTTAGCTCACCCCCACCAGTTTGATTCCAGGAAGTGTGGACCGTTCTGGATATGGACACGCGGGATGTGAGTGCGGTTAAGGCTAAAAGCTAAGAACCATTGAAGATTTCGTCATAGCTTACGAGATGTTAGCCTATTAGGGTTAGGGCACGGGTTGGGATTACGGATAGCCCACAATCACGTGTCCTAACCCTATTTACACCCCGTGACCTATGAAGAAATCTACAATGTTTCTTAGCTTTTAGCATGGCTTTACTTTTAGCCTTAAGCGAGCCTAAAGAGTAGCCCGAATAGATACTGAATCAGTCATAATCATATATATAGTATTAGTAATAGGCGAAGCAGTAAAAGTACATGAATTACTAAGCCAAAATTATCATTTATATTGATTATTCGGATTAAATAGTGGATGCATGCTTTGATATCTACTTCCAAAAGACTATATTAGATGGTATACTCAGACGAACCTTTCATTATGATCTAGAAAATTGGGAAGCGGGGTGGTTCTTTATGGGTTTAACACATGGCCCTGAAACTAATCAGCGAACAGACCCAAATGGACACATGCTTTCGCATGAACTAGGCCTACCTGGCTGATATGATCATTTTTTTTCAGAAAAATGTTTTGCCTTGAATGGGGGCTGCATTTTACGAATATTTCCCCCGAACACCCGAACAACGGCATTCATGGTTGATGTCACTCCCATTTTTGTGTGAAAAGATTAGTTCTTTCATGTGTGAGGGTCTGGCGAGATACAACGCATAGTCTTTCGGATGTACGAAAAACCGACACCCCTGGTACACATTGGCGTGCACTTAAAAGATCCCATACCAGCTGGAATTCGATATAAGAATTCAGTAGTTCCGCTGTCCGAGCAAGCTTTCCCTCGTATAGCACAATGTATAGCGTATTTTCGTCTTCAACCCAGCTGGAGCAGAACAGTGGGACATTAAACCCCATTTCATTTCATTTATTATATCATGTTCAGTAAATCAAAACTAAACGTAACCTCGAGGTCATGACGTCTGTCAGTGTTGCCGAACGACCAGCCAGATTTTCTTCCATGTCGGAAACATATTTTTTGGGCAAAAACAAATTCACTTTGACGTAGAGCAATGGGACCCCCGAAAATGTTTCATCACAAAAATTGAGAGAGAGAGAGAGAGAGAGAGAGAGAGAGAGAGAGAGAAATGGGGTTTAACGTCCACTCGAAACAAACTAGGTCATTTCGGGACTAACATATGGTTTAATTTTATTTCAATAATTCGCTTGCGCGTAGGGGTCTTTAGCAGTGGGAGGAAACCGGAGGACCCGGAGAAAAATCCACGAGGTTGGACAGGCGACCCTACTCCTTGCCACGTACAACCGGTGATTCGAAACCACGCCAGTTGACTCAATGACAGGCTTTATGGTACAGCGCGCACGTGCTAACCATTCAGCCACCCACAAAAATTGAGATTTAAAACCCCGTTTTCAACTAAGAAATATAGTTTCATGGTTCTATTTTAGTTTGTGCCCGCCTTGCAGTCTACACAGCGTTCTTCCCAATACTGTCAGAAACGCATTCGCTTCAGTGAAAGTTGGATGACAAGATTTAGGTCTCTAACAGCAAATTTATGTCTCTCATACAAATCAACAAAAATTGACCTCAGAAATCTTCGGTGACGTGCGAAACCCGCAAATCATCACATTCAGTGTTTTTCTTCTCTTCCAGACGCAGTAAAATGGGTTTATTTTTTTAAATCAATCAGCCCGCATTCTACGACGGACTACCAAAGAGTGGTCCCAACACGTTTCAACTCATTTATGTTTGTCGATTTTGGAACAAGTGTTCTGTTGTGGTAATCTACACGTGCCTATGTTCCTTTCTGTGTCTCGAAAATCCCCAGCTACGGGACAGACATTACTTGAACAAATAAAAATGTTTACTAACTTGCGGATGTTTCCGGTGGATGAACGTAACGCAAATTGTACTCTTGGTAATTATTGACTAGGGATCAAAGGTCTTCGTCGCGCGCATTTGGTGATTGGGATACCGGTTCGGCCAAATAATTGATCATGCAATGACATCGGGGTATTAGGCACTTCACCCTAAACTAAGGACACAACGATTTTTTGACAGGACAAGCACTGATCACTCCTGAACTTTGTCCACTTTAACAAAAAACATACAGTATTTGGCACTATATAAAAGTCTTTGTTATACCTGTGGAATTAATCTTTCTTGAAGATAGTCTAGTGAGGTTCTATTCGATATTTAATCAACTTTAGCCATAACATGGCTACGAAAAGTTTAATCTTATTATTGGTTTGTTTGATAAGTTTGTACTTAGCATGTTGCCAAGAAGATATGTTCGATGACACGTTTGGCGCTGATCCCGGCTGTAAAGATCCTTGGTCAACGGAATGGACGCGCGATGGTGCAGACTGCACGAAGGTTCATTTCTGTGTCCAAGGAAAGAAATACTGGACCATCACTTGTAACGATACACGGGTGTGGTCTAATACTGGGCATGCCTGTGTTTTGCCATTCTCACAATGGGATGATTGTAACCAAGTTATGACGACCCCAACTATAAGTAAGTATGCTTTTATTTTGACTGTTCCAACTGTCAATGATTCTTTTACGTGCACATACGGGTGCACATATATGAAGACTAGATCTATTTGTTACGGCCAACTCATTTTTCGTCAAGGTCGCTGAGATAAAAATAAGGTTAGAGCACGTAATTGTCGGCGAGATTGTAGGCAAGAGTTAGGGAAAGCGTTAGAGTTAGGTCCAGACTTAGGGCTAGGGTTGGGATTATCGCTAGCCCTGTTTACATCTCGTGACCTTTGAACAAACTTGAAGTTGACCTTAACAAATAGATCTAACCATATATGAACTTGAAACATGTTCTGACATGACAACAGGGACGGATTGGGGACGGGAAAGGGCCATCACCCTAGAAGGGAATCCGGTGTGGTTTCTCTATCCCGGCTGCGATTAAATCATTGAACAGATGACTGTAAATGGTGCCCTCTTCTAGAGTATTTTATGATGTTTCCGGGTTATGCACAAATTAAGCAATCTTACCAATTCATCCAAAATTTAAGATCAAAAAGGTCTCCCAGACTTAAACAAAATGACGCCAAAACTAGGTGAGATCATTCATTTCTTTAGGGGAAACCGAGCCTACCTTATTCGCAAGCTCCTTCTCTGTCCATCTCTGCACAATAGAGTCTTATAACATTTTATTCTTTCGATTTTAATGAATGCTTGATATTGGAACTATCTTTCATCGCGCCTACTACCGCCTGTGTTTACGATCCAGGTGAGTGTTCAAAAGGACACAAGGCTCACTTACCTTTGGACATAAGCATAAGTGTATTACGAATTGTCTTGGCGTTTGATCGATACGGATTGCTCTCACTATTGTAATTATATTGGGTATTGATTAGAATCCGGAATTATTCAGTTTACTTTTACTTTTTAGATGACGAAAGATGTATAGAACCAAGTGGAATGAACCCTGATCCAGACAACTGTGCCCAATTTTTGGCATGTACCAACAGAACTGTAGTAGCTACCATGTCCTGTCCTGAAAATACTCTATTCTCTACCAGAAATAATACATGCGAACTTAGTTACATGGTTGCAGATGAATGTCGTACCAGAAGTATTCCTAGTCACATCTCCGTCAGTAAGTACACCTTTGGTTTTAATAGTAGGCGTAGGGAGAGGGGTGGGGTGGGGAAAATATCTGTTTTGGTGGTGGAGATGGTGGTGGTAGCGATACTTTTCGGACCGCGAATAAAACCAATTTTATAGACATTCCAGATAACAACATACTAATATGTTGAATGTAACACGGTTATTTTCCACTATTCGTATTTATATTGATTCTTATAAACGGCGTTTTAAGCCAAGCTTACAACTCGCCGTACGTCCTACTACGGGCAGTCTACTTGGGGAATTTTAGTAAACCCGTGCGTGAGACTTACGCGTCAGTCGTCTGTGTTCGGCACCGTAGAAGAACGCAGACTGGCCGTAGAGACCTTTGGTCCTGCACATACAAAATGTTCACCTGGTGTCTTGCGGCTGGTCTGCGAGCTACCAAACCCTACGACCCGTGCGTGTCAAAACACTTAAGGCGGGTTGTGAGCTAGGCTTAAGTGATTTAGGCGTTGGTTCACTAACAATAAAGTCCCGGGTTCGACCTCGCTGTTAGCTCAGACAGTTCCTCTGAATTTACGAGCGTGGCTTCCTCATACCAGTTGTACAGGAAGGGGGTCTGGCAAGAAACAGCCTCTACTCCTTCGGAAGTGAGCGAACGCTGAGATGCCGTTCACATAAAAGTACCCCTGACGCAGATTTGAAGAAAACGCCGTTTCCTGGCCAAAATGCCCCCATACAGCACACTTCATGGCGTATGTCCATATTCATTATCCCGGTTGATGCAGAAAAGTAGGACGTTAAAACCCATTTCATTTCCGTAGAGCCCCAGCGTCTCGTCGTTGACGGTTGGAATTCGAATAAGAAAAATGCCGCTGCCCGGACAAAAATGCCTTCATGGCGTATGCTGTATTTGTACGGTTGGAGCAGAAAAGAAGGACATTAAACCCCATATCCTTTCCGTGATGGACTTATCAAACTATCAATCTGTTGTCATGATGTTCATTCGACAATATTTTGTGTTCCTTATATATAGTTGTATAAGTTTGCCGTTATAAAATACATCATCACCTTCGGTTCGTCGTTATTGATTTAATGATTGTCATAATTCTGTTTCCAGCAACTGCCAGTCCTATTATTGATAAACCATGTGAAGGAACAAAGAACGGTGATGTAGCTGATCCACGGAACTGTGCCAGATTCTACAAATGTAACTATGGTCGTGTAGTAGCTAGAGTCAAGTGTCCCAGTAACAGCCATTTTTCAGATATTAAACACAAGTGTGACTGGAGAGCTAATGTTGAATGCGGCAGCCGACCCGAGGCATAAAATAAAACTGTTTTAGAATGCGGAAGTCAACCCGAGGCATTAAACAAAACAGTTGCAATTGCTATGACGTTCTCGGTGAATAAAACTTGCTCAAGTTAAAATTTGCAGATTAATGAAAAGCATCCATAATTGAGCACACACTTTATAAACAAGACGAGTCCATTGCGAGGAACAATGGCCTAGTTTCTATTTATTAAAGGAACAATAAAACATATGGTTCTTTTTTTTAATTTAAAAACTGTTATTACAATCTAATTTTAACAATTATTTTATAAACCTCAGATAAATAAAGAAGACCGTGGGTTCTAATGTAAAGATAAATCCTCCATAACTTATACATTAGAATTGAAAAATCTGCATGATTTGCACAAATGTTTGAAGTCTTTATTCAGATACGATGCCCCTTTAATATAATTTAAATTCAAACTAACAGTATTACTTTTTACTAATGTTACCCTGTATATACATTTATATATTTCAAGTATTAAAGTTTTTTGTTTATTTCAATGTTTTCATGTAGATCTCAAAAACTATCCTTTCTTACTCTTCCCTTTCGTCGGTGTTCACTAGGATAATAGGTGATAGAAAATGTGTTTGATGTATATTTGTGAAATGTTTTTTAATAAATACACTGAATACAATTGTTGTGTTCGACCAAACTAAAGAGCGTAGTATTATCGGGGTGGTTCTCCTTCCTTTGGCGCCAAGAGGCGCGGTTCGAGCGGTCCGAATCCCGGTTGGGAGCCAGAAGAACCTTCGGTCGTGTCCATAGCAGAGAGAGGGGTGGCTTATAGTCCACTCGACACAAACTATGTCATTTCGGGACTGACATATGGTACAATTTTTATTTCAATAATTAGTTGCGCACAGGGGATTTAGCTGTGGGTGGAAACCAGAAGTTCCGGAGAAAGTTAGGCAGACAACCCTAATCACAAACAAGTTTGACAGAATGACAGAGCGAGCTTAATGATGTAAAAATCACGCATGAGACCATTCGGCCATCCCAACCCAAATCTGCCACTGGTAAACATTGTCATTCTTAGAAGCCCACATCACATATCAAGCTGGTTACATTGCCTTTCGACCTGTATCTAGAGTTTGTTTCAAAATGTTTGCTCCTTAGGCTACTTCACTCGTCTGATGTTTTCCTGCTAAATCCTAATTTTAAACGTTTGATGTGTACACCAATGAATATACCGGGGTTTGGTTTTGTTATTTTTTGTCCCATCGACCACTAGGCAGCATTACCCCTGACAAATGGGAAGTGAGCCCTTGTTCTTACTAAAACACACGTAATACACCGATCAAAGGTGTAATTATTACCTCTCCAAATAGGTGTCCCTAAGGTCTGGTCTCAAAACCTCCCGTACCATCGAAAGTTAGTGGGGTGGGGAGGACAACTGGGTCTTATATTATGCTTTCTAACTTACTCTTGGTGATTAACTATCATGATATCAACAACGCCAATAACGACACAGCTAGATGTCCATATGGAGACAAACAACAAACCCTCCCTCTATCTCTCTCTCTCTCTCTCTCTCTCTCCTTAGTCTTTTTTTTTGCATTGATATGGTTGTTGACATTTTGTTCTATAATTTGAAAAAGAGGGGTTGCAATGACATTTTGGGTCAGGTTATTGTAAATATTCAGCCTTCAAGATCTATCGCATTATTTCTGTTACGTCTTTCTTGTAAATCTTTTTTTCTTTTTTTTAAAATTTTGAATGAAGCTTGTTTATATCATTACAGGCCCAGGGACCGTACAGCTCTGTGGACGCTTACTGCCACTTGATAGGTGTTGATTACGGTGTTAGTGTATCACAAAATCTGTAGTGGAAATCGTTCAGTCCAACAAAAATGTGGGGAAAAGTAGGAGGCGGACAAAGAGACGAGAATTAAAGGAGCCAAGTCTCTAAATCAATATTTTTCATAATATTCGAAATTAAAACACAAATTAGAATTCAATATTGTTCCATTTCTATCCATATTGATGTTTTGATGTTGCCGTGAAATTGTGAGATCCTAATATCCAATATCTAAGACACAATGAACGTTTTAAAATATGGTACACGACTCGTGTACCATATCGTTTCGGACGCAAAATCAATGAACAAAGAAAAACATATCCTAAATTACAATACGACAGTAACAGTAATGGCTGATTCAGAAATGATAAAAGAATAATAAAAAAGAAACATTTAGAACATTTAGGCGTAAACACTGTCGTTTAGTTTGGGCTGTTCAAGTATTTCATAGAGAGAGGGAAAGAGAAATGGGGTTTAACGTCCACTCGACACAAACTAGGTCATTTCGGGACTAACATATGGTTTAATTTTATTTACACAATTCCCTTGCGCGTAGGGGTCTTTAGCAGTGGGAGGAAACCGGAGTATTTCATAGAACATAATTGATTAGAAATTACATTTTTTTTTAAAAAAAAAAAGTATAAAAATCACTTTATATACATTCATATTACATTAATATGTGCTTTTAGACCCATTTATGGTTCCAAAAAATAGAGCCTATGGGGGAAATAAATTGTGGTCTGTACCCATATGCGGTTATTCGTTTAATCGGTTATCGTTACCCCCACCTTCTTATATTGTCATCCAAGCCCGCGACCAACACCAGTTTTAAATAGAAAAAAAAATGACCGAGTATGTGGTTTGGAAGTTTGACCAAGTGTCAAGGGTGTTTGTCGAGGAATTGTATGCCGGATTTAATAAATTCATTAATGTATAAAATAATATTAAATGATAAATTTTGATACATAATGAAAGACACCGATGCCATTTAAGCAAAATGATTTGTACATAATTTTGACGAGTGGCTGCATCATAGCATCTCGCTTGAAAATTCTAGAGGATGTACAGTGATGCTTATGCCTCCATCCATGGCCGGTTAGGCAGGGACGCACAACAGCCCCTCCCCCCCCCCCCGGAGCTTAGTCCAGATATACAAATGGGCCGATTTTTTGGCCGAGTGGGCTAGGGTTTTTTGTTGTTTTTATTTTTGTTTTGTTTTGTTTTGTTTTTTTGTTGTTTTTTTTTGGGGGGGGGGGGGGGGTAATGGGCCGGTTTGTCGGAGTTTCTTACACATTCAATCAAACAAAAATCTGGCCTACAAATCAATATTCTATGGAGTCATTTAAAAATTACATAATGCTATACTTACTAACTACTATTCGACCTAACTGGGGGTAATAATTGATTTTCTAATCCTGAGTGGGCCGAATTTTTATGAGTTGGCCGTAAGGCTCAAAGTAAGTAAATCCGGCCCTGCACCCACGCTACTGACTGACTGAAAAGATGTTTTAAACTAAATGACATTTCTTACACGGTCGTTCTCTTCACTTGTCGATTTCGGTGTGAAATTGGTTTAGTCGCACTTTCCACTTTTTTTTTTAACAATGTCAAATATCACTCGACAACCTCTGTCCACGTTTCTGTCATCATCATTTGGACACAGTCACGTGACATATGTGTGACATTTGATCAGTCGTAAAATCGTGCAGAGCGAAGAAACTGTCCCGAAAAGTAGAACAGGAACAACTATTAGCAGCCTGTAAAATATCAGTTTTATCCAGTTGTAAGAGTGCGTTGACCGACTGTTGGTAGCCCCCAGTTGCACCCTGCAATCACTCACAAATTTCTTGCACCTACATAATATACCCTTTCGGAAGCTCGGTCTACGCAAGTATTAATTCATAACAATAATGGATCCATATTTGAGGGTCCATAGCCGAGGGTCCTGATCCTTGAATTTTACTTGAGAAAAAGGTCATTCGACTAAACGTGGAGGATTGGATGGCCGAATGGTTAAAACGTGCGCGCTGTATCATAAAGCCTGTCATTGGGTCGACTGGCGTTGTTTCGAATCCCCGGTTGTACGTGACAAGGAGTAGGGTCGCCTGTCCAACCTCGTGGGTTTTCCCCGGGTCCTCCGGTTTCCTCCCACTGCTAAAGACCCCTACGCGCAAGCGAATTATGGAAATAAAATTAAACCATATGTTAGTCCCGAAATTACCTAGTTTGTGTCGAGTGGACTTTAAACCCCATCTCTCTCACTCTCTCTCTCTCTCCTAAACGTTGTTTTAATTACTCCCGTAGAAATATACATATTCATATTTTTTAAAACATTTTGTTGTGTTGATATTTATTTGTCTTATCACATCGTACATGCCAAAATCATACTTATATTAGATGGGGTTTAACGTCCTAGTCTTCTGCACCAATCAGTCTACTCGGGTTTGTTACGCCAACTCAACGACTAGACGTTTCTTTTTTCCTGGCCAGGCCTCCCATCCCGTACAATCGACAAGTGGTAACCAAGCTAGAAAATCCCTAAGACTTTCTCGGCTAATACCGGGACCTCTTCGCCTGTCCAACCTCGTGGGTTTTCTTCGGGTCCTCTGGTTTCCTCCCACCGCTAAAGACCCCTACGCGCAAGCGAATTATTGAAATAAAATTACACCATATGTTAGTCCCGAAATGACCTAGTTTGTGTCGAGTAGACGTTAAACCCCATTTCAGGTTCATCCAGATTTTCCAGCGTGGTTCCCCCTTGTGAGTAATGCAGGACGAAGGGCCTGACAAGGACAGCTGTCTAGTCCTTCGGATGAGACGAAAAACCGAGGTCCCGTGTATACATTGGAATGCACGTAAAAGACCCCTTGGCAGTTGGAATTCGATATAAGAGTAGGCGATAGTGCTGCTGCCCGGGCAAAATTTCTCTCATAGCACACTGTATGGTGTATGCCCGTCTTCATTAGCCCAGCATAGGAACAGAACAGTAGGACGTTAAACCCCATTTTATTTCATTTCATTTAAATCCCATTTATCTCTCTCTCTCTCCCCCGGGACCTCTTGATTAGTGAACAAACGCCATACTTATACTGGGTTCCCACTGTCATGCGATGCGTTACGATAGGATTGCCCCTATTAGAGACTTTTGGCAAGCGGATTTTTCCCATCCGTATCCCGTATCCGTATCGTATACGTGATACGCTGCGTCAATGTAGTTTTAGAGTTTTGGCAGATTTTAGAAATTTTTGGTTTCACTAATGTATCATTTCAGAAAGTTTAGCCCGTAGATCAACCAGTATGCAGACAGGCGGGAAAAATATGAAAATTTCGAGAACAACCCATCGAAAATAATGATTAAATTGCAGTCGTTATCACTGTTAAAATCACATCAAATATACACCTTCGTGTTCTAGGATACACAAAGATTCATAAAAACGCTATGATGCAACATTTCAGAGTCTAAAAGTAGCAAAAACGACGGTAAAAAGACGACAGTGTTATACGGACCATTTCCGTATGAAAGCCGTTCCATACGTGCTGCCGTATCCGTGTGCCGTATCACGTTTGAGAAATACACAGACATTGATGACGTCACACGCAAAATCCATACGGATACGCGATACGGACCAGGAAATTACGCTTGCCAAAAGTCTCTATTGAGTCCACGATCTGGTACGTCTAGATATGTTCGGATACGTTTCGATCAACACTATTGCTACGACTGACCTCAATGTATAATAAGACTGATAGGATCATCATTATTACTCCACGATTAAAACCACGATTTCAATCGTAGCGGGAATCGTGATAGTGGGAACCTAGCATTACTAAAGTTTCATATTAGGGAAGAAATCCAAAGATAAGCTTGGATGAGATTTGAAAGTTTTTTGGGTATGTTTTTCAATTACTTGTCAAATGTTCAGAGAGAAAAAAAATAACGGTTCGAAATCATTATTTTCTTAGATGTCACGATTAACAAAAGTCCTCAAAATGTCATTTGTCAAGTAGTTGATCCGCGCGTGCTATAATCGAGGCTTACAACAGGCAACTTGTTTTAACATCATCAAGCGTGTTTACTGTAATGGCAGTGACAAGTCACAAATAATCGTGGCTTTAACAACTTGTTTAATTTTTTCTTAGTTAAATCAACATATTTTTAAACACGGGGTATCATTTTCGATTACCAATGAATCCACAACATAGGGATTGTGTAGTAAATTCGCCTTTTAATGCCAAAACCGCTGACACAGCGTAAAACTGGCTTTTGGTGGGATAAGGAATATGGTTTTATGTAAAGTAAACTTTATCCAATCCCAGGTGCCGTTCCATTGCAGTATTTGTACTATTGGTGTATTTCCTTCTCATTGCTGACTTTGCTTAACATTATTGATAACATTGTCTCTACTTATCATCCATGGTGTCTGCTTGTCATGCATGTCTCTGCTGATCGACAATGGTGTCTGATTATCATCGATGTCTCTGCGTATCATCGATGTCTCTGCATGTCATCAATGTCTCTACTTGTCATCGATCTCTATGCTTGTCATCAATGTCTCTGCTTATCACCAATATCTCTATTTATTAACGGTGTCACGGTTTGTCATCGATGTCTCTGCTTGTCATCAATACCCCTGTTAATCATCGATGCCTCTGCTTATCACCAATGTCCCTGTTTATTAACGATGTCACGGCTTGTCATCGATGCCTCTGCTTGTAATCGATGTCTCTGTTTATCAACGATGACTCTATTCATCATCAATGTCATTGATTATCATTTATCATGGCTACCCTTGTTTGTCAGCGCTCGTTATGCTGATCACTAGTGCATTGGACATTATCGATGCTCATGCGTATCACTGTATTATCATATACGTCTTGGCGGATTATTAGCGAATTTGGCGATAATTGATATTTCCTCTGTAGTATAATTAGCGCCTGTGCTGTAGATTGGAGTCGCACATGCCAACTCCCTTTTCATCTGCTAAAAACAAGAAAATAATCTTTACATTGTTAAATCTTGTCAAATCATCACACGTGTTTATTAAACGCCTTCCAAATGAATTAACAAACATCTAGCAAAACTCGTAAAAGCAGTCTACGGGGTATTTCTTTGGTGTATACATTTATCCAAAGTGTGAATATTGTGTATATACAAATATATTCCAATTTAAAGAGACAATTTATACAATGTATTGTATCACAAAGGTTGCCTTATTTTAGAGTACGATAACGTAATGTAATTCAATGTAATGTAATGTAATTGAATGCATTGAAATGTAATAAGACTATTGATTGAATAATTTTATGGCAGAGGGTGCTTTTTTTTATAAGACTGTAATATAATAATTTTATGACAAAAGTTGCCTTATTTTATAATACTGTAATGTATTGTCATAATACTATTAATCTTGTAATATAATGTAATAATTCTAATATTACTGTCATAATTCTAATACTACTGTAATAATTTTAATATTACTGTAATAATTCTAATATTACTGTAATTATTCTAATATTACTTTAATTATTCTAATATTACTGTAATAATTTTAATACTACTGTAATAATTCTAATATTACTGTAATAATTCTAATATTACTGTAATAATTCTAATATTACTGTAATAATTCTAATATTACTGTAATAATTCTAATATTACTGTAATAATTCTAATAATACTGTAATAATTCTAATATAACTGTAATAATTCTAATATTACTGTAATAATTCTTATAATACCATAATATAGTTAATGTAATACTACTATTAACACGATAATATAATAATACTGAATAATTCGAATGGCGAGTTAAGGGTTTATAAAGGTTAAAAGTTTCAATGTGGTTATACAGAATCCAACCTTTCACGTTTTTCACCTTTGGCACTTATAGTATAAAATTAGTGGTGATATATCGGCACTCCTATTACTCCTTCGACTTAATTCTCCACCAGAATTTCTTCAATCTCAGTTTTTGTCAATGAAGTATGTACATTTCACTGATCTGGATAATATTTACTTACATTGTATACGTGTTAAGATGAAAATCTACTTTCTTGTACTTATATAAATTTACTCTTGTAAATTGACGCCATTGCAACGCCTATTAAGGGAATATAAAATCATTTTGCGTTCCTCTCTTTCCTTGGATTCCATTACTTACCATGTTGTTCCTGGTGATATCAGTTCTGCTTCTGGGAGCAACTACTGCTCAGTCTGGTATCTGTAGTTCTCCCAACACTGTTGGAAGAATATATATGGACCCTGGTGATTGCACTTATTATTATCAGTGTGCTAATGGTAAAGATCACAGAATCTACCCATGTTCTGCAGAAGAAGTATTTGATCCATGGCGGTGGGTTTGCGTCCCTAATACGGAACCAATTAACTGCACCTTAAACTACAATTACTGTAAGTTTCGAGTAATTTTTAAAATAGCAATAAAATGTACGAGGATGTTTTCTGTTTTCAGCCGATTTTTTCTCTCTTTTTAAAGTCAGTTTTAGAAAAAAAAACTTGAGAAACTTTTGCAAGATTTGCAGCTTTACAAATCCGATCTAAAACCTATATGTATATGTTATTAGATGCAGAGACTTCTGATTCTTTTCGAAAAACCCTATATTATTTTGTTCTTGGAAAGCCAATTGATTTCAATGTGTTACCGTGATAAAGAACTGCCACTTTGTGTTTATGGAACTTGAATACCCGTAACATTTGCACATTTGTTATTATATTTTTCTGTATAATCGCCTCACATTTGCTGTTATATTTTCTGTATAATCGCCTCACATTTGTTGTTTTTTCTGTATACTTTCCTCACATTTTTTAGTACTGTATTAGCTTGATAATGTCGCCCAAATAAATAAGTAGTTCCTTTTCCATAAGTGCATGCGTGTTGTAGTTTATATTTTATCAGTTTATTTATATATATAAACTATATTTTATATTATGCATTTCAGTCGATCAGTTATGTAGTGACACGGTTGCCGGAACAGTGGCTTACCCGGACGATTGTGCCAAATATTTGTCCTGTTGGGAAAGGTTTTTTATATTTCCACCAAGGATATGTGGCCATGGAACTTTATATAATGAAGTTGAACAAAGATGTGACAATATTAATGATGATAGTGGACAGTGTGGTAATAGGCCTTTCAGCGCTAGAACTTACAACACGGAACGTGAGTATACTTAAAAGGAATTTCATTAAAAAATACTCTTTCACATTGTCAGTGTTGGAAGTGGTAAGCATTATGTAAGATTAAGATACAAAGCTGGCTGGCCGTTCTACTAGCTATATTGGTTCAAAAATAGATAATGAAAAATGAATATTTTGATACTTTCGTTCAATTTACTTTATTCGGAGCGAAGATATAGCGCAGATTGTTTATTATCTTTACAATTTTTTAATCTAGAGAGTTGATTATGGGCTTGCCATGTTAAAGATGCATTATGTAAGAGTTAAATCGGCCTATTACATGGTTTTATTTTGATTTCAAATGATATGTAAATTATTATTTAAACATTTATTGATATGACAAGTCTATAATCAACCCTCTAGTTCATCGGATGGCGCATACGTAAACAGATCAAAATACGATCGCCATTTAATGATTTAATTTAAAAATGGAGGAGCGATGCTGAGTCTCGATTAACAAGTAACGTTGCTGCGATAGTAAACAATTTAAATCAAAACTTTAAATTGTGATAATGTCGCTAGAATAAAGTAATCTGAATGAAATTTTCAATATATTAATTTTGAATTATCTATTTTGGAACTATTATAGCATTTTATTTAAATCTTACATAATCCATCTTTAACCGTAAAAATGGATAATCGAGACTTTGTTTACTATCGTAACAACGGTAACAATGACAATCGAGGCTACAGTGTGATTAAAATAAGGATTTCTCGGTTCTAAGTGAAGTAATTTTACTGATATTTTCAGCATATTCCCTTTACATTATCTCTTTTTTTACTACTATAGCGAGAATTGTCAGCTCTTTATCTACTCTTCCATAATGCTGCTTTAATTAGCTCACAAAATTAACTTATTTCGTCTTCAAATTAATTCTATAACAATTCTTTAAATTATTAAGAAAAATATGTTGGAAATATAAAAAATGATTTCTTATTTAGTGTTAAATAGTACGCGAAGGCGTAAAATGAGTAATAGGCACCAATTCTGCCCAGATTAGTTTGTGTTGCTATTACGCACTATGTAAACAAAGCACGCGCTATGTGACATCTCAGTACGGTCTACTCATATCGAATTCCAACTGCCAAGGGTTCTTTTACTTGCACGCCAAGTTTTTCGTCCCATGTCCCATCCGAACGATTATACGTTGTCCCTTGCGATGCCCCCATCCTGGTATCAGAAGACATACACGGAATTCTGGCTTCTTACATTTTAATGTTCATTATCCTTTATTATTACCTTCTCTTTTTCAGCATGTGTGTATAGACCAATGCCAGGTGACTGTAACAAATACTGTGACTGTAAAAACAAAGATGACTGTCGAGCTTGTGGTAAAGGTACTTACATGTCCGAATCTAAAAATGCATGTGTTTTGCGTTCAGGTCTTACTTATAGTGAGAAAGAATATTGTAATTTAACATAATAAGCATCACAGTTTGTTTATTTAATGGTTGTAAACTTTTAATTTTGTCATTTAATAAAATAATGTGCCCGAGACGTCTTTCTAAATGCTGTATAAGAAACGATCGAAATGCCTAATCAATATCTATGTTCATTTCTAAAAATCTATACTGATAATAAAATTGACTGATAAATAAGTATGGTTGTATTTTTTTTAGAAAGGCTAATCTTTATTTTAACAATAACGGCATTCCATTAATGGATTCTACAATACAGATCATTGCCGCTGCTGTTGCCTCTGCTGGTTCTGCTGTTGTTGTTTTCTGCTATACTATGGGACTAAAAGCCGTGTTTATAGTGTCGACGAACATTTGAACCCCATGTCATAGATTTATGCATGGGAGAATCCTATCGATATTTATCGTTTCGTGACTTTTCGTTCTGGAGTTACCCCCACCCCTTCTGAATTCTGAAAATCTTGTTAAATTGTTAATGCGATTGAGCTTACGGTGTTTAAAGGATTATATTTCAAATTTGGTGTGAAGCATTTGGGTCACTAGAGGACAAACGCTATCGATATTCAACGTTTCTTGACCTTCCTTTCCGGAGTTACCACCCTTTTCTGGGGCCTTTGTTACTATCTTACGGTAGACTCCTGATCTTTGCCAATTACATAGCCGGAAACAAATTCGGGTTCAGGGCACAACAAAACGTTTTAAATTCCAGGATTTTCTCAATTTACTTGGCGAAATGACTTCCTTGGCTGGGCCGAAGGTTATTTACAAGCAAACATGCATGGTTGATGTCTATTGCGTCAGACGATTCTGGGCATTTAAATATTTATGTTTACAGTCCGTCGTTCTTTTTCCCAATTACAGCATCTTCGTTGTGGATTTATTAGGGTCAGTACGGCAGTAATATGTCCTCAATGACCTTCCGTCTGACCAAATATCCGGCCGTAACCTAAAAAAGACACGTTTTGTTGCTAAATACTGATCAGTGGCCTACACTTATACCATGGGTTAAGCTAATAGTATATAAACAAGTAACAATTGACTTCCATTTATATATCTATATAAACATTTGCCAGGAAATATATAAAAGATGTTTGAGAAGCCAATCACATTTCTTTGTTCATGCCCTCGACCATAGAATCGAGCTTTAATAAGCCACACACCTCTTACCTGTATGTGTTGTTGCATTATTTTTACTTTGGGCAAATGGGAATTCCTTTCTGTCAAGTGGGCAAGCAGTGCTTGTCAGTAAATGAAATGAAATGAAATGAAATGGGGTTTAACGTCCTACTGTTCTGCTCCTATGCTGGGCTAATGAAGACGGGCATACGCCATACAGTGTGCTATGAGGGAAATTTTGCCCGGGCAGCGGCACTATCACCTACTCTTATATCGAATTCCAACTGCCAAGGGATCTTTTACGTGCATTCTAATGTATACACGGGACCTAGGTTTTTCGTCTCATCCGAAGGACTAGACAGCTGTCCTTGTCAGGCCCTCCGTCCTGCATCACTGACAAATCGGAACCACGCCGGAAAATCTCGATGAACTTTCTCTGCCAATGCAGGGATCAGACACCCGACCTCCAGGCTAGCTAGCCAGCGTCTTACCCACTTAGCCACGCGATCCCCAGTGCTTGTCAGGTGACCCCCTCAGAATATTATAAAAACAATATATGTTATGGTACATACAAACTTATATAAAACTGCAAAGTTATATGACTCTAGCATTAATATTGCCTTTTAAATCGGGGTTTTCGCAAGTTTCGAAACTACTTTTCTATGACTCGATTTTGGTGTTCTGATTTTTTATCTTCTAGTTATACAATATTCTTGAAATTATGGGGTTATTATACAGCTTAAGAATTAACGATCAAATTTTACAGAACAAGAACCGTCTGCTGTGTACGGTGTGCCTTAAGTGCCAAACATTGATATTTCCGAGAAAAAAAATCAGTATTTCATTACAGTGAAGAAATTTACTACGCTATATTTGAAGTTGTTACTTATCACATGCATAATGTATCAATGGGTATTGTTAGAAAAAGCATTGTTGAAAACCATATCTCTGTCGATTTCTTGTAAAATTAGCTTTGAAAATTAGTTTTGAAAATTGCTAAAATCACTCTCTTTCAAACGCTAAATATGTATGTAGGAGCTTTCCATGAAAGTTGCATGTACACGTGTCGATGATGAAAGGTGCATCTTTGATATTTTAATCCTTCATTTCTTTTTTTCATTAAATTTGAACAGTAAATTATTATTTTATATCATCTTATGCCGATTGGAAAGGATTGATCTAAATACGTCTAACTGCCTGGTCATTATGAAACAAGACCTTCTTAGAAAAGTTTGTGCGTAGTTAACAATTATGCATCAATAACAGACCGGAGGGGTGGGTTGAGAGAGGGGAGGGGTACCATTAATTTATCATTAAATATCAAATACATGGAAAATTCAAGATTTTTAATATATTCGTATATTTACATTTTTCGCCCATTTGAAAGGATATCACTTCCAATATTTTAATTATCATAAAATCACATCCTGTTAGAGCCAGATCGTGGGGAATCACGTGGCTAAGTGGGTAAGACGCTGGCTTGCTAGCCTGGAGGTCGGGTGTTCGATCCTTGCATTGGCCGAGAAAGTTCATCCAGATTTTCTGGCGTGGTTCCCCCTTGTCAGTGATACAGGACAGAGGGCCTGACAAGGACAGTTGTCTAGCCGTTTGGATGGGACGAAAAACCGAGGTCCCGTGTACAAATTGGCGTGCACGTAAAATATCCCTTGGCAGTTGGAATTCGATATAAGAGTAGGCCGTAGCGTCGCTGCCCGGGCAAAATTTTCCTCATAGCAGACTGTATGGTGTATGACCGTCTTCATTGGCCCAGTATAGGAGCAAAACAGTAGGACGTTAAACTCCATTTCATTACAATAGAGACACAAAGGGGCTATAATGGTACAAAGTGTGCTATTACGTAACGACTGGACACTAGCCATTGACCACCGGAAGTCACTGACCAAGCGGTTTAGAATTAAAGTATCACAAAATTAACTAGTAAGCATACCCAATGCATACACAAAATTCATCACTATTAATGATCGGCAGTTTTCTTTTATATTTAACTTTTGTGATTTATCTTGCTTTATGTCATTTCGGTTTTGTTTGTTTCCAAAGATGTGTTACATCCTAGGTAACTAAAAGAATCTTCTCTTTTTTAAAAAATGAATTGGCTTGTTTGTTTTCAAACTGGGATATGTCTAGCCTTAAGAGAAGCGATGGTTTGAGTCAGTGTACCAGATGTTTCCTTAATACCACCTGTATTAACTGCAGATTACAAAGTCAAATACAGTCACACACAAAAACAAGATGGCTGACTGTTTAATTGTGGCAGAAGATAGCTAAAACACGACAAATAAACAAAAACAAACATTAAAACACACGGATCGAGTAACAACGAGAACGAATCCTTTTTTTAATATTTCTCTTCATTGATGGGGAGTCCCTGTGTACCCAATTTCCTGGCATCTTATGCAATCTTTAAGTCTCTGAATTACGGTCAAGTCCTGTAAACGAGTTAATAAAACTCATCAAAATTTTTTTCAACAATATATGATCAATTGGTGTCTGTCATAACAAGTTCAGCCAAATGGCAACGAAAATGTCAGTGTTAGAATTTTCTCAACCTCAGTACCACTCTTTTGTAGAATCACATATTTACAATAGGGAGGATTTTTTAAAATCCTTCATTAGAAATGATACAGAGAGGCGCAATGGTCAGCTACAATAAACCACGTATAAAAAGATGCTTTTGGTTGAATATTTAGCTAAGTGTTGTGCAATTGCTCAGCCCAAGATCAAATTTTCGCCACATTTCTTTCCTCGCACCATGATGAAATGTTATTTAGTTTTGTTGGTTACTCGATGTATGATTTGCTTGTTATGTTATTTTTAGAAAATGTTCACAGAACTACAAACCAGACAATAAACACGTGTCTTGGTCTATTGGGTGATATACAATAGAGAAGTTAACAAACACCAATAATCCATGGCTAGTGGCAATTGTCTTGCAAATTGCATGTTTGCATTATGCATCAACAAAACCCCATTCTAGCACCCATATTCAAATTCTTATGTAATTTACATGTTGAAGTTGTCCATTTGTTTAATCTGACCTCAATATTGGGATCAACGGATCTTCGACTCTACACCGGAAGCCGGCTGGTAAAGTGGGCTAGGGCAAATACGAAAGTGAATCCCCCTTGATGCCTTCTAACCGTGTTCAACTTTTCATCATCCCCTGCGACATGAGCGAAGAGGCACAACTTCTATCTCGACGACAAACAAACACGTTTGTTTAAACACAGACGAATATAAATTCATACACGGCCCTGGAAGCAGCAGCATTTTAGATTTTTACTTTAACAAGCTTAAACTCCAACAAGTGAAACATGGCAAGGAATCTCCTTGTCTCTCTGGCTGGAGCTTTGGCTATTGCCTCCTGTATCTTGGCGGCGGATTACTATTATGATGAAATCGTTTGTCAGAACGTACAGCCCGGTCTTTGGGCGAGAGATGACAGAGATTGCATGGTAGCACATCAGTGTGGTTTTGATGGAGAAGTTATTCAATCGATCCGATGTAATGCATCTCAGGTTTGGTCTAAACTAGCATCTGCCTGTGTATGGGAATGGGATCCAGACCGAGATGATTGCAATGGGTCACCACAAGTACCTCTACCCAGTAAGTTTCATTTTTTTATAGAATATTATAATTACATGTTTATTTTCATTAGTCAGGTACCACAATTCGGACGTTAGCTGATACTGATTTCAAGGGTTGGGTTGAGTTAAATTTGAAACCCTGATGGACAGATTCTGAAGTCGTTCTTATTGCTTTTATTTATGTTAATACACGAACTAATAATCTTTTAGGGGATAAATCAAATTCTGGTATTAATTTATATATTGATTACCAATGGTTTATCTTTTTAAATATAACCAACATTTTTTTCCCATAAACCTAGCTTTCGTTTTAATATAATATTTTTAGTGCCTTCTTGTAGTATACAGTAGTTTTATATATATAAAAAGATTTATACTAAGCGTAACCATGTCATACCAGGTATAGTCTTAACGTTTTGGGAAAACAGTTGTGAATGTATTCCATTAGTATTAACATTTAAAAAAAAAACAATCTCTTATACTTGTCTTGCAGATGATAACCGATGTGTTAACCCAACCGGAAACAACCCAGATCCAGATGATTGTTCCAGATTTGTCTCATGTTCAAACGGCACTCTAATCGCCATCCAAAGATGTGGAGATGGTACCCTGTTTTATCCCAAAAATAATTCTTGTGAATTCGCACATTCCATCGTTCATGAATGTGGAAGCCGGGCTATACCAGAAACAATTGTTATTCGTAAGTAAATCTAAAACTTTAGTAATTTAATATATCTAATGATTAACATGTTCTTGCCTCCCAAATATGATACATATCACAGAATCTTAATATCCAGAGAGCGTGTTGATGACGGGCTCATGGACGTTCACAATGTAGGTCTACATTGAGATATGCACATTAAATGAATGTTGAGAATTGTTGAAAACTGTTAAGAATTGATGAATGAAATAGGACTAATGAAGACGGGTATATCAGTGTGCTATTAGGGGCAATTGTCCGGGCAGTAATTGAATTCCAACGGTAACTCGAATTTCCATATCATCCGGACGACTAGACACCGTTTATTGTCAGGCCCTACGCCCTGCACCACTAACATGGGGAAATCATGGAGGAAAGTTAGGATGGGGGATTGTGGTGCCTAGTCTAGCGCTCTCTTCAACGAAATTCGACAGCCACGGTGGCTAAGTGGGTAAGACGCTGGCTCGCTAGCCTGGAGGTCGCGTGTTCGATCCTTGCATTGGCCTAGAAGGTTCATCGGGATTTTCCGATGTGGTTTCCCCTTGTCAGTGGTGCAGGAAAGAAGGTCTAACGAGGACAGTTGTCTAGTCATTCGAATGGGAAGAAAAATCGAGGTCCAGCGTATATATTGGCGTGCAAGTAAAAGATCCCTTGACAGTTGGAATTCGATATAAGAGTAGGCCATAACCCAGTCGGAACAGAACAGTAGGACGTTAAACCTCATTTCATTTCATCGAAATCCGGCAATGGTTATGGGGTGATTCATGGGAGGCCATGTGTTCAGATATTGTGTTCCAATCATAACAATGTTTTGTTTTCTTTCTGATTTAGGTCAAGATGATCCTATTTGTATCCATGAAGGTCAAGTCGCTGATCCTGAGAGTTGTGTTCATTTCATCTTATGCCAAAATGGACGCCGAACACAGCGTATCCAATGTCCACATGGTACAGCATTTGCCCCCCACAGTGGTCAGTGTGAATGGAAAACAGAAGTGGATTGTGGTCAACGTGGTGTGCGATAAATGCAAATCTATTCGCCCCATTGACATTTAATTCTATTGTTGCTAATAATTAAGTTGATCATGTAGCGTCAGAAGAATCTTGTTCATCTGTAAGATGCTGCAAGTCGTTCGTTTTTCATCTGCAGTGGCTTTTAATTGTGAAGAAAATATTGAAAAATATTTTTGAAGCTTTCTTTTTTTATCTTATGTCAAAGGTTAACTACATCAAAACATTTAATTTCATTGACATTACATACATTAATCGATTAATTGATCCATTGAGATATGCACATTAATATGTAATCACTTATAGCTACTGTTTCAAAATTTCATTTTTTTGTCATTTTAATATTTCTTATACTATGAAATATTTTATTTTTAATTTCAATGCTGCGTTTGAATTTGTTTGCAATCATTTAATATTGATGTGATGGAAGGAGAGTGAAGTCTAGTCGTTCAAATTATATATATTTTTGCCAAGTTGTGTCATGTGCCCCATGTAAATGTATTTTATATTAACAATGGGAGTGTCGTTTGCTCGTTGTTGTTGAAAAATAAAGGTGTACTACCTGTACTAAATGTGCTTTTGTTCATGCTGTATTGGCAATTCGCGAGCGCGGAAGGTATGAAAAGCACACGACGTGGGATCTGAGTGCCCGGAATATTTGGAAGAAAGAAACGCTGTAGTTACCATTTCCGACTGTTTTTTGGCCCCGGATCTCCTAAATTGAGGCTGATCGTGGGGTGGGGGGCTTTGGATCCGCGCCCGGAAATGCCAATCTTTTAACTGATCTAGTATCTAATTCAATAGAGATTAAATTGGTTCCAGATTCTGGGTGATCTTAAAATATAACAACCCATGCTGACTCGGCAATATTATTATCTAATTCAATGCAGATTCCAGGTTGAGTTTACTTCTCTAGTTTTACTTTTTGATTGGCCAATCAAATTCATGTAAAGCGAAATCTTCTTAGGAGACATCGCAGTAGATTATGAAATTTATCACACAAGCGATATCTACTGTAGAATGTATTATTGGGTGATAAAGATTGGTTTATATGGCACAGACATACAACATAAAATCATATGATTAATTATAAAACTTTTTTAGAACGGATTTAATATTGGGGACCCTAACTGCAGCCGATTCAGCATCCCCGCTTTCCCCCACCTCCCCAACCTTAACCCGGCCCTGATTCAGGCTTATTGTGTTATAATCTGTTCAATAGCTTTTGGGGTTTTTTTTTAGGTGGGGGGCGATGGCCGAATGGTTAGCACGTGCGCACCGTATCATAAGGCCTGTCATTGAGTCAACTGGCGTGGTTTCGAATCCCTGGTTGTAGGCTACGTGCCAAGGAGTAGGGTCGCCTGTCCAACCTCATGCGTTTTCTCCGAGTCCTCCGGTTTTCTGTCGATTGGACGTTAAACCCCATTTATCTCTCTCTCTCTCTCCCAATAGTTTTGACCGAACAGAAGGGGGATAACTCATTTATAGCTAATTGGATGCAGGCTCCAACGTTTCCTCAAATTTTAGTTGGGTTGAATGCTTTTCACTGAAGACAGAGCAATAATGATCACGTCTTTGCTCCAGATTTTGTATGAAGTTGACCAATGAGATTTTGAGATAAAATCTTGAAGTAGCATACTAAAAACTTGCTACTATTCGCCGTACATATCACAGTAACCAACCACTTAACTGTGTTATTCTTCCGCCTCTGAATATTTACCGAAATCTGGCAGGAAATGTTAATTGAAACTCTCCTATCCCATTCTAGACCAAAAAAAATAAATAAACAAAAACGGCCACGCATATGGAGGGGGGGGGGTTGCTCTAAATAGACGAACTGGGAACGAGATGGCGAAATTCAATGGTTGTCTGCCTCCAATTTATGGTGGAATAACTGCAAATAATAACGCTGCTGCATGTATCACAAATTTTGAGAGGAATTCATATTTATGGTACTTAACGGTACTTGTCATTCTCTGAATATCGTTGCCAAGATTTTAGACTATATACGCATTGCTAACTGCGAAACATCATGTCAGACCTTTGATCATTCGTTGCAAATGATCTACCTGCTTTTCCATTTGGGCGTGATATTATTTTCATTCTCAAGGCCTGGTTTTTTTTTATATACAGCTATCCAACGGAATACATCCAAAATTTAGGTTGTTCAAGATACACGCTACAGAATTATTTTTCAGGTGCCGGAGCTAACGGAAAATAAATTCACCGCCAACAAGATAATTCAGATGTTGGATTTTTTAATTGATAATATCTTTGTTGAATTTGGAGGGGAAATTTATCAGCAAGTGGTAGTTATCCCCATGGGCACCAACTGTGCACCTTTACTTGCTGATTTGTTTCTCTATTCCTACGAAGCCGATTACATACAGGCACTCGTAAAATCAAATAAACGATTAATCAGACATTTTAATTTCACTTTTCGATATATCGATGATGTTCTATCACTGAATAATCCCAAAATTATTGATTATGTAGAATTCATATATCCTGATGAGCTCGAAATTAAAAACACTACTGACAGTGACAATTACGCTTCCTACTTGGATCTGCGTCTCGATTTTGACAATTGACATAAACTTAGTGTTAAATTGTACGATAGACGTGATGACTTTGACTTTCCGATTGTTAACTTCCCATTTATCAGTAGCAACATTCCAATATCACCAGCTTATGAAGTGTTTGTGTCTCAGCTAATTCGTTACGCGAGAGTTTGTTCATTTTATTCTGATTTTTTAAGTAGATCGAGGCATTTGTCATCTAAGCTTCAACTACAGGGTAACTTGCTAACTAAACTTATTAAAACCTTTAAAAAGTTTTATGGCCGTCATATTGACTTGATTGGTAAGTATAACATGTCTCTCTCGGCTATTATTCTAGATATATTTAATTGACGCGTATACTATCTCCCGGATTATGTCTACTACATCGTTAACACTGTTCATCACGTGCATTTTGCATACCGATAGTCCATTGGCCAATCACACTATTTTACCGAGATTTCGTCTAATAGTTTGGATGCAGCTATGGTGGGTGTGGCGCCAGGCAGGGTAAGCTTACTCTTCCGGACACCTGTTACTACTGTTTGTCGTGTATTGTGTACACGGTGAACAGTCCATATGCTGATTACACTATTTTGTATTTTGCCTTATTACACTATTTTGCCTTATTACACTATTTTGCCTATACCGTTTTTTTTTTAGGACTTCGAATTTTGTCTAATGGTTTGGATTGTTCGTACTTGGTTTTATTTTATTTACTCAAATTTTGAAATTTAGAAAAAAGCATGGGACTATTAAAATGTCAGAATGTTCAATTAATTATAGTAATTCACTGTTTTCGATGATGAGACTTTTCTGGTTAGTTTACGCAGATATGACCAATTGGGGTAGAATGTTCAAACTTGGTGTTGATGTTCATGAGGTGAATGTCGTGACTGAGTTCAGTGATGAGCATTTTCTGCTTGGGCTAAGCAGCTGTCTGTCCGTCACTCCTTATGGAACACAATAACCATACTTTTCATTGTTGTATCAATAATCAGTTGCATTTTCTTTTCAAAAGGAATTCATGCGCACAAGATTTCCACTAATTTGTTTTGTTTGTTTTTGGGTGTTTTATTTATTTTACGGCACATCTAGTTATTTTTTTTTTTTTTTTTTTTTTTTTTGGGGGGGGGGGGGGTATCTAGTTTCTGACACAGAGGATTCCGCCGTTAAGTGTGTCTATTGTGTGCGAAATGTCCAAGAGTAGTATAAAAGTGCTATCGTGGTAAGAAACCACCCTTAAAGCTTACAAAACGTCTTCAATCAGTACTGTCACAAATGCTGCGTCTGGACAAACGCGACTATTCTTGGCTAAATGGACACAGATCACTATAGATTTCCCCATTGACTCCAATGTTAATTCTCGTATCTTAGACCGGCTCTAACTTTTTCCCAAATTTTCGTTGGGTAGAACGCTTTCTACTACAGATGGAGCAACATGTGGCAACCACTTGCCCAAAAGCACGTATGAGGTTCTTCATGAAAAACTTGAGATACACAAGCTGGAAGTAGAGACAAATAAACATGCAATTTCAGGCCCTACATTTCAACGTAACCAACCTCTCAACTCTTGTATCCTTCCGCATCAAAATTATGAATATTCACCAAAACCTGGCAGAAAATGTATTTTCAAACCCTTTTCCTCAATTCTACGCCATGCAAAAGGGGTAAAAAGGAAAAGGGAGAGGAAGACTAAAAATAGCTTTGGCCCTTGTTTCGTCGTAGGAATATTTGGTGATCTGTGTCCAAATGTAAACAATGGCAGTCAGTCAGTACTCTTGGCAAGTTTTATCAATGTCTTGAAATTACGCAAATTCTAGAAAGATGTTGGGTATATGCTCATCACAGGTATGTTCTTTTCATAGAATTAATGATTATTGCATTTAAAAACATTACAGCAACCAAACAAAGCACTGGCAAGCAATCGCCCCACTTTTTACTTGGCTGATTGTCACTGTTTACTACTTCACTGATTCCTGAACTTCATTTCAACTTCTCCAAATATAAATATCGATTGATAGTGACATTATAATTTACATACTGCCTGTCATCTTTTTCTTTCTCCTTCTATTAGTAATAGAAAATGTTTTTATAGTCTCGACCTATATCTCGACCTTGTCTTTATATGTTTGGGCATTCTCATATTCATTGCCATTGGTGTACACACAATACATGTATTTATTAATATATTTATAAATGTGGGCCAGCTGACTTGATTCTATTTTTAAAACTTGTGTCATTGTATCATGCATTTATATGTGCGATCAGATTTAGTTAGTCACTGTCAATTATATTTTCTTCAAACTTTTATTTGGATTATATAAGCTTCCATTATAAGATTGACAGCATGCATAGGCTACATTAAATTACATACTATATTAGACTGAATATTTAGGTCAGGCATATAATGTTAGCATGTTAAATTCCTGGTCCGCCATCCATTAAAGGCTTATGTATGGCTCAAGCTCTTTTCTTTAATAATAATAATAATAATAATAATCTTTTTTCGAAATCTTCATCAGAAGATACATGAATATACATAATAAATGCAGTCGAACATGACGATGATTCTTTTTAAACATTTACCTACAGGTATTTGCATATAATTTATCGTGCCTTTAACATTAAATAAATCTTTCATTTTATAGGTTGAGGGAGATCTGTCATAAAACGAGTTAAACAAGCCAACAGTGAGACTCATGTTCCCTGTCGAAATCCCAAAAAAAGCAGATGACACATATTAATTAATTGCACATTTATCTTTTTCAAAAGTATTCAGTAAACAAACTGATTATATATGCTTAGTCTAAGCATAAAATGTTCACGATAATCAAAATCAGTCAGATTTTGAAGTATCTGGTAGTGAAACTATACAATAATTTTTAGCCCTCTCCATCAGTTGAAATCAAAGTGATATAATGAATCCATACTCAGAGTTTCATTGCTCTGACTCAATTAGAATGAAAGTTTTACTAACTAATATGGGTCACTTCCTTGTCAGCCCAACAAGTTCAGCAGGGCTTAAAAAATCCTGAAGGTTCTTATTGACACACACCAGTATTCGAACCCCAGATATTCTAGATAAAAAACCTTATCTCTGCATCAGAGAACTTCACTAAGTAAAACTTTCAATTTTTTCATTAAAACAATGATTGATTATTGTTATTTATTACATTTCTGCGACATCCAACTACAATTAAGCATATGACCCTTTCTTTTAAATCAAAACGATAATAGCTGGCTTTTTCCGATATTTTAAAACGGAATAGGTTTGACGTCTAAATGTATGTCATGTACAAAAGCGAATCAAAATATGCGAGAAGTAAAGAACATTTACCAGTCGTGCATGACTAATGCACCGTAATTATGATTTGTTAACTTTACTGACAATATTTGCAGATAAACAACAGTTTTACTACATTAAACTGGGTATGTTTAATAAGTCTCAATAATATAAAATTAACTTATTTTAAAAATGTTACATGCATTAATATAGAAATTAAATTTGCCAGGTGAAACTAAAGGAAACCAAACGTACATGTAGCCAAAAACAAACACATCGGGAGACATCTCAACATTTTAAGCTACGGTGTACGTTCTTTTGGCTAGGGACAATCTAGTGAAGAGTCTAGTACCCATATTGAACAGATTTGGTTTCAGTGGCTGTTATATTTTTCATTAGATATTAGAATAAAACCATGAATGATGTATTGAATGACCATTTTGTTGTATTTTAGCTAGCTTGTTGCTGTGGACCAGCATCATGTAGTTTATGCTGTAGTTGTCTTCCACCAGTTAAAGAATCAACAGGAACCCGAATAATGTACACAGTTTTCTTGGTATTAGCTTTCACTATAGCTTGTTTAATGTTATCACCAGAATTACATGACATCATACAACAATCTGTAAGTATATAAGATAAAACTAGATTAACTTACTCTCTACTCCATTTCTTATCGGATATGAGTTAAATGAAAACATTTAAAGATGCATTTTATAAGAGCTGAATCTGTCTTTTTTCTGGACTCAAATGTTAAATGAATTATTATTTAGGCATTTATTCACTCTCGCACATCTTTCCAGTCCAGTCTTTTATATGGACAAATTACAGCTTAATTTCCTATTTTTAAAAAACATTGCATCTGTCTGTTTTAGACATACTACAGTTTATCTATCACGCCTGTCGGAAGAAAATTGACCCCCCCCAACACACACACATTCACCCTCAAGTTAGCCTCAATCCAAGCATTCAAATAGCCCAGTATATTATAACTACCAGTACTTTGTTTTATGTTATGGCAAGAAGGGCCATGGAAGCCAATTCCGCTTTATTACAATGTACAGGAAAACTGCACAAAAGCAGACAGATTTACTGATGGAGTTATTACCCTTGCTTCAAAAACCTTATAGACCAGCTGATCAGCTGGAGTTAATATTTTCATTGATGTAAACACCATGTATATGTGTTTGTTTTATGACAGGATGTCTGATATATCGCACATACAATATCAATAGTGCAGGATATCAGAACCATTAAATACTTAAAGGGTGTCTCATAACAGGACAAATGATCAAATTCAATGTACAACATTTATGGCATGGTATTCCCATTACTACATTATTTATCTCATTAGTATTCACTGAATCTTACTGATAATAGACTGTTAGTCCTTCACTTTTACGACTTGATCGTAATTAGAGATAAACAAAAAAATCTATATTAGACGACAGTAAATTTTCTCATTCTTGATAAGAAGTTCTGTCGGTGTTAATGACATAGAAATGAAGAGAAACCTCCCGGTGCTTACTAATGGAGATGGTCCACATATTTATATATTTTAAAGATAGATAGAATCAACACTTAAACAAGTCATTCAAATGCCATACTATAACACATTATTTAATTAAGGGTATGGTCAGGGCCGTAACTAGCTCAGAGCAACAAAGGGGGCGGGTAGTGTTCTCAGGGTTGCTGTAAAATTGACGGACAATGTATATCTATTGTTTTTATGGTCGAAAATTTTATCACTTGGGAGGGGGGGGGGGCGAAACTTTTTGCAGTGTGTGGGTTTTCGGGCCTGGGTATGGTATCAATTATAGAGCTCATCTTGGTCTATTTTTTGTTAGAATTTAGAAAGGGATCGATCATCTGCTGTTAAACGATAGAGCATAACTAGGTGCTATCTGATGATAATAGAAAATGAAATGGGGGTTTGACATCCTGCTGCTCTACTCTGGTCTGGGCTAATGAAGACAGGATGCTACTAATAGAAGTTAACTGGCTAGCATTAAACATGTCTGTGGCCAAAATATTTTTCATACCCTGTAAACACAATAATGTGGCGTACAGAGGTTTGTGCATATCTAGTAGTGCTGGATCGATATATATCATTAAATCAATGTATCACAATTCACCTTCTCACGATGCATTTTTTATGGGTTATTTTGCCGCTTCAGCCATTAGCCTGTCACTCTTATCCAGGTCACACATTATCCATCGGTACACAAACACTCTTAAATTGTTTTAGTCCTTATTTTGATCCACATCAATATCGTGATAAAAAAAAAGTTTTATTTCTTCGACATCGGCAGAACTAAAAATATCAATTATACATTTATCCTGTTGTTTTCTTGGTATATATTGACCTGGTTATGAATAGTGATACGAATCATATCGTAGCATCTGAATCGAAATGCAGTGGCAATACCCAGCACTAATGTCTAGGACCAACTCTTAATCGTATGCATCTAAGACTAAAGTAGAGGTCAGTACTGAGAAATGTGAGAAAGGAAGACATTTTTAATATAGTAAAAACGTATAAAAAATAAATTTTTTATTCAAATTTAATATAAATCTTCTGTCCAAAACCACTTAAACTACGATCAGATTTAAAAGGTTCTCTACTCTAGACTTGCCACATTCACATAAGGTTCTGACTTCTGAGACTGTAGGGCAGCTTATAGGAGCTGTCAACCCCACTCGCCCTGCCTGCCACTAATGAGGCATGCAGAAATGGTAATAAAATGTATATTACACCCTCTTATCAATGCAGCTAACAAAAGTTCCTGTTGAGATACATGTACCATTATCTACAACTTTTTTTTCATTTTATTCTGAATTTATCTAATTTTTGACCTTTTATATTTTTCAGGGTTTTAATGAAACATGTGTAATGTTAGCAGCTGGTGAGAACTGTAGTCGTTTAATAGGATATAAAGCTGTATATAGAGTTGGGCTAGGTATCATTGTCTTTCATTTTATACTCATGATATTAACACCATGTGTTCCTAACAGTAACCACTGGAGAGCATCTATACACAATGGGTAAGAAAAAAAAAAAAATTATTATACATAAACATAATTTAATTTCATCATTTAATATTATTTTATAGTGTAAATAAAGCTGCTGAACTTCATTGACATCTAATTTTTTTTTAGTCTTAATCCGGGGGTCACGGTGGCTAAGTGGGTAAGACGCTAGCCTGAAGGTCGGGTGTTCTATTCTGCATTGGCCGAGAAAGTCCATCCAGGTTTCCCGGCGTGGTTCCCCCTTGTCAGTGATGTAGGATGGAGGGCCTGACAAGGACAGCTGTCTAGTCTTTCGAATGAGACGAAAAACCGAGGTCCCGTGTACACATTGGCGTGCACTTAAAAGATCCCTTGACAATTAGAATTCGATATAAGAGTAGGCCATAGTGCCGCTGTCTGGGCAAAATTCCCTCATAGCACACTGTATGGCATATGCCCGTCTTCATTAGCCCAGTCGGAGCAGAACAGTGGGATGTTAAACCCCTTTCATTTCATTTCATTTTAGTCTTAATCCACACTAAAATGTACTCAGATTAATTGATTTTTTTAACATTAAATCAAGAAAACAAAATCAAAATATCAAGGGTAGATAATCTCCCGGCTTGAAATAGACAGATTTAGCTCTTACATAACACCTGTTTAACAGAATTGAACCATTATAATATACAAGGGATTAAAAATCCTTCAATTGACAATCCAAGACTTTTTTATACCATATTAGCAGATTTGTTTCTTCATTGTTACAAAGAGAGGGTGGGAGAGTTGTCTACTGCGGCACTTTCGATCATAAGGTCACTTGACATAGTTTTGATCCTAAACTTGTACATTTCTAACCTCGTGGGTTTTCTCTCCAGTCTTCCGGTTTCCACCCACTGCTAAAGACCCCTATGCGCAAGGGAAGTATTGAAATAAAATTGTACCACATGATGGTCCCACAATGACTTGGCTTGTTTTGAGTGAATATGAAACCCCATATTTCTCTCTCATTGTTTCAGTTATTGGTTTATAAAGTTTTTGATATTATGTGGTCTTTGTGCTGGTGCATTCTTTATACCTCCTGGTTATAGTCTGTGTGAGTATATGTTCATTTAATTTCTCTTAGTTATAGGAGTATATAACTGAGTATATGAGTATTGAGTATACATGTATGTTCATTTTATTTCACATAAAGGGGGGTGGGGTGATCGAAGTGTCTGCGTTGCATGATAAGGTCTGTCATTGAGTCAAGTGGCCTGGTTTCAATTCCCTGCTTGTACATGACAAGGAGTAAAGTCACCTGTCAAACCTCGTAGGTTTTCTCCAGGGTCTCTGGTTTTCTCATACTTCTAAAGATACCTACGATCAAGCAAATTAATGAAATAAAATTGAACCATGTGTTAGTCCCAAAATGACCTGGTTTGTGTTGAGTGGACATTAAACCCCATTTCTCCCTCTTTCTCTATTTCACATTACAACTCTTTCTTTATTACAACTAATTTTTGTAATAAAAATTCTGCTTCTTATTTCTTCAGGATAAAAAAATAATTAACAATTTTTATTTGTTCGAAAAAATATCACAGAGCTGCATATAGTTACAGTGGACATGGATAAAGGTTTCTAGAATGATTAATCATTTTTATTCCCCAAAATATACCCGGAATACCTCTTTTAAATAATTCATTATATTATCAAAGAGATAGAATAGTCCTTTAATCAGTTGTATTGTTTGGGTTGTTTTTTTCGTAGATTGGATGTATGCTGGAATGGTTGGAGGTTTTCTGTTTATATTGTTACAATTGATTTTACTGGTGGAATTTACACATTCATGGAATGCTAGATGGTAAATATTATTAGTAATAAATTCTTCTTCCTTTGTCAACCAGGTTTATAATATAAAGAAAGTTTCATTATTTAGTTGAAGTCCAGGTGGGCAAATGATCTGTGACGTAACAATGCTGTCATAAATCTGTCATCTATTCAACCCAATTTCAATCTAGGGATTTAAATTCAAAATTTTGCCAGCCAATCAACAGGATATAACAATAGAAACTCTATACTTATGGCAAGTAAATTGACTTACAGGTCAGTTTTCCAGTCATTCACTTTCACTATTAATCAGTCAAGACTGGTTAATATCACTGAAACAAAAGCCCTGATTGAATCCCTTGAATATATATGACAAGGAATAGGATACCCGTCTAACCTCATCAATTCTCCTCCTGTCCCTTTTTTCTTGTTGTGTTAATTTGTTTTTATTTCTTTAGGTTGAAAAGAGAAGGTAGACAAAAGAGTAACTGTGGTTATGCAGGTAAAAATGATTTATAATTGTGTACGTACAGTAGCCTTATACAATGTGTATTTACCATTATAGTAGAATATATCTTAATGGAGAAATACACAAAACTTGTATTTATAAGTTAAAAATGAGTTATATAACTCTTTCCAGTAGCCTTCACGTAAAAGGAGCGTGATCGCTCTCGCTCTCCTGGACGCGCCTGGTGAGGTGCGCTTTTTATAGCTCTCCTCAATGCCTAATTTGACTCCCCTCAAAGAAAATAATCAGGAAAAATATACTGGTAATATCATATCGACAATCAACTTGCTTGTCGGCTACAATAACAGCATACCTTAGTGAGCATCCGCCATCCGTTTCATAATCCGAGTAATTAGCACATTTAACGGTAATTTTGATAATTCGGCAAAAATAACCCCAACAAGCCTGCTGGTTATTCATAACAGGTCCACTAAGTTTCCTTTGTAATAATAAACCACGTGGCGAAGGAAGACATCTCGCTCCGCATGGATTGTGAATCTCGTGCTTCGCGCCCCGTCTTCGACTCTCGATCCGTATGAATTCTAGGTAGATATGAAAATAATAATTGGATAATGCATTTTATGGTTTCACTGACCCGTTGTTAGTTAAATTTAAATATTCATTGAATAATCCCTGGGGGGTTGGGATGGCCTAGTGGTCTAGAGTGTCACGCTTCGACCTCTAGTTGGCCGGTCACCTCTGGCTTGCGGCTGTGGTTTCGATCCCAGGTGTGAGCGTATGTGGCTTGGAGATAGGGGCGCCTTCTCAACCTCGTGGGTTTACTCCGGGTACTCTGGTTTCCTCCCACAGCAAAGACCCCTGCGCGTGCGCTAAGATCATTAAAATGAACTTGTCTGCGATATCACCTTCGGTGGAAGCGGACGTTAAACGCTAAGAACAACAACAACGAATAATCCCTGATAGAACACCGGATATCCGGAGAAACAAATATTAATAACTAATATATTTTTCCGTCAAGATCTTAAATGCTTTCAGATTCCCGATAACACGTGACATGCATTGGTTGGAATTAGGTCAATAATGATGATAAACGAAGACAGTAGTCTATTCAGGAATATTACTGACTTGAACTTGTTGAAGTCAGATATTAAAGTTAACGGGAGCTTCGAATTACCCTGTTTCTTACCGGGACCTCACTTGACCCAATTCTGGCCGGTTGGTTTCGAAATAGATTAAAATCTCTGGACTTTATCACAAATGCTAACAAAGCTCTCCTCAAGAGATTCAGGAGAGCTTTCTCAGGAGAGCGATTTCCTCTTTTTTCAATTTCAGGAGAGCTTTTTTTGACTCCCCAGGAATTTATTCACGTGAAGGCCTGCTTATACAGTCTATATTTAGTGTATATTATATACTACTGAACTATATATTAATAAAGATATACATAAAACTTATACTTACATACTACTATTGCAACCATACTAGTGGTATTTCATTAACTATAGCCAGTTATTACAAATTGCTGAGAGTTGGATGGCCGAATGGTTAGCATGTGCGCGCTGTGTCATAAGGGTTGTCATTGCGTCAACTGACATGGTTTCGAATCCCCCGTTGTACGTGGCAAGGAGTAGGGTTGCCTGTCCAACCTCGTGGGTTTTCTCCGAGCCCTCCGGTTTCCTCCTACTGCTAAAGAACCCTACACCCAAGCGAATTATTGAAATAAAATTTAACCAAATGTTAGTCCCGAAATGACTTAATTTGTGTCCAGTGGACGTTAAACCCCTCTCTTTATTACTAATTGCTAGATTTAAATGTAGACATTGTGGTAGTGTAAACAGAACTTAAGTTAAAACCAACTCAATTTGCAATTCTTCAGAATGTTGATAAATAAACAGCCAATCTAGACTCACAACTTTTGATTTGTTTGAAATTTGGAACTAAGCTTTTTAATGGTAGGGTGAGGGTGGGAGCTAATAAATAAAATGAGGTTTAACGTCCTACTATTCTGTTCCGAACTGGGCTAATGAAGATGAGGGGAGGCTAATAAACTTAATTCCCAATATGTGGTGTAGTTCCAAACCTCGCAATAAAAGGGACTTTTTGTTTAATGTAAGGGCAGTAGTAAGTTGTTCCCTTCGTGTTCAAAATTTAGCTGGTTTGTTGCCCAATTATTTCTTTATGTTACTTAATAACGACTTGTGAAATCTTGTTAAAATGCTGCAGTGAAATTAACCATAGTAATTGTGTTCAAAATTTAGCTGGTTTGTTGCCCAATTATTTCTTTATGTTACTTAATAACGACTTGTGAAATCTTGTTAAAATGCTGCAGTGAAATTAACCATAGTAATTGTGTTCAAAATTTAGCTGGTTTGTTGCCCAATTATTTCTTTATGTTACTTAATAACGACTTGTGAAATCTTGTTAAAATGCTGCAGTGAAATTAACCATAGTAATTGTTATCCATAAATTATGTTTTATTTGATTATGTTCCGATTACTAAATGCCATTCAAATAACATATTGGTCATGCTTTTTTTTTTATTATTTTCCAGCAACCCTGTTTTGTGCCTTTCTATTCTTTATGTTGGTAGTAGCAGGACTTGTTTGTTTATATATATTTTATGCGTTTGAGAATTGTAATACCAACAAGATATTTATAGCCGTCAACACCAGTCTCTGTTTATTGCTTACAGTTATGACACTTTTACCATGTACATCAAAACGTAAGTATACAGTTGTATATTCTATCAAAGTTATACATTTGATTTTCTTCTGGTACATGTATTTGTGACCTGTGTGTGTCGTAGATGGAAAGTAATAATACAACCTTTCCTTAAAACTGTTGATCATCATTGAAAGGTTTTTAAATCACTTGCAAACTGTAATGGTTCAATTTATTCAGTATTTATAAAGATCTGATAAACTGTTATAAACAATCTAGTGTCATCTATAAGTGGATCTATTTTTAATCTGATTGAATCCACGACAAGACATTTTCTTAATTAAATGTGAAATAATCAATTTGAATACATTCTAGTGTGGATTAAGATATGCCTTGAACAATTAGATATTCCCTGAAAATTAATAATATATTTCACTATCAAAATTGCAATCAATCATTGTTTGATTGAGGCAAGATTACAAATCTCAATGATTTAGACATTTTGCTAAGCCAAAGGACTAAACATATTTTCTGAAAAATTATTGTAACCTAACTGGTAAAATGAATGTGTAAATATAATGTACATGTATAGGTAATATTATAGGTTATGGTTACTACAGGCATCAGTTCTATAGTATGACTTTTAGTATTTTATGTGTATAAGTAATGTTAATTCAAGGATACTACAGGCATTAGTTCTATAGTCTCACTTGTAGTATTTTATGTGAATAGCTAATGTCCCAGTTAACGTTGATGGTTAGATTTACGTAAAGTTTACATCATTATGGTTAGATTTTGGTTAGCGTTCAATAATGGTAAAATTCTTTGGTTAAATTTATGTTACTTTTACGTCATAATGGTTATGGTTACTTTTACGTCAGAAAATGACGTAAATGTAACGTAAACTTTATGCAGGGATACTACAGGCATTAATTAGTTCTATAGTCTGACTTGTACTATTTTATGGGTATAAGTATTGTTTAATAGTCAAGAGCGGCATTAGGTAAGATATTGTAACAACAAGAGGCCGTAGGCCCAAGTGTCTTTATAATATATTACGCAATGTCTTAAGCTCAAGACCATTAAACGACTTAAAATACAGACACTCCGCACATGCTTTTACAGTGAAATGTGTCACGCGAGTCCAATATTTCACTAGTATAAATAATGTACGATTTGCAAGTTGCCCGTACGATTATTTGAAATAGTGGTAGGCCAACATCAAAGGGTGATGTCACATCTGTATTTTAAGTAATGTTAATGCAGGGATACTACATGCATCAGTTATATAGTATGACTTGTAGTATTTTATGTGTATAGGTAAAGTTAACACTGGTTTACAACAGACATCAGTTATATAGTAGTATTTTATGTGTATATTATAGGTAATGTTAATGCAGGGTTACTACAAGCATCAGTTATATCTCTATATGTGGTATATTTAACATGGTCAGCTTTATCTAGTGAACCACCAGAAGAAAGTAAGTACCTGAATTTTGTAACAAGGCTCTTATTTCAGTCATCTTTGCCAGATTACATTGAACCCCATTTCATTTCATATTTGCCTGTGTTGGTGGACTTATTACATTTAGCCCCATTTTATTTCATATTTGCCTGTGTTGGTGGACTGATTACATTTAGCCCCATTTTATTTCATTTTTGCCTGTGTTGGTGGACTGATTACATTTAGCCCCATTTCATTTCATATTTGCCTGTGTTGGTGGACTGATTACATCTAGCCCCATGTCATTTCATATTTGCCTGTGTTGGTGGACTGATTACATTTAGCTCCATTTATTTCATATTTGCCTGTGTTGGTGGACTGATTACATCTAGCCCCATTTCATTTCATATTTGCCTGTGTTGGTGGACTGATTACATCTAGTCCCATTTCATTACATATTTGACTGTGTTGGTGGACTGATTACATTTGGCCCCATTTCATTTCTTATATATTACCGAGGGATATGGTGGTATCATTTAAACTTTCTAAACCTCAGGTTTTTATTTTATTTTTTTCAGTTGACATTTTAGAAACTGTTGCTTTAAAAGCTGCACAAAAGGGTGATCCTAAAACTGGTGAGAAAGCAACAAAAGGAAGAGTAGGTTTTGTTTCCAGTGTTGGACAGACATTCGTACAGAATATAACTTCTACCAGTTTTCATCTTTGTAGACCTAGTTCTACCTTTCCACAAGCTGATCTCATCTCTGCCTACGCGGGTCTATTAATTATGTTAATTATGGCAGTATATTCCAGGTAACCATGATCTTATGAGATAATAGATAAACTTCATCCAAACCAACTGACTTAGCATTCCCCAGAGCTGTGACAATTGTCTGATTTCAGTGGCAATATGACATTGTGACATGAACTGGGTCTGTACCAGGGTTCTTAATCCATAATGAAAAGAATTAGGACAAGGCCATAAATTGACCATCAAATGTGGTGTGGTTTCCCCTTCTCAGTGGTGCAGGACGGAGAGCCTGACAAGGACAGCTTCAATCAGAAGAGATCCCATGTACACATTGTCGCACACATAAAAGATCCCTTGGCAGTTGGAATTCGATATAAGAGTAGGCCGTAGCATCATTAGCCCAGTCGGAGCAAAACAGTAGGATGTTAAACCCCAATTCATTTCAGAAAAATCCGTCTTCATTAGCCCAGTATAGGAGCAGAACAGTAGGACGTTAAACCCCATTTCATTTCATTCATTTCAGAAAATAGAGACAATAAGCTTCTATTCTTTTTTACATTAAAAGTCTTCAACAAAAATATTTCTTGATTATTTGTTCTGTAGCATGTCGTATTCTGAATAATATTTCTCATTACCAGAAAAAAAGGATGAAAACTAGGTACACCTACATGTAAATAAGCAGGTTGATAGACTGGTTTAAAAGCCTAATATCCCAGAGTAAATAAAACCATAAGGAATTTATTCAGCCCATATAGAATTTTAAAAAAATATAATGGTAATCCTCTATTTATATATTGCGATACTCTAAACAGAAGTTTCTATTGCACTTTTTCAAGTTTTCTCTGTTGAACTATTGAAGACGCCTCTCACCCAGAAATTATTCTAATTTAGTAAAGTATGAGAAAATTTGACAGAGCTCTATCCAGCAGCTAATAATCAAGATAATGCTAAATATAACGAAACTAATCAGTGCTTATATTTAAAATAAAGAAAATGCCTTCTGTCACAGTGGGTCTTTTATTACAAATTGTTGTTTCAATATAATATTTTTATTTCAGTATCAGAACATCTCATCAAGAACATAAATTTGGAGTTAGGGCAACTACAGTAAGTTCAGATTTTTGGCATGATTTATCTATATATATATTTGTGACTGTCGTTTGTCTGTCTGTCTGTCTGTCTGTTTGGGGTTGGCGGCTACACTAGGTTTGCCCCGAGTCTGAAATTTGGGGTATAGGAGTAACTTGGACCAAGGAGTAACATAGGCCAGGTGGCGTTAGTCTACCACTTCCGGTTTCGGAGTTATGACCCCCGAGCGAAGCCGGTCTGTTCGGGGTTGGCGGCTATACTAGGTCTGCCCCGAGTCTGAAATTTGGGGTATAGGGGTAGCTCGGACCGGGGAGTAACATAGGCCAGGTGGCGTTAGTCTACCACTTCCGGTTTCGGAGTTATGACCCCCGAGCGAAGTCTGTCTGTTCGGGGTTGGCGGCTACACTAGGTCTGCCCCGAGTCTGAAATTTGGGGTATAGGGGTAGCTCGGACCGGGGAGTAACATAGGCCAGGTGGCGTTAGTCTACCACTTCCGGTTTCGGAGTTATGACCCCCGAGCGAAGCCGGTCTGTTCGGGGTTGGCGGCTACACTAGGTCTGCCCCGAGTCTGAAATTTGGGGTATAGGGGTAGCTCGGACCGGGGAGTAACATAGGCCAGGTGGCGTTAGTCTACCACTTCCGGTTTCGGAGTTATGACCCCTGAGCGAAGTCGGGTATCCTGCTAGTAGCATATATTATGTAAAAAATTTTATCCTTTGCTGAACAAGGATAGTGAGGGATATTGAAATGAGCTTTGTTCGTCCGTCCGTCTAGAGCATATCACATAATAGTCTTCTTGTTGGGCAATTAATCTAATCATGGGTTTTATTTGTTATGAAATATAAAATTACATTTCAGTTTAAGATTTTAAAAAAACGGCAAATCACATAAAGTTTTACCATTTTTGAATTCCTGATGACTTATGAAATATAAAAATTACATTTCAGTTTAAGATTTAAAAAAAACCAAAAAACGGCAAATCACATAAAGTTTTACCATTTTTTAATGCCTGATGACTTGTTACGGTTTTTTTATGTTATTTTTTTTAGGAAATTAGAGCATGTTGTTGTTGTGTTATTGAAAATAGTAAGTACTTATTTTTTTTTAGATTCAAGATTTGTAGTTTACTGTATATTGTAAACATTTGTTAATATTCATGATAAAATAGATAATTCCAGACAGTCATAGTCTATGTTGCATTCATTTAGCAATTATTAATTATTCATGAAAATGACACCCGCAATTCTTATTAATTATTCATGAAAATAGAACCAGTTATTATTCTTATAGATTATTCATGAAAATAGAACCAGTTATTAATCTTGTTCTTATTGATCATGCATACAAATGAGACCAGTTATTCTTATATTCATGCATACAAATGAGACCAGTTATTCTTATATTCATGAAAATAGAACCAGTTATTAATCTTATGGATTAATCATGAAAATAGAACCAGTTATTAATCTTATATATCAATCATGAAAATAGAACTAGTTATTAATTATTCATGAAAATAGAACCAGTTTTTAATCTTATAAAACTATAAGATATATTTATGAATTTGTTACCTTTTAGGAGACAACCCATCTGAATTTGGGGGTCAAAAGGTTATACACAATGAAGTTGGAGGACTGGAGTATAATTATTGGTTCTTTCATCTTATGTTTTGTTTAGCTGCTCTGTATATTATGATGCAGTTGACTAATTGGTACAGGTCAGTAGTAAAATATATCTCCTTATTTTACGACAATAGCAACTAAGTGTCTTTTAATTCATCTTGTTTTATAACAGCAGCAACTAAGTGTCTTTTGATTCATCATCTTTTATAACAGCGGCAACAGAGTGTCTTTTAATTCATCTTGTTTTACAACAGTAGCAACTAAGTGTCTTTTAATTCATCATGTTTTTCACAACAGTAGCAACTTAGTGTCATTTAATTCATCATTCCGTTAAAACAGCAGCAACTAAGTGTCATTTAATTCATCATTTCTTTAAAACAGCAGCCACTTAGTGTCATTTAATTCATCGGTAAAAAATTATAGGCAATATTCCCCAAGCAACAAACTTGACAAGACTGTCAAATGCTCGAAATTCGAAACGTGTCCTGGATTAATACTACTTCTAATACAGTCAGGTTCATTGCTTGGGGAATGTTACCTATACTTTTAATTAGTGATCCCCAATTGCATCAATAAGATCTAATTTGTCCTGCACTGTACAGGGATTCTTCCATCCATCAGCAGTACTTTCAGTCTTGGATTTAATTCATTATTATTTAAGAAAATAACCTTTCACTTAAAACTCATATCAAGGCTTAGATAGGGAACCAAACTCCATCACTTTGGGCAAGAGTTAAGAATTTGGCCAAAGAAACACTCTGTGTTTTCTCCTTCATACAGTACATTTGTAGGTATTGTCATAATGAGCAAGATCAGATAATTATTGAATACAAGATTATGGACTAAACATAATTCCTGCAGTATGCCATCTTAGCATCCTGTGAAAGACTCGTTTACTTATCCTGGTATTATATAAAAATACAGAGAATAATTCTGCATACTGTTTCATGCTTTCAGCTGAGTTTAAGTACCAAAGACCAAATAATAGATATATATATTCCAGTACATGATGAAATTAAATCATAATTATTTTCTATTCTTGTTCTGTAGACCTGAAGAGACAGATATCAACAAATTTGGATTAAATTGGTCGGCGGTGTGGGTTAAAATGACGTCAAGTTGGACATGTATACTTATATATCTATGGACCTTGTATTTTCCACAATGTTGCCCAGGAAAACATTTAGCAATTATTAGAGAACTGGATTTGGTAGAAGATAGTCCTGATAATGCTGCTCTACAGGATTCTGTTATAACTCAGCCCCCTTCTGCTCAAAGTGCTTCACGAGGTGATTCTAGAGTATCTCTTCGTGATATATCATCAGAAGTTTAAAATGGCTAAAATCTCTTCTGATTTTCTGTTCTCGAATTGTCTGAATATTTAATTTAACCATATAGATACCCTGTTATAGTATAATTGTCCACTCCCATTCAGAGAAAGAAAGAGACTATTAAAATGGGTTCGTCTGTCTGTCTGTTCATCACACAGTTGAGGTAGAATGTTCAAACATGGTAGGTGAATGTCTTGTCTGAGTTGATGATGTGCATGGTCTAAGTATAGATAAGCAGTTTGACTTGTTAATGCTTTGATTCTAATTAAGTAAGAGTGATGAAACTTTGTGTGTAGTTTTATAGGTTTATTACATCAATACCTTGGCCTTTGATAATGAGCATTGATGACTTTGATAATGAGCATTTTCTGCTTCGGTTAAGCAGATTGAAAAGTAGTTTGATTGTTAGATGCTTGATAAAGCTGTAATTCTACGAGTATCATCTATTTATTTTAGGGGACATCAGCTTCACCGTGGATTGTTATGAGTTTCTATGTTTTTATATTTTATTATGTGTAATATTTGTTGGGTTTTTTTCTGTGATAATGGAACTATAGGCTTATCAAATCTTACTAGATGAAATTTGACATTGATCTCTAGTTTTTTGGCATTACTTAATACAAAAAAGTTTATTTTACCTCATATTTAAGGTTGATTGGTATAAATTTTATTATTGTATAATATAACTAAACTGTGTCAAGGAACACATTATATTTTCAATATTTAATAGGTTTTAAGTAACAATTGATGCGATGATATACTTATTTAAGTGGTAAGTGATACAATCACAACCTTAATGATTAAGTTCTAAGATGTGGTAAGTGATGCTATCAGTCAAAGCCTTATTTAATAAGTTCTGAAATGTCATAAGTGATGGTATCACAGGCACAGCCTTATTTAATAAGATCTAAGATGTGGTAAGTGATGCTATCAGTCACAGCCTTATTTAACAAGTTCTAAGATGTCATACGTGATGGTATCACATCCTTATTTAATAAGTTCTAAGATGTGGTAAGTGATGGTATCACAGCCTTATTGAATAAGTTTTATGGTGTGGTAAGTGATGGTATCACAGCCTTATTGAATAAGTTCTAAGATGTGGAGAATGATGGTATAACAGCCTTATCTTAAACAAATTGTTGTTTTGCTTTGATCATAATTTGTTTTGTTTTTCATTTTACCCCTATTTAAGGTTGGTGGGTATGTTTTTTCTAACTAATTCTATAAATGTAATTAAGCCAGACAACATGAAGAAACATGTTCATTTTTGATATTTATTTTTGGTAATTTACAAATTTCACTTGTTAAATGTCACTTATATTCATTATGCTTTTATCTTAACAATGCTCATCATAAACAAAAATGGCATACGATCTCCTGGATAGAGATGATCATTATAAATCTATATTTTGTATTACATTTGGCTCAGGTGAAATTTTGAACAAAACTATATTATATATATTAAAGTATGATTTTGGTTTGACACAGATTGGATCTTGTTGATATAGCAATAGTTAATAAAGATAATCATTAATGCCTTATATTTGATGACAGCAGATTTGATAGAATCTCGTTTATGGTCTTACTATGCATCTCTTTTTATATTGTTAATTACTTGTTATATTTCGGAACAATTGTTTATCACTTTGAAATTAATGAAACAATTGTTTATTTCTTTGAACATCATGGAACAATTGTTTATAACTTGGAATATTATGGAACATTTGTTTATTTATTGGAATATGATGGAACATTTTTTAAAATGATAGATGTAGTTTTGTCTTTTTATATAATTTTAATATTTTGTAACTTAAAAAGCAATAATGTAGTTTTTGTAGTGTTTATTATGATGTTTTAGACTTAGACTCTGATTTGGTGTGGAATTGAATTGATCTGATATGTTACAGTTCAATTTTCATATGGAAAGATTGTACAGTTGTTGCTTTGTTGCCAACTTTATTTTGGCTCACAACACTGTCAACTGTTGAACGCATAATCAGTCATATATCAATATTGACCTTATCTACAGACCTGGGAACGAAAACAGATTGTCAACACAAAACACAATCAACACATAAAATGATATCAAATCAATGAGGAAGTATTGTTATAATGTTGTGATTATATTTTATTACCTCCTAACGCAAAGTTTTTATCTTTGCTTAAACTACACATTCAACAATTTAGTCCCAATGTTTATGCTATTTATGTGCATGTCTGTAATGTTTGCTTGTTTAATAGTGTATATAATATTTATTGAATCACACTTCTTTATTGTGTATTTTTTCTATCAAAGTTTTCATGTATTTTTCTGTCAAATTTTTTGTGTATTTTTCTGTCAACTTTTTCATGTATTATTCTGTCAACTTTCAATGAGCTCACCCCTGTAATTTTTTGTCTACAACAATGCAATTGGTGTTGGGATATTCCATAATGCGTGATTTTCTAATCACATTTCCTTTGTTTTGTGGAGGTTTGTCAATGATAATCACAGATGACATGGTCTGCTAATCTAAGTTGAAATAAGACATTGAGATTTTATTTACTGTTTTCATCTCATATACCAGGTAGTACCGGTAATACTGGTAATTGTTATTTTAAGGCTTGTTGTGTTAAATTATACAAGTTTATCTTATCTCAGTCAAAATATAAATATTTTTTACATTGTTTTGTTAAATATTTTCAGCATTAAGGAGCAATTTAAATGTTGACCTTTTTGCGTAGTGTTTATAATGTTTTGTGTTAAACAGTATATTTGGACAGTTTTAATAACCATGTTATTATATAGCAATTATAATAATTACTATACAATTAAAATAAATGCTAAAAATTGACATTCTGAACAATATGTCACAATAAATGGTAAGTTTGATAAGAATACCACAATTTAAATGTTGACATTTTTAAATACCGTTTCTTATAATGTTTTGTGTTAAACACTATATTTGGACGGTTTTAATAACTATGTTATTATAGCAATTATATTAATTACTACGCAATTCAAATAAATGCTAATAAACTAAATTCTAAACAATATGTCACAAAAAAATGTCAATTAAATGTTGACAAATTTCCATAGCGTTTATAATGTTTTGTGTTACTATAATTGGACGGTTTTAATAACCATAAATTAAAAGTTCACCACATATTCATCAAATTTATGTAATCATTTATCTATAAGATAAATTATAAGAACACCACATATTTATCAATTTTATGTAATCATTTATCTACAATACAAATTATAAGAACACCACATTTTTTTTTTATATTGCACTCTTATCAACATTAACTTATATTCCATATTATAAGGGTAATCAAAACAGTGATAAGTAATATATTTCTATTATATATTGTAGTATATTTTGATTTATTTATAATAATTGTAGTACAATATATAATCTTTGTGATAATCTATATTTGTGATGTCTTTATGTAATGCAATTCTGTATATATTATTATTAAGTGCCAAATTCAGACAATTATCATTGCAGATCTGTTCTCCGAGAAAATGTTTTTAGAGGTTTAGCTTTTGTCTGTCTTAAAGATTATTGGATATTTTTCATTGTGGAGATTATTCTACGTATTAAGACAGGGTGTTTTAATTTTCTGAGAACAGAATACCAAATGAAATAATGAGTGTCTTTGAAAATAAAATTACAAGAATTTAGGAGAGTTTGAAAATGCTCAATGTAAAGCTTGATAAAGTTTTATTTAGATCTTTTTCTGCTTAATTCAAAATATAGGTAGATTTTATGATGCAATAAGAACTATTGGGCAATGCATGTCAAGTTGAACTCAGGGTGGTATCTCTAAAGAGACTTTGACTGCCTAGTTCTTCTTTTTGGGAAGGGTTTCATATGGAGGATATATTCTGGTACCTTGACATTCAATGCTAAATGGTTTAAATTGTAAAGATCTATAAAACTATAATTTATTAAAGATGCATTATGTAAGAGCTAAATCTGCCTATTGCAGGTAGTTCTGCTGGCTTTAAATTTTATATCAATTATTATTTCACATGATAAGCCGAAAATCAACTCTCTAGAACATCGGATAGCTGAGATTTAAATGGATTTGAACACTCACGAGATTTAAAAATTTAATGATAAAATGGATAATCTAGGCCTAGTCTTGGTTGTCAATTACCGTTGCTACAATAATAAATAATCTATGCTACATCTTCAAACAGTCATAATGTAGCCTAGAATAAAAAAAATTGAAGGAAATTTTCAATATATTGATTTTTCACTATCTTGTTTTTTTTTTAACTATTAAAGCAAGAACAGACAGCTCTTTATCAAGTCTTACATAATGTATCTTTAAGGAGTGCAATATTATATGATGACAATATACTTAGTTTTATTTAGTATTCTTAGTAATAAAATTGTCCCTTGTTTATTCTTAATAGGAAGTGTTTTATTCTGTCCCAGGCATTTTTATGCCTATAATTTTGAAGGCTGAATTTTCACTGGACCACAATCATAAAACACCATTTATTGATATCGTATGGCAACGAAAATTCATTAATATCGGTACTTGGTAGATGATTTAGATGTATTGTTCGATAAATATGTTACACAAATATCAAAGATGCATCTGCAAACATCTAAATGTTTGAGATAAAAGATGGTACTACATGTACTTAGTTTTACCTGATAAAATCACGACGCGAATCAGATCGGGCTTTAAGGAGCAAAACTGTCAACTCTTTCTTCAAACCAACGATTGATTATTGTTATTTATAACAATTCTGGCACATCCGATGACTACAATTAAGCATATAATCCTACCTGACACGGGTACAAATCATCTCTTTTAAATCGAAGCGATAATAGCTGGCTTTACCCGGCATTTTAAATTTGACATCTATACGTCTTGAAGGCGGTCCTAAAAATATGTCATGTAACTACAGCAAATCAAATACGCAAAAAGTAGGATAAACTTTATAAGTCGCAAGAATGTCCTTGATAATTCTACTGACAATAGTTACCGAAAGTGGCAGACTGCATCTGAAAATATTGGTTGCCAGGAGACAAAGGGGGCCCACCCACCAATACAATTCTATCATTTAATTTTTAAAATAAATTACATTTTAAAAAAATATGTAACTAATAACTTTTTATACGCCCACATTTTCATGTGGACGTATATTGTCGTCGCCCCTGTTTGTCCGCCCGTCCACAATTTGTTTGTGGACACTCTACAAGTCACAATTTTTATCCGATTTCAACGAAACTTGAAATATAGCTTTATCTCCCTAAGATCTCGATTCCTTTCGATATGTGCATGTATCGGACCATAACTTATGGCCCCTGATTGTACGAAAAATCGCGTTTTTAGCTTGTGGACACTCTAGAGGTCACAATTTTGATCCGATTTTGATGACACTTGAAATGCATGTTTATAACCCAAAGATCTTGGTTCCTTTCGATATTCGCGCATATCGGATCGTAACTTCTTGAATTATGGCCCCTGATTGTACGAAAAATCACGTTTTTGGCTTGTGGCCCCTCCAGAGGTCACAATTTTTATCCAATTTAAAAAAACGTTTGATTATATCACCGTTACACCGTAATGAAGGTTGAGTTCGAATTTCGTAAAAATCGGACCAAAACTGACCGACTAAACGGCCGCCCCTCGTACGCAAATAGTGTAAATATCTGGTATATCAAGGTTGTGGACCCTCTGGAGGTCACAATTTTGTGCCGATTTTGATGAAGCTTGAAATGCTTGTTTATAACCAAAGATCTTGGCTGTTTTTGATATTCGCGCATATTGGATCGAAACTTGATGAACTATGGCCCCTGATTGTACAAAAAATCACATTTTTAGCTTGTGGACACACTAGAGGTTACAATTAAGATCCGATTTTGATCAAACTTGAAATGCATGTTTATAACCCAAAGATCTTGGTTCCTTTCGATATTCGCGCATATCGGTTTGTAACTTCCAGGATTATGGTCCCTGATTGGTCGAAAAATCACATTTTTAGCTTGTGGATTCTCTAGAGGTCACAATTTTTTTTTCGATTTTAAAAACCGTTTAGATCACTATTCCACCATAATGAAGGTTGAATTGGAATTTTGGGAAAATCGAAATGAAACTGCCGACAAAACTCTTTGTATGCAAATTGTATATAAGTATGTAATTCAAAGGTTATGGGCCTCTAGAGGTCAAAGTTTTTATCCAATTTTGATGGAATTTAAAACATATCTTTATATCCCAAAAATCTCAGTCCCTTTTAATATTTGCGCATTTTAGACCATAACTTTCTGGATTATGACCCCTGATTGTATAAAAACTCGTTTTTGTTTTTAGCTCCTTCTCTATTCATCTTTTGCAAAATGTGGGCGTATCCTGCCCGGCAGCCGCTGGTTTCTAATACATGTAATTATATATTTTTTGATAATTTGGGCAAGCTGACAACCTGGCCAGTCCGCCACTGTTTCCCGATAAATGAAAGTTGTTTCACTACATTGGGCTGGATATGTTTAACGCGTCCCAATAGTATAAAATTAACTTATATTTAAGATCTTAAATGCATTAATAAAGAAATTGAGTTTGCCAGGTGAAACTAAAGGTATCCAATCGTAGCTAAAAACAAGTACATCAGTATATATCTCTATATTTTTAGCCACGTTGTCGTGGCTACAAACCCCTGGGAACACCTTTCTTGGAGCTAAATATAATATCAGCAATATTTTGAGATATATGTACCCAAGGTTTTGTGAAGCCATTTCTTGTCGTGTAATCAAAATGACAAACTATACTGAACTTACCATCCTTTTGGGCCAAGCACTATGCTGAAAGGGGTGGTGGGGATCATTTTTAGGCATATTGAAATTTAATAACTGAGCAGATACATTTATGTAGGCCTGCCTGTCAGCAATCTGTTTAAAACACAGATCCTATTTCGTTTGTTTTGTTTTTTTATAGTTCAAAATTTCGCTTTACTTGTCTTTACAAAACTAGAATCTGGAAGAGTTGTTATACACTCTTCAAAAAAAGTAGGGGATATTGAAATGCAAATACCTATGCAGGTTGTGATCTGATAAATAGTCATGGACACTTGACATGCTTTGTGAGTATGTTCACAGATGAAGAACTTATCGCCCTGATGAAAACTGTCGCGTGCTGGTTTATCTATCCATGTAAGCATTCCTATCGGTTCTTGCATAATATTTACTGTTTAGCGTATCTTTGCTTTAGTGTGTTACGACGAATTGCTGAATGTCTGAGGATTGGTGGAACAATTACTCATTATTAAGACAAAAATCCAAAACGTCCATTTTCTCTTTTGACGGTGTATCTCTTTGCGAGTGAAATGGGACCGTCAGACAAGCTGCCCATATGAACTGTTTATGTTCATGTGTAGGCAATTGGCCCGTTATTAACATACAATGGTTACCTCTAATAAAAACAGCAGTGCATTTCAGCAGTTTTGTATTGTTTCTGAATATCCCCTACTTTTTTTTTTGAAGAGTATATAACAGGCGTTCTAGTTGATTTGAGGAATGAGCCAATGAAACGGTTTGTTATGGCGACACTGATTGATTAATCAATGCCTGACATCATAGGGTCAAAAGTCGCTTCTCTGACCCCCGACGCGGCTTTCCACTACAACTGGTCAGATCTTCATGTAGTAGAGGCCATGGAAAGTATAAAAAAAACGAAACGAAATATAGATCTGTATTTTAATCAGATTGCCCTTTCAGACAATTATGGGGGCACATAGGACAATACATACTATAATAAATACCCCAGTATGGCTGTCCTGAAATAAGTTCGAATTTTGTGTAGATGACATGCTGCCAGAAAAGGTTCCCCGACCGTCTTCTATTTTTCTATGTCATAATATATCTTGACACCAATCTTAAAACTACCGCGATGGGTTGGATTGTACGAAAGCCCAGAAGCCTCATTCCAAATTCCAAATTCCAAATGCGAAATTCCAAATTCATGTCTTACCAATCAAATAGCAAATTGGCAGCCCCCCCCCCTTCAATTAAACAAATTAGAATTTAAATAAATTGCAATTTTATACAACTAATTAGTGCTATCTGATGCCTGGGCCGATTCAAATTACTAGATTCGACATTCCAAATGAGAAATTGCAAATTCCAAATAATCACGTGACATTTCAATCATCATGGCTGCTGCAGAGAAGATAATACGACAACAGCAGCTAAATCGTCCGGTCAGTCAACAAGAGTTGTCACATATTAATTTTACTTTTCATTTATAATGCACTAAAATCTGATTAAGAGTAACAACTCATTAATTAATTATCAGAAAATCATTAGAATTTGTTTGGTTTTTATAACGTTTTTGCTAACGTTAAGTATACGAAACATTTAATATCATGGATTTAGCTGTTCAAGTTATCAAAATTCAATGAAAAGCAATATGCTTGTACGTCTCAAGACCTTAAACTCTGAATATCAATCTGAAGTCAAGCGGATGATAACTTTAGCCTCTAGAGCGCCACAAGATTTTTCAAAGTGATCAAGGGCCATAACTTTGGCAGTAATTATTGGAAATCGTTGAAAATCAATAGGCTTCTTTGTTTCATGACCTTAAACACTGTGTATAAATCTAAAGTCAATCGGATATTCACTTTAGCCTCCAGAGCGTCCACACGATTTTTTGAAGTGATGAAGGGCCATAACTCTGGCAGTAATTATCGGAAATCATTGAAAATCAATAGGCTTCTTCGTCTCCTGACCTGAAACACTGTGTATAAATTTAAAGTCAATCGGATATTAACTTTAGCCTCTAGAGCGTCCACAAGCATGGACGCCGGACGGACGGGGGCGACAATATACGACCACATTATACGATCGCATTTAGAATTTGGAATGAGCCTTCTGGGCTTTCGTAGGCCCAGGCATCAGATAGGTAAACTAGCACTAATTAGTTGTGTAAAATTACAATTTATTTTAAATTTTAATTTGTTTAATTGTGGGGGGGGGGGGGCATTTGCTATTTTATTGGTAAGACATGAATTTGGAATTTGGAATGAGCCTTTTGGGCTTTCGTAGGATTGTGATAATTGATATATTTAACGTGGCTATTCTAGTAATTTTGTAATAAAAAAAATGGTTGTGAAGACTTCTGCCGACTTTTCAAACTCTGGAAATGCAATTGTAAATATTTTATTACCCACAGACCACCTACAGAATTGTTTACGTTCATCTCAAATACTTTTATCGTTTCCCTTTCCAAAATAAAAATAATTACCCACTAATACACAATTGTTGATAATTTACAGCCATATAAAAATATATTTACCAGACATAACACATGTCATTTATACAAACATTTAGAATTGTATAGCTAGTATATTCATAAATATAACTGTATTGACAGTATAAACCCAAATAGAAATATAATGATATTACTATAAAAAGAACCATTCCTTTATGTCATTCATTTACCAGCAACATTACGATAACAAAAGCCAAACAACAAAAATACCCTTTCCCTAAATCTCGCCCCAAGAAATATGGTTGTAAACGCTATAGCCGATGGTCATTTTGGGGATTTTTAATAGCTTGCAACCTACAATATTGTGAAAATATATAAAAGGAATATCAGTTTTGAAACCGGCAAGAAAATGTAATATGTGCCAGTATTTTTGGGATTAAAAATATATATCCCCGGCTTCATTAGCGCAGTCGGCGCAGAACAGTAGAACGTTAAAACCCTATTTCATTTCATTTCAAAAATATGAATTAGTCATCCATTCAATCATGGCTAATATGAAATCCTTACGGCTGTATAGGATAATAAATTATTATCGACTTTCCTCATAATCTAAACATAACATGTCAATGTCAATTGGCATACATCAACTGGTATAAAATACAGCGTCAACTGGTATAAAATACAGTATCAAATACAGTATCAACTGGTAAATACAGTAAAAACTGGTATAAAATAAAGTATCAACTGGTATAAAATATCAGTGTCAACTGGTAAAACATATCAGTGTACATCAAATTATCTTAAATGGAATAAAGTAATGTATCATGAGGTATGTGGGGGATTCAACCGAAGTTGAAAGTGCAACATGTAATAAATCTTCTTTGGAAAATATAAATATTGAATTTTATTAAATATGTATATAATACCTAAGTTCATAGCTTAAATTCAAAATATAATGAACAGAAAAAAACGTCCATTGAAAAGTTACCCGACCTGGACGCAGAAAATACATTTATGTCTTTGTACAAATTTGAAAAGCTTTGACTATACAAATGAAGGGCAAAATAAATACTGTATGTCTAATTAGAAAGCCTCGGAACTATATGAATAATAATGAATGGATATCCATTAATCCTGTAAATAGAACTAAGTTTTATATACACTAAAATATGAATGTTTCTTGGTAAAACATGCTAAAATAGAGATGAAATATGTAGGCAATCATAAATAATTAAATATCTTATTTAAGAATTATCAGATCTATTGAAATGGAATTGCCTAACCATTTAGCGCCCGAAGAGTTCGGCAATCTTGATTGAACTTCTATTTTTGTGTTTTAAATCATGGATTACATGATTTCAAATCAATATATAATTATAGCTTTCTATAAGAGGCATTATTCCGTCATGTTTCTTACTTCAAATGTTTTATAAATTATTAGTATTTAGGCTATAATCAACACTCTAGACCAATGAATCGAATCAGAATTAGACAATGTCCGTCAAATTTGCGTTAAACGGTTATATGGCCATAGACTGCAGATAATACGACTGACAAAAAAAACTTTGTTTATTATCATTGCTGACAATATGACTATTTCTTTTTAAAAAATTCAAACAATCATAACTTCGCTCCAGAATAAAAGAATTTCACTGAAATTTTCAAGATTTTCGTTTTTGATTATTATCGAAAGATTAACCAGATCTTTCTCTACATTTTGCTAATGTCTCCTTAAAATTGGTTATTTACTTAAAAATTTACAAATTATGGAACATAATGATTGAACTGCCATTTTTGTGTTTCACTGCTGGGGTCACATGTGTTCATGATTGGTTCATCATTTTTCAGATCGAGACATAACTTACTGTCTGCATGCTGTATATATCCATCCTGGAATAAAACAATATCATAATCAAATCTTGTATATATCCATCCTACAATATAATAATCAAATGTTGTATTTATCCATCCCAGAATAAAACAATATCAAATCTTATTCATTCTAAGAGTTATTATTAAAGGAGCTAAATCGCTAACATTTGGGACCTAGAAATTAACAAAAGTGGGTCGCAACGCATATAATACTGTAATATGAATGTATATAAACTGATTTACATTCAATGGTTTCCGTTTTTACTCCAATTTCAAATCAGTTATGTTCGGCGAAATAAGCCAGCAGTCTCAAGCGAGTGCAAATTTCTAGCGTCTGGTTATTCCAGTCTACATACGCCGTTTGATTTGGTACAACGTGTCTAGCCTCGTCCCTCGAGTCTCTTGATACAACTGGGGCTGAAGCGCATTATGGTACACGATTCGTGTACCAATGGTAAAATGTTTATTTTTTTTAAATATTGGATATCAGAAGCCCATCTTTCCCCGGTAAGATCACAACATCAATGTTGATTTAAATTGACAAATAATTCGTGTTTTCAATGTTGAAGATTTTGGATGATATTGAGTCTGGTCGAGATAGAAAATTTGTGGGAAGAAATTCCTACCCAATTGATTTCTTCATTTTCTGAAACAACTATGTCCCTAGTGTTCCAGAAAAATTTTCCCCGCCGATCGGTGTTGAGCAAATTTTTTTACAGCATTTTGAAATTTTGACCCCCTGGGTCAACATAATGAAACTGAAAACCATTGATAACTTCAAAAATATCAATTTTACACCCTAGAAATGTATTATCAACATATAGGAAAGTGATATCAAGGATTCCAGAAATGATGTCAAAAGTAACGTATGACGTCACCGTGACGTCAGAATACAAAATGGCGGAACTATGACGTCACTGTGATGTCAAAATTCAAAATGGCGGAGACGTGTTGTGAATAACAGCAAGCAAATAGACAAGAGGAACATTCTGGACACCATAAAATATTCATTCGGGTCATCATCAATAAAATCATCAAAATATTCTTCAGTTCTGATTTGTTCTGCCCCGTACCAAATGCATCTTCTAAATCGATGCTGATTTGTTGGCTATTCAGACAACCCTCCCCATGGCATCCTCCACGCGCTTCAACACATTTCAAACCATTCTTTGTACAAGAACGTGACGAGCATTGGTTTTTCAACGATTTACATTTACACCGGATGAAATTCAGAACGTTTTCTGGTGCTGATGGAAGAACAGTCGCGATGGGAACGTGTCTATTCTCTATCACTTGCCAACCCCAATTCACAGGATCGACGCCATCGTCTAGTTCATCCCAAATTCTAACCTGAACATGGACGCGGTGAGCATGCTGCTCGGCCGCGGCAGCTGTTGGAGGAAGTCTACTGATTTGAATGGAAATTTTTTTCAGCGATCATAGCTTTGTACCTTAGGTACCAGACTTTAGTCAGAGGTATCTCATTTTTGTTACCATACATTACACAGAATAACCTTTCTCCAGCTTCAGATACTTCGGACTGGGAACTTCCAGGTGAAGCTATTGTCTTGCTAGCTTCCCGAAAGATGTCACTGTTCGTATGTTTAAGAAGTCTCAATTTACAGAATCCGAAACAACCAGAAGTGGTATCACACCCAGACCAGGCGTGAATGAACAATAAATTGTCTAATACAGTTTTCAGTGTTGGCCAGAAACTGGCCTTGACTATAGATAACTGTGGTGTCCGATTTCCCTCGCCAATCGTCGTGGTCGACGGCTATGAACCATACACGACGATTGGCGAGGGAAATCTTTTTACAAATGACCGATAGTTTTCTAAGATGATAGAGATATTCATCGTGTTCGACGGCTATGAACCAAATATTAAGGATAATGAGCACGAGCGCCAAGCTGCTACGTCTAAATGGTGGTGGGTGGTGTTCTTTTCTTAAATAAGTAGACAATATATATTCTGACTTTGCCCCTGTTATAAAACCTAACCTAACCATTTCACCTGTGTCAATAAATAATTCGATATATTCAACCAATCAAACAAACCTATATTTATTCAGCTAATCAACAAAAGATAAAACAATAATTCACACCCCGGGATTGCAAAATCCACGAAGATATACCTGAAGTAAGGGGGAACACGTGAAAGAGTGAAAAGATAATTGGGGCATATTTTAATAGTTTGTGAATCATACTATATCTAGAACCCACAGAGAAACATATTTCAAGTTCAGTACAAAATTCTGGAACTCCTAGTACTTTCCGCACTGTCAGTTAAGCTGTCCATCACAACCCTGTGAGTTTTGTTCGGCAAGAACTCGGACTATATAGAGAATCTCCTACGAGTCCTTTTCAATATTTTTTGATATAAGAAAAGACGAGTAAAAGATTTTATTTATCACCCATACTTTTCTTACACTCACAAATAAATAAATGTGAAATATGAAAGTTATCACACAAGCGATATCAACTGTAGAATGCGTTATTGGGTGATAAGGGGATCTTTTTAAAAATATTTTATTTAAAACATGAAAGGGATCGAGGAACGGGCATGCTCCATATGACCTCTCTCCTAAATTCAAGAATGAATATGAATATATACTCTTAAAAAAAGTAGGGGATATTGAAATGCAAATACCTATGCAGGTTGCGATATGACAAATAGTCATGGACATTTGACATGCTTTGGGAGTATGTTCACAGACCAAGAACTTATTGCCCCAACAGAACAACTGAGCTGCACATGCGACATGCAATAGCGCCATACACGTGAGAGGGGTTCATTGTAAAATTTGACACTTCAAGGAAGGGTTAATGAAAACTGCCGTGTGCTGGTTTATCTATCCATGTTTGCTTTCCTATCGGTTCTTGCATAAGATTTACTGTTTAGCGTATCTTTGCTTTAGTGTGTTACGTTTAATTTGACAGGGAGACGTGTTCGTCGACGTCAACGTCAACCGACAACACTGCAAGAATTGGCCGTGGCACTGCAAGAGGGGTGGATCAGATTGCCCCAAATCGTGATTGGACGGTTGATTAGGAGCATGCCACGACGAATTGCTAAATGCCTGAGGATTGTTGGAACAATTACTCATTATTAAGACAAAAATCAAAAACGTCCATTTTCACTTTTGACGGTGTATCTCTTTGCGTCAGATAAGCCGCCCATATGAACTATTTATGTTCATGTGTAGACAATTGGCTTGTTATTAACATACACTGGTTACCTCTAATAAAACAGCAGTGCATTTCCGCAGTTATGTATTGTTTCTGAATATCCCCTACTTTTTTTGAAGAGTATATATAGGAAATGGGCGAATAAACAACAAAACAATAAATACTTTATCAACAACATTTGTTCCTGTCTGCATGCGGGGGGGGGGGGGTCATAAGGTTTGTCATTGAGTCAAGTAGCGTGATTTCAATTCCACGCTTGTACGTGACAAGGAGTGGGGTTGCCTGCCCATCCTCGCGAGTTTTCTCTGGGTCCTCCGGTTTCCTCCCAATTCTAAAGACCCATACACGCAAGCGCATAGTTGAAATTAAATTTGAACCATATGTTTGTCCCGAAATGACCTAGGTTGTGTCGAGTGGACGTTAAACCCCATTTCTCTCTCATCTTTTTCTTGGGGCGACACTCTTCAAAAAAAAAAGCTTAAGGCTCCATCAATCCAAGCACGATCAACATGCTTGTTCCTTGGACAATTGCGCATCGATGATGGGATCGATCGATGCTGCGATGATGCCATACTCTGTTCCTGATCTATATAGTGCGTTCGTACTTGTTTCGTGGGGGGGGGGGTAAAAAAGAGGAAGTTTGAATAAAACTACACTGGAAATACCTTGACATGAGTCCATTTATCTCTTGGTCCAATTATACAATCTTCTAACATGGGCTGTGTTACTTTTGCCACAACACATTGTAAACTTGTTTTAAATAAATTATCTTTAGTTAATGAGAATCCCTGTAAATCAATAGGACGAAATGTTGACATACAATTGCATGGGCTCTATTAGACTGGAGCGGGTTTTTTTCAACGAGGAAATTTTTCGTGTGTTCACATGTATCTTCTCCAGTAATAAAATGTAATTTTGTAGAACAAGGGTCGTTATTAATATATACTCTTCAAAAAAAGTAGGGGATATTGAAATGCAAATACCTATGCAGGTTGTCATATGATAGATAGTCATGGACACTTGACATGCTTTGAGAGTATTGTTCACGGCCAATGCGACACGCAATAGCCTCATACACGTGGGAGTGGTTCATTGTCAAATTTGACACTTCAACTGCTTGCTGGTTTATTCTATCCATGTTTGCTTTCCTATCGGTTCTTGCATAAGATTTACTGTTTAGCGTATCTTTGCTTTAGTGTGTTACGTTTAATTTGATCGGGAGACGTGTTCGTCGACGTCAACGTCAACCGACAACACTGCAAGAATTGGCCGTGGCACTGCAAGAGGAGTGGGTCAGATTGCCCCAATTCGTGATTGGACGGTTGATTAGGAGCATGCCACGACGAATTGCTGAATGTCTGAGGATTGGTGGAGCAATTACCCATTATTAAGACAAAGAACAAAAACGTCCATTTTCACTTCCGACAGTGTATCTCTTTGCGAATGAAATGGGGCCGTCAGATAAGCCGCCCATATGAACTGTTTATGTGCATGTTTAGGCAATTTGCCTGTTATTAACATACACTGGTTACCTCTAATAAAAACAGCAGTGCATTTCCGCAGTTTTGTATTGTTTCTGAATATCCCCTACTTTTTTTGAAGAGTATATTACACAAACTGTTTTACTTAAATCAAAGAATAGTATTTAAAGACAAATATTCCCGTGTCTAATTCAATAGTACATAATTTTATAAGAAATAAAGCGATGTATTACCTGAGTACCAAGTTGAAAGTGACATGGATGTACATATAGTTTATCAGGTGCTTGAAACAGGTAGTTGTGATTATCAAGGCATGTTCCGGTTCCTAAATTTTTCGCCTACAATAAAGAGTTGCAAGCCTATTAGTTTGGATAATCTATTAAAAGTAAAACTGCACTTCGTCACTTCCTCTCGTTCCCATCGGATCGGATCCCAAATTTCAACAAACTATTCTTGTATCTTAACAGAAATGAAATCTTTTTGGTCATTGACAATTAAATTGAAAATCAATCACATGAGAGAGTGATACCAGGTGTTCCGATAAGGGTGAACACATTCTTGATCGTAGACAAGAGATGATACCATGGCAGAGTCCGATGTGGATTACATAGTACTTCAATATGCAAAACTATCATTTTTTTAAAAAAAAAAAAACAACGATGGATTAATATATTTCTGCATATAATCCTACCTGACACGGGTACAAATCATCTCTCTTAAATCGAAGCCGTAAAAACTTGCTTTTCCCGACAATAATTGTTTTAAATTATTTAAAACGGAATAGGTTTGGCGTCTTAACGTCATGCAGGTGGGGCTAAATATATGTCGTGTTCAATAGCCAATCAAAATACACGACTAAAAATCACAAGTATGGGTAGCGCATGACTAATGCACCGTAATTAAGAACGGCCGATCCAATTTTGATTAACGCTTGACTAACATTGCATATAAACGAAAGTTGTTTTACTACATTGAGCCGGGTATGTTAGATTAGTAATAGTATAAAATTAACTTATTTTGAGATTTTACATGCATTAATAAAGAATTTAAGTTTGTCAGGTGAAATTAACGGCATCCAATCGTAGCTAAAAACAAGCACATAAGTATATCTCAACGTTTTAGCTACGTTCTCGTAGCTATCTTGACTCCAGCACGTCATCTGCTATTGAGCAGGATAAAAACTTAAACATTTAGTAGGACGAAACATGAATGTGGATGAATTAATGATAGATAATTGAAAATATTCGCTAGAAATAATACTTACAGAACCCCACGCCTGTACGTTCTCATTATATATAGCTAATTCGGGCCATATATTGTGTAGAAACCAGGTAATATTTTTACAATGTAACTTTTCTTTTAGCGCCAATCTTTCACTTATATCACCAACATCTATATTCTGTAAAATATGATTATTCTATCAAGCTGTAGTAAGAAGTTTTATTTTAATCCTTTCAAGTGCCTGTGATGATAACAGAGAGTGGGGTATATTATGAAGTTACAGGGTTCAAATTAAAATGTGTTATGCCGAGCGCTATTCAATGCAAACATTTTTAGGACATGTGCTAACAGCCGAGGAGCAGTTGTAGAAGTTGCATTACATTACTTTAAAAGACAGGACTTCGGCAAACCATTCTAAAATATATTGGTACATGTCATTGAGCTTCTGGTTGCAAGATAATTCATGATCGGCGAGAGATCGAAGCAATTTAACGCAAGCTGATAAAAATTCAAATCTAAATTTCGTTTCGCAATTTTTTCTTAAAGATTCCGCCGGATTCAGTCACCTTTGGGTCATACAAATGTACTTTTACTGTAGGACATAAACAATTTAGATTTAACAAAACTATACAGTTATATGGGACAACAATCACTGGTTTATTATACACAAGCACGACGTTTCGATAAGTATTCTCTTATCGTTATCAAGCACAATGACATTTAGTAAACTTGAGGGTCTATATATGTGTGGGGGGTTGGATGGCTGAATGGTTAGCGTGCGCGCGCTGTATCATAAAGTCTGTCATTGAGTCGACTGGTGTGGTTTCGAATCCCCGGTTGTACGTGACAAGGAGTAGGGTCGCCTGTCCAACCTCGTGGGTTTTCTCCGGGTCCTCCGGTTTCCTCCCACTGCTAAAGACCCCTATGCGCAAGCGAATTATTGAAATAAAATTATTCCATATGTTAGTCCCGAAATGACCTAGTTTGTGTCGAGTGGACGTTAAACCCCATTTCTCTCTCTCTCTATATATATGTGTACAACGCGAAACCATTCTTATTACTAATCATTAGAAGAGTTCAACCAATTAACAGACATATTTAACATCAAAGACCTGAAAAGAACCGTGTGATGACAAGGATATAGTTGTACATGAACCTTAAAACCACCCTGATATTGAAAAAGAAAAATGATTAGGGGGAAACCATACATTAAACAAACAGTATATAACAGATAGAGCTTATAAACACACGGTCTTGTAAATAAGACCACATTCACAAAATGTTATGAAAACAAAGCATAATAGCACTAAGATAACACAATAAACTGATCCAAGGGTTTGAAGGATCTAATATAGGCTAATAATAATATACTAAGTTAACATAGTAATCACGATTCAACTGTATAGTTTTGTTATGTTTCCAATTGCTAAATGCCACTAAAGGATTGAATTTAGATTTAGTTTTCTTTTTTTGTTGGTTTTTTTTTTGTTGTTTTGTTTACTGCTGTTATAGCTATCTTCCGAAAATACAGTGCTCAGATCGCGTAAATTTCGACTAAACACATCATTGCATTGATTAATTAATGACCCACATCAAACAGAACGCGGTTATTTAAAATGAATAATAATAAACGAAACGAAAAAGAATATGTGTTAAAATCAAATCGAATTTGTCATGAAGTACAACGAAAGATGCCAAACTGACCTTGATATCTGGTAAAGCTTGGTATATGAATTCCTTATATGGTCCCATCCAAACTTCAGCAGCTCGTTTATAGTTAAATAATTCCACTTGTCTTCTGCCACCAGGAAAAGTGTATGGCTGGCTTCTGGCAATGTGTCCGAAATGTGAGCAAGGAAGATGGACTAGTTTGCCACCACAAGACCAAACCTTATAATAATGTAAACAGTTATGTTGTAGATATCCCACTGGGTAAAGGAAATATGATAATAATAATAATAATAATAATAATAGTTTATTCAAAACTACGTGTACAAGCATGAGTGACATTGTGATGCATTATAATATCTGATTTAAAATCTTACAAAATAACTTTAGTTTTCAAAACAAGAGTGGTAAGTCACATAGAAGAATTTAATGGCATACACAAAAACTAAAGGTTGATGTGATCGTCAATATTTAATGTCATAATTTATCACCTAGCTAGGCAATATTTGTATTCATCTTTTATTGAAGGCATTAAGTACTAAGCTCCCAACATTTTCTATACACTCTTCATTATTCATAAGTATATTAGTTGAACTGGATCTGTTGGGGTTTGATAAATGGAGAAAGATATCGTTGACGCCTTATCATAAAAAGAGCAATATAACAATCAGGGGCGGATTCAGAGGGAGGTCGAGAGGTCTCCCCTCGCCCTGCTCAGCTAAAAAAAAAATTATAAAACAAAACTTTTATGAGAAATGTGTCACGGTCGTGTGCTTTATCTATAATCTTCAGATGGCGGGATGGGATGGGCATTCAAATCGCGAGATAATGGTATAGGCATAATTATGTGATATCACAATTAATGCTTTGCATCAATGAAATTGAAAAACACTGCCATCGTATTAATTCATAATAAAAATTGACGCCAAACGGGGTGCTGGATTCCTCTCTTTAAACAGCTCAGTGTGTATGGATACATTGTCTTAAGTATACCGGACAAATCCCCTCCTGCAAAAATTCCTGGATCCACACCTGTACAATAAATGTTTCTCATCTACTAATTGATAAATCATGTCAGTGACTTTCTTTTCAGACGATTGAGTCTCCAGTACAAAATCGTATTTAGTCTCCCGCACTATTACAATTGACGATTCCAACAAGATAAATATCTTATCCAATGGCGTACAATGACAAAAAATGAATGAAATATAAATAATCTGCAAATGGGGAACTTCGCCTTTAATGTTATAAGGTTAGGTCAAACTGTAATCCGTTTACTGTGTGCTGGTCAAGAGTCAATTATAGTTCTAATATGAGACTTATTTCACAATATAAACACGACGGTTTTAAATGAAATGAAATGAAATGGGGTTTAACGTCCTACTGTTTTGCTCCGAACTGGGCTAATGAAGACGGGCATACGCCATACAGTGTGCTATGAGGGTAATTTTGCCCGGACAGCGGCACTACGGCCTACTCTTATATCGAATTCCAACTGTCATGGGATCTTTTACGTGCACGCCAATGTGTACACGGGACATCGGTTTTTCGTCTCATCCGAATGACTAGACAGCTGTCCTTGTCAGGCCCTCGACGGTTTTAAAAGGTTTAGGTTTAAGAAATGGATAATAAATGGCATCGTAAATACACCAATCTAATTAAAATACAAATCTATATTTCGTTTCGTTTTTTTTATACTTTCGATAGCCTAGACTACATGTAAAGACAAGTAAAACGAAATTTTGAAGTATAAAGAACGAAACGAAATAGGTAATCAGATTGGTAAATACACATGACAGACTGACAGTCGGAGGGATGAGACCCTTGCAAGAATATTGTACTCACTCGCCACGATAGTTCTAAATTTTCGCCACCCCACACTTTCATGCCTTCGTCATAGGTCCCTATTTCCCCAAAATATAATTTATCTATAGCAAATGCAGCACCAACCATAACTGTGCCTCTATAAAGAAACAAGTGGTTGCCATGCAAGATACGCCCACATTTTGCAAGAGATGGACAGAGAACAAGCTAAAAAAAAAAGTGAGTTTTCGTACAATCAGGGGGCATAATCCAGGATGTTACGGTCCGATATGCGACAATATCAAGAGGAACCAAGATCATTGGGATATAAACAAAAACTTTAAATATCATCAAAATCGGATAGAATTGTGACCTCTTGGGATCCACACGCTAAAAACGCGATTTTTCGTACAATAAGCGGCCAAATTCCAGGAAGTTACGATCCGCGTTGCGTGAATATTGACAGGAACCGAGATCTTTAGGATATAAACATGTATATATTTTAAGTTTAATCAAAATCGGATAAAAATTGTGAACTCCAGAGGGTCCACAACCTTGGTATTACATACTTTTACACTATTTGCGTATAAGGAGCGGCCATTTGGTTGAGTACTTTCAGTCCTATTTTCACGACATTCGAACTCAACCATCATTAGGGTGTAACAGTGATATATTAAAACGTTTTTTTTTTTAAATCCGATAAAAATTGTGACCTTTAGAGTGTCCACAAGCTAAAAATGTGATTTTTCGTACTCAGGGGCCATAATCCGCGAAGTTACGGTCAGAAATATGTCAATATCGAACGAACTGAGACCTTGGGAGATAAACCTATATTTTAAGTTCCGTCAAAATTGGAGAAAATTGTGACCTGTAGAGTCGGACGGATAGGGGCGACGACAACATACGTCCACATGAAAATGTGGACGTATTAAATTATAATTGCTTTTATTTACACTCATTTGGAAGCTAAAGAAGAGGGTCTAACTTATGACTGAAAGAGAGCAGTGAATGGGTTATACTTGTAGTGTCCAGTATGCCATAGATTTGAACGGATATATAATATAATACTATTTCCCATTTGTGTAGATCAATCATTGGGTTGTGAAGCTGGCAAGGAAGAGTCTAGAGTTCTTCGGATGGTACAGAAGACCGAGGTCCCGTGTACATGTTGAAATTAGATTAATGCTTAAAGCATTTTAAATTTTCTGCAATTCTAGTTACCTCCATCAAAGTCAAAGGACAGTTTATATAAAATTTATCATTTTTAAAAAAAAAAATATATATATATATATAAACTCACGGTCTTGGACTGTAATCTTTAGGACCGATTTGATCCTGGCGGAAAAAAGTTTCAAAAAACACCATATTCCAATCAAATCCATATCTAGTTAAGTAGCCTCTATTGTAAAAATATTCCAGAGATCTCGCATTTATGTAATCTAAAACTCCCATAGCAACGGTTTTTCTATCTTTTTTTATTTCTGTTAATAGAGGTTGTAGCCTGAAAAATGAACATGCGCAGATTTATAACTTTGCTTATATTCTGTGTCCATAATTCTGAGGACGTATAGGGACGGGGAATTCAACCAGTCATGGCACCGGAATCTCGACCAGAACGTCACTAGTTTGAACAACAAATAGTGCTTTCTAGAGTATATCCTGATATCTTTGTAGCTTATGCACAACATTAGCATGTGCCAGTCTTATTACTAATGAATCAAAAACGACGTAAATGCAAAAATAACAAATACGAGCGTACTGTGGACCAGAAACTGGCCATATGATGTTTAAGAATATGGTACATTCTGTCCCCTCTCATTCGGGTACATGCAGTTTTAACATACAGGTATTGTTCTCAAAATATACACAGGTAAAATTCGAAAAGCTATCTTTAATAAAGGCTGACACAGTTATGACGTTGTTATGAGAATGAAATTCAAAAATCTAATTCACCAAATCGATGGTTTAAAGAAGAAGCGTGATAATTTTCATGTCTATCGGACTTGAATTGACGGAGCCTTATGCTTTTGTGAAGAGCGCCACCCCAAGAAAAAGAACAAGAAGAACAAGGTGAGTAGCGGTTAGCGACCAGTTCCTGGTCCAAAAAAGGGCCCATAAACTGTGTGAGAATATTAACTTCCTTAGAGTCCTCCGAGCTTAGTCAGATGGAGACTACCATACTCGCAGGCTCCTTCTCAGTCCACCCCTGTCATATTGAAGAAATATATTAAGCGACACATACACGCACAAACTTTTTTATCAATAGTATTGACGGTTTGACGTTTGCCCTGCACGCTCAATATATATTGTGCAATATGTAGTTTAAGCCCAACTGTCACAATGGACGGAACAACTGCGTTGGCTCTTGCTCTAGCCTTGAAGCAAAAAGCACTGAAAAAGAAACTGAAATTGTTGAAAAAAGTGAAGTTTGCGCAAAATATTGATGGGGCCGCTTAAATCTAAAAGTGGTCCATATAACTGCAAACATAAAGAACTGGATCGGGGTTGGGGGTTTGGGGAGTTTTGTTTTCTGTTTTGATTATGTGTTTTGTATTATAGCTTACCAATCCACGTTGACTTCCATATGACTATCAAATATAACAATAACATCTCCTGTAGACTGTTGCCATGCTTTAATACGAGCTTGTATTAATCCTACACGTGTTGGTAAGTGTGTTATACGAACTAAACCTTTCGGGAAATGATTCTCAATATACTCATCCAATGGGTCTTTCAATATTTCTTTAAACAAAAATATAGATATATACATATATGTGGATAATTGAGCAATGGTCAGCCTCTAAGCGATTTTCATTCCACACACATACAACTATCTACTTCGATAATAGAACTCTGCCCTGAATGACCACCATATCTAATAATTAGTATACTATTTTGTAATGCGGTTCTGCCCCATTTCACATTTGTCATGCCTAAATCAACCTTTCCGATTTTATTAAATGAAATCGGGATAAATACTTCGCGAAGTAAACTTAGTGTTTTCGACTAAAATCGTCGGTCAACTAGCCGAGTGTCTGTTCTCAAGCGAAGCTAACTATAGACAGACAGCGTAAAGCGTACTGTGTAGTATGTGATTTGAGCTTACTATATTGTAACACTTATTTGTCCAATGGAAATTTTATTGGAATTCCTGTAGTAAGCTCATGCGATGTTAGTTCAGCTCTGAACGTAGGTCTTATTACACTCGCCCTGTACGTTCAGGGACTGTCCTATTGAATCCTTGTCGAAAATCTAATCGCTTCCCAGTCAATTTTACTGGGCAACTTTTTACTGCTAACCGGTCGCGTGTCAGTCCCTGTGAACGCCTGAACAATATAAATGAACATCTTAGGGAGAAAATAAGACCTTGCTTACCTGGCTAGAGTCAGTATGAGCGACACAACACGCTGTTAAAAAATACGTCTCCGTCTTCTAACTGACTTGGCGGACATCATTGAAAGGGTAACGCACAAATTTAAGAACTCGCCCATATAAGATGAAACGAAATTTAGGTAAGCCTGGTGCGAAAAAATTGGGATTTTTGAAAGAATTTGATTGTAAATTATTGTAATTTAATCATTGAAGATTCTCAACTTTTCAAAGATTTCATTTTTTTTCTCCCAGGCTTACCTAAATTTCGTTTCATCTTATATGGCCGAGTTCTTAAATTTGTGCGTTACCCTTTCAATGATGTCCGCCAAGGAGACGTATTTTTTAACAGCGTGTTGTGTCGCTCATACTGACTCTAGCCAGGTAAGCAAGGTCTTATTTTCTCCCTAAGATGTTCATTTATATTGTTCAGACGTTCACAGGGACTGACACGCGACCGGTTAGCAGTAAAAAGTTGCCCAGTAAAATTGACTGGGAAGCGATTAGATTTTCGACAAGGATTCAATAGGACAGTCCCTGAACGTAGAGGTCGAGTGTAAAATGAGACCTACGTTCAGAGCTGAACTAATGCGATGTATGAATAACATGGTAAACTCTTCCTACAGGAAACAATGAAATTTGGGTTTATTTCCCGTTTTCTTTCCTTTTATTAAATTAAAGTAATTTTAGTTTGAAAAGTTTACCCTCTGTACTAGCATCATCTATTAGTAGGATTTCTTGAAGTAGATGTCTTGGTGTTCGGTTAATAACACTGTAAACTGTTCTCAATAAGGTTGATGGCCATTCATTATAAAAGGGAATTATGATGCTGGCGTTTGGCAAATCATGTTCATATTTTACACCTTGACATCTAAAAAATAACAACAAAACAATACGCAACAAAAAATTGAAAGAGGGTTGAGACGCTTTTGATTAAAAGAAAAACAAATCCCTTTGCATATATTATTCTCCAGATTATCTTAAATTCAAGCGTTTGAGTAGCCGAGTGGTTAAGGAGTGTCATTGAATGGCGTGGTTTCGATTCCCCGCGTGTACGTGACAAGGAGTTGGGTCGCCTGCCCAAACTCTTGATTTTCTCCGGGTCCCCCGGCTTGGGTTAGGGTTAGAGTTAGGAAACCGGAGGACCCGGAGAAAACCCACGAGGTTGAACCGGTGACCCTACTACCTGTCACGTACAACCGGGGAATCGAAACCACGTCAGCTGAATCAATGACCAACCTCATGATACAACGCGCACGCGCTAACCATTCGCCCCCCCCCCCCCAAAAAAAACGTATGCTATAAATAGACAGAGCTACATTTATAATTATAACAGATAACTAGACTTGCTTGCAAGACTGAAGGCTTTCACCGTGCCAAGGCGTCACACGATCACCAGATGCATGACATAAGACTATCCCCACCTCTCACCCCCTAAACAAACACACACTCCCCCACCCCCCAAATAAAAACACACATTTGCATAACTCAGATATTGACATGTTCTTTGCATGCGCATTACGTTATAAGGGAATCGAAAAATAAAGTTGATCTACGCGAAATGGAAAAAGAACAGTTTCACGAAATGGACGGAAAGCAATTTCGCAATAGATATTAATATCAAAGTAAAATGAAATGGGGTTTAACAACATTCTGCTCGGAATGGACCATGAGGAATGTTTCGAACGTACAGCGACGCTAGTCTACTCTTATATACAATTCCAACTGCCAAGGGAACTTTTTTGCGGGACTTCGGAATCGTGTTCATGTCAGCTACTGAAATATGTAACTGGTTCAAAAATTAAATATCGCCAATTTTCTGGTTTCGTGCACGTTAAAGATTTGAAGTCACTAACATGTAAAAGTTTACTATTAATTACAGACAGAGTCCAGGATCAAACAACTGAAGCAGTCAAGAACCAGGATGTTCGCGACTACTTTGTTTTTTTATATTTACTGATACTATCATATTTCATTATTTGTTAGCGTAGGACATTTTCATTTATATATATATTAAACATGTATTATATGTCTTATCATAGAAGTCTTATCATTTGATATATATATATATTAAACATGTATTATATGTCTTATCATAGAAGTCTATAGTGTTATGTTCTTTCGTAACCATTTGTTTAAATACCTTAATTGTTCGTACCTTTCTAACCAGGGTAATTATATAACTGTTAAATTAAACAATGGATAACTCCTACCTCTTAAATAAATTATATAATTAGTAAACAATTATTATTATCTAATGATTGTTGTTTTGTGACATATATAGTATAACCAATATATACATTGTACTTTTATAATCAATATGATACTGCGCATTAGTCGTGTTTATGTTCTTATGATTTGAATTTCTTCATGCAATATTTGTAAATCGCCAGTAGGAACAAATGTCTCTTATATAGATAGATACGTTATGCTGGCTGGAATTTGCACGGTTAGCTATAGCCTTTTGGACAGCGCTGTATCATACGGTCTGTTATTGAGTCAACTGGCTGGGTTTCGATTCCCGGTTGAACGTGACAAGGAGAATGTCGCCTGTCTAAACTCGTGTGTTTTCTCCGGGTCCTCCGGTTTCCTCCCACTGCTAAAGACCCCTACGCGCAAGCGAATTATTGAAATAAATAAAAAATACACCATATGTTAGTCCCGAAATGATCTCTAAACATGCTCGTACAGCGGCGCTAGTCTTCTTTTATATAGAATTCCAACCGCCAAGGGATGTTTTACGGTCACACCAATGTGTACACGGGACTTCGGAATCGCGTTCATGTCAGCTACTAAAATATGTAACTGGTTCAAAAATTGATTGAATATTCAATGAAATATCGCCAATTTTCTGGTTTCGTGCACGTTAAAGATTTGACGTCACTAATAAAAAATTTAATATTAATTACAGATAGAGTCCATGCTCAAACAACGTCATGCCTTTTATCACAGGTGCAATATTCGATACCACTGTGTGATACTACTGCAAACGATTCATAAATTGGACTTTCTTATAAACAGCGCGAGCCGTCGATTTCTGTCCAGATGATTACCGGTATAAGATAATTTTGACACAGAAGCAACAATATTAATTCAAAGGCTAATTATTACACACAGCAATAAACTATTTCTGTTACAGGGTCACTAAACCCATATTTTGGAAAGAAGAAAACATTCATAGTTGAAATAATTTCAGTTCAATTATCATCACTGATAAAAGCACTCTTGAATAGACTCTATACGTTGACAAAACGTACAGATTGTATCCCCCACTTATGTTTCGCTTAACAATGAAAGGTGCCGTGTTCAATTTTCGATCCCTTTGTTCTGCTACTCCTGAAAGTTGGGACTATTGTACAATCGTTTTATGTATAGCACTACCGATAGGCCTCTCTGTAGAAGAAGTTCCAAAAAAGAATTAAAAATGCTCCAAATCGTAAAAATACGACGTTTTCGATCTCTTTTTTTTGGCTATCCATGACATTTCAAAAAATGATACAGTGGTTTCACACAACAAGCAATCCATTAGTCTCTAAATTGAGAAAGTTTTTAAAAAATCGTTGGGGACGTTTCCGAGAAACATGCGTCTAAAGTTACTCGAAATCGCAAAATACCTTACTTTTCAAAGTCACATAACTTTTTTATTTTTTGAAGTACCATCTGATAGACAATTCAATTAGCTATTAAACGATATAATACTTTTACTAATCAGCAAAAACACAATTGATACATCGCAATTTCCGCACAGGTACCCATTTTTCAAAATTTTGTCAAAGTTCGGATACATTTCGTGACTACTTCAGGGGTTTCAATTGTTTTCATTTATAGTTTAAGGACTGGATTAGACCTTCGACTTCATATTCCTGAGGTTTCAGAAAAATCGTTTGAGCCGTTTTAAAAAAATAAGAACTCTACGATTTGACCAAAATGCGAAAAAAAGTGAAAAATCAAAGTTAACATTTCAGATATTTTTTTATATCGTTGGAATCGGATCGACGCTAGCTATCTAAAAATGTAATCATAATGTAAAAATTCCAAAAAAGTTTTGAACTACTATCTGCCCAGATATGTAACCAGCTATCCAAAAATGTAAATATCGGAAATATCGGTTGAGAATTCCCAGTTATGACCAGTTTTCGTTTTTCGTATTTAACGTCACTTCCGGTATGCGAACAAATTTCAAAATAGTTTTAAGCAGTAGCTGCACACCACTTTTCCGACAGAAAATCAAATTTCAAACCTCTATCTCTTATAGTTGCTGAGATCTAGCTTCCCCCAATAAAAAAAAATAATATTAATCTTAGTAATAACAATAGTGTAATTGATATAATAACAATTAATGCCTAGCTATAATAGAGCAGTTAATAGACCTGGTCTGTGTTATTTATGATGAAATGAATAAAGATTAGGATGGTCCAATTCGTTATCTTTCATGGTCTAAATCTTGTTTAATATGCTTAAAACAAACGCCGTGACTCGGCGATCATTTACGACCATGGAGACCGCGGCACGATATTTTGCGTTTCCACCACGCTTTTACCGCGCTTATGGCGATCTTGACGCGGATCAAGCATTTTAAACCCATTACGTTTATTTTAAGGTTCTAAAAAATAGAGCCATACACCCATTAAAATTATTAAATAACTAAATACACCCATTAAAATTATTAAATAAAATTATTAAATAACTAAATACACCCATTAAAATTATTAAATAACTAAATATACTGGAATATTTTATAAAAAGATCGGTTGTTTAAAAGAGTTCGATTTGTCAAGTGTCTCATGCAGAAAGCATGTTGTATAAAGGAGCTAAATCGCTAATATTTGGGAACTAGAAATGTAGTAATGTAATATGAATGTATATGAACTGAATGTATATGAACTGATCTACATTCAATCGTTTCCGTTTTTTACTCTAATGTAAATCAAATATGTTCGGCGATTTACGTTCAATCGTTTCTATTTTTACTCTAATTTCAAATCAGTTATCTTCGGCGAAATACGCCATAAGTCTCAATCGAATGGCAATCTCTAGCGTCTGCAACGATGCCGCATAAAGTCAAAGATCTAGAGGAAGATCCAATATCTCATTTTAGCAACTACCATACAGCGATCCCGTTTAGATTCTCTGTGATATAGGGCGATGAATTTGCCTACTAGATATAAGATAACATTCATAATTTATATTAACACAAATAATTCGTCTTTTCAATGTATTATTAACGCTCGATCACCATAAGCTCGAGGTGGCTGACAAGGGAGAGCAGAGTAAACAAACTTTGGGTTATCACGATTTCGAATTTTACGAACAAGTTGATCAGCTGGAGGGCACCAACACGAGCGCAATCAAAATGATGGATCAGTCTGAAAATTATGCACAAAACTTCCAATTTTAATGGCGCCCCAATGGCAACAATTGGAGTTCCTGTAGGATTCCTAACACTTACTACCAAATACAAACCGCAATTTGAATATGTTAAAGCTTCTTGGACTAGTAAAATAATCCCATATTATTAGTGAAAATATTCATAATGTAGATATTCTACAGTTTCTACATTTGACCCCCTAAAGACAAATAGTATGTTATCTAATTTTTAAATTTTGAATAATTTATCTTGGTGAATTAAATCTTATGGAGATAGATATTATATTCAAAGTTTCGAAGGTCTGTAGTTAGACATAAAATATCTATTATCGTAAATGTATTTTATACGTCAAGATCGGTTAACTCCGTATCTGGAAGTTGGATGGCTGGCTGTATCATACGGCCTGTCATTGGGTCAACTGGCGTGGTTTCGCATCCCCGGTTGTACGTGACAAGGAGTATAGTCGCCTGGGTTTTCTCCGGGTTCTCCGGTTTCCTCCCACTGCTAAAGACCCCTACGCGCAAGCGAATTAATGAAATAAAATTAAACCATATATTAGTCCCGAAATGACCTAGTTTGTGTCGAGTGGACGTTAAACCCCATTTCTCTCTCTCTCTCCCGTATCTGGAATGTGTTCCCACTTGTCAGGTGCTATTGTCCTGTAGAACCTATGGTTGTCATAAAAAGAGAATAACTGTCTGGATAATAAGGATATTTATAGATGCATCGTAGAGTTAGAAATGAAATTAAATGAAACGGGGTTAACTTTCTACTTTTCTGCACTGAACGGACTAATGAAGACGGGCATACACCACAGAGTGTGCTATGGGTGAACTTTTGAACGTACAGCGGCGCGACGACCTACTCTTATAATTCCAACTGTCAAGGGTTCTTTTACGTGCATGGCAATGTGTACACAGAACCTATATGTGTTTCGTCTTATCCGAACGACTATCCATTGTCCCATGCTAGGCCCCCAATCTTGCACCACTAACAAGGACCGGAAAAACAGGATGGACTTTAGACGCATTTTAGTGTTCAAGTTGTAAAGTTAAATTGTTTCAATGACATTTGGTAATTGAACTGGAATATACAGGTCACAATTCTATACAATACAATTACTGATTATTACTGAGCGACGTTTCGACTAGGCTTCTCTTGTCGTTATCATTGCATAGAATTGTGACCTGTATGTTAGTAAAGTTACATTACTTTGTCAAGTACAGTATAGTGTAAAATACACCTACGCCTGCACTTTAAATTGTGTATGTGAACTCGACCTGTTCGTATCAAAACATTTTTGTTTGCAATCTGAGTTCATTATCTGTTGTCCTAATCTATTCTAGTTACTGTGTTATCTTTCTCTACATATATATTCACCTATATACCCCGATAAGTTCTTACATACAAATCGTAGAAAGGCCTGGGTGTGGGATATAATCGGTATAAAGATATATAATTAAGCTTTCGGTCAATGTATGGGAGAATTCTCAACCACTCCCAAATGACAAAACGGGATCTGTAGTTAGCAACCCCTGGTCGCCAACATGAATGGGTCACGGAACGAAGTAAGATATTTCGGAATAAATTTCAATATGTCTATTCATTTTATCCTAAAGTAATACCCTTTTATACATAGGATTATAATGAGATATTTTCTCACGTTATTATATCTCATTTACTGGTTGGCAAATTAAGACCACATTCCATGTAATTAGTTAATTAGCCATGTCTATGGTTTAAATATATCGGTTATGTAAAATTATTAAATTACCCAGCTGTTCTGGAATCAGGAACATGTCTGTTTAATGGAATTAAATCACTAGCATACACATTCACATGATACGTGTCCATCAATTGCTCAACGATGTCTTTTTCATGAGCCACAAAAGTTAATCCTCGGCCATATTCACCAGAAAGCATGTAATCCGATTCTCCATACAGATCAATCAGGGGATTTCCCGTTTTAATAGATTCACTTTTTCTAAAATCATCAACAGATATTTGTACCCGTATTTTGCCCTCCAATTTGTCTCTAAGAGATTTAGGAATGAGATCTAATGTTGGTTTATAGTCATTGTTTCCTTCTGGTAAAAATCCTAATTTTTTAACTCCTTCTTGTTCTGGTTCTTTTATAATATGATGTTTGATGCTGTCAGTTTTGAAACTATGTTTCCGGGTGTCAGATTTGAAACCATATATATAAATAAATGTAAGTAAAATGTAAACACTAATTGTTAAAATCCCATAACGAAGCACTATTCGACCGCTTAATCGCATCGTTGTCAATTTTAAAACTGTTCCTAAATAGAAAATATCCGTCCCAGCACACGTTTAATCCATTTGATTAAATTGCGCTAAATTCTTGTTCTATGATCCAAGTCATAACATACACTTGTCCTTTCCATTCAGCGTCAATTGTTATCCACTGGATGTCCCAGACATTCATAACGTAGATAAGGTTGTCACGCGATTAAATTTTTTATCAGTAATAAGTAATCCATAACTGTTACAATACGGAGGCAATCGAGGGACAAATTGTCAGCTGTAGAAGTGAACATTACGCTTGGTAATTCTACTCTAGAATCGTGTCAAAGCGTCCTGGTAGGGAACATAAATATATTTTAACCGTATCTCTTGATCTAGTACTGCCACTTACAGTTGTTTATGTATAATTTAAAACATATTGGAATATTTCTTAAAACAAAAATGTGAGTGCATTGTATAACAACATCTACGGAGCCCCAGAAGGGCAGTGTTAATTTAAAAGTTATGTCTTTTCTGCAATTATTTAAAGAGGTATTAGGTAAAATTCGGTAAATAGCTGACAGTTTTCGCTATAATAGTTAAGAATATATAAAGAAAACAGAATATGCTGAAAATTGCTTCACTCTGAACCGAGATTTTAGCGATTCAATTTTTAAATAGCCTCGATTGTCATTACTACAGTTGGTAAGATAATAAGCAAAGTCTCGATTGTCAATTTTTACGTTCAATCATCCATCATGTCGGAAGCTCAAATACGAACTATTTTTTTTTTTATATATATATATTTATTTTTTCAATTGAGGATGTCGGGGGTGTGGTGTGGCGTGGTGATTGAATTCTTATACTACTTTTATAGAGATAGACGAGTAGAAAAGGGCAGATGAAAATGGTGCTTAATGTTCTCGCCCATATTCCTGAAGCAATGGCCCGAGAAATCCCTCTCTGGCCATTGTTGCCGAAATATGCAGGATATTACGTGAATAAGATGTGCGGCGTTAAAGCGCGTCCAGTCAACACTTAACAGGGGGTGGCGGGTAGGAGAGAGGAAGATGAAGATAAAGAGGAAGAGGGGGACGAAGGGAGAGAGGAAGAAAAAGAAACAGTATGGCTTCCACGCAATATTTAACAACTGCACCCCAATGTGAACACATGACCTTATTTTTTTTTCTCCCGTCAGAACAAATATATTTTATCCTTTGCCAAAACCTCTGTCCGTCACCACTGTAAATTCCAATGAACTTTCTCGGACAACACTGGTTCTTATGGCCATAAAACCTTAAAAGTAATTTTTATTGTTCATTTTAATTTTAATATTATTTTTTCATTTTTCGTCTCGTTATTAATTATATTCATGATTTTTTTATTAACCACAGAGTCACGTGACTCTTATTTTCCCGCTAAAAGAAAACCACACCATGCAATTGTAAGGCAGTGGCTATTTGCCACATGTGGTAAGCAAGAATTTCAAAATAGCCTTACGACTACAGACCGCAATTGTTACACGGAGTTTCGATTTCCCGGTTGTAGGGAGTAGGGTCGCCTGTAAAACCTAATGGGTTTTCTCCGGGTCCTCCGGTTTCCTCCCACTACTAAAGCCCCGCAAGCGAATTACTGAAATAAAATTGAACCATGTGTTAGTCCCGGAATGACCTAGTTTATGTCGAGTGGACGTTACACCCATCTCTCCCTCTCTCTCTCTCTCTCTCTCTCTCAAATACCAAGAAATTGGCAATTTTAAACAATCGTAGGCCTACAAAGATGTATTTTATAGACATTAGAAATGAAGTGAGTTTAGACTTTTTTCTTTTTTTTTAGGTTTTTTTTGTCTATTAATTATTTGAAAATGGTAAAATTTATACTTTAATCATATGGTAATATAAAATAGTAACAAGAAGTTTGGTTTACTGGGGTTTTGAGGATTTATTTGACCTTGGGGTTTTAATTTGGTGCGTCATCTAATTGCTTATATTGCCTAGAATAAAATAAACGGGTGGGCCGCGGCTATATTTCCTATCGATGTTTGGGGAGGAGGAGGAGGGGGGGTTGGATGGCCGAATGGTAAGCACGTACGCGCTGTATCACAAGGCCTGTCATTGAGTCAACTTGCATGGTTTCGAATCGCCGGTCGTACGTGACAAGGAGTAGGGTCGCCTGTCCAAGCTCGTGGGGTTTTTCCGGGTCCCGCGGTTTCCTCCCACTGCTAAATACCCCTACGCGCAAATGAATTATTGAAATAAAATTAAACCACATGTTCTTCCCGAAATGACCTAGTTTGTGTCGAGTGGATGTTAAACCCCATTTCTCTCTCTATCGATGTTTGTTAATGTCGTGATTTTAAGTTAGGAGAGGGTGACGGCTGTCCTAAGTTAAAATTGATTTTAGTTAAAATTGTCTCAAAAATAGTTTTGTGAAACGTTACTATTTTACGTTGAGATAAAATTTTAACTTACAATATCATCTTAGTGGATTTTATCTAAAATGCTTAAAATCGTTTTGTGAAACGCATCTATCTTAGGTTAGGATGGAATTTTAGTTTAAGATTATTATAAGGAGATCTAAGTTTTTGTGAAACAGGGCCCTGATTTTTTGTATTCAGTTTTAGTTTTTCTCTGATTTATATAAATAATATGTCCTAACTTTGTAATTAATACACGCGCTTATGTTTTGATTCCTAACTTTTGATTACTACACAGGCCATTTAGATTTTACATGGTTTTTTTTTTACTACATTTAACGTAAATGATAACTCGTAAAGGTATTAGTTTTTCCTATTTATATTTCATGTAGCACATAGCCGATTATTACTCACAATATTATTATACAACGTTTGGGAAATATTCCTTATTGTATGTCTGTTTTTCATTTTGAGTAAGGGGGTTGGGTGGCCGAATGGTTAGCGCGTGCGCGCTGTATCATAAGGTCTGTAATTGAGTCAACTGGTGTGGTTTTGATTCCCCGGTTGTACCGTAACAAGGAGTAGCGTTGCCTGTCCAACCCCTTGGGGTTTTCTCCGCTTCCTCCGGTTTCCTCCAACTGCTAAAGACCCCAACGCACAAGCGAATTATTGAAATAAAATTGAACCATGTTAGTCCCGACTGGACCTAGGTTTGTGTCGAGTGGACGTTACCCCCCCCCCCCTCTCTCTCTCTCTCTCTCTCTCTCTCTCTCTCATTTTTTGTAAAGTATTGGACTGGCCGTGTATAACGTTTTTGTTCTTTGCACGTGTATGTGCTTATGTTAGGTATTTAAAGATCAACCTATGTGAATTCTGCCCTCTTATCCTTTAGTATAGATCATTATACTGTATATTATTATAATACATATTGCTTATTTAACCTGAGACTGTATGTATAATACGTCCAATAGCTTGTTTTACCCGTGACTGTGTGATTTGTATTGTTGTTGGTAGCTCCAAGGACCCTTTTATCTGGAATTGGTGAATATTTGGTGAAAATTTGAATTCTTAGAAAATTGTTTAAAATACGACACATCAAAAATATTCAAACTTTTATCTTGGTAGAAACATTTGACGTGGATTCATTTAATAATAAATTTTACATGGCTTGCAATTGGTTTTGTTTATTTGAACATATTTCGCCATCCAGGGAGTTATTGCATGACAGATGTCTCGAAAACAATACATTTCTAACCAATATTAAAACAGTTGTTTTGCACACGTAGCATTAATTCAGCAATTATGGAAAAATTCCTATTGATTGAACATGAATCACAGCATAGGCGTAGGGGGGGGGGGGCAATTTAAGTTGGGCGTGTGTGATTTAATTACTAAAAAAAATCTTTGTCACCCGAATTTTCAGAATGCATCAATCATTAAATAATATGGCATAATGGTCTCACACATTGAGTACCGCCCACCCCCCCCACCCCCCACCACCCCCACCCAACCCAACCACGATTGCAACGCCTATGAATTATTGAAATAGTTAATCGATGATAATGTCGAATCAGTGAATATTTTATTTAAACCTCAAAATAAACTTACCAAAAAAAAAGAGAGAAGATTGTGAAAAAAATTTTCCACGTCTTTGATTTATCATGTGCTCAGCTGTATTGATTTTCTCGTGTGTTTTTATGTTTTATTGTTTACATAAATAAATATATATGGAGTTTAATCGGGGTAATGTATCCAATCACCCCGTAGAATCGAAAAATGGTTAATATATCAAAGTAGTAGTAGTTTGATGAAATATCGGCAATATACCACGTCTAATGATCGCAATATTTGATGATAAGCCTACTTACTTACTTGAACTTCTGTGTTAAACATCTTATACTTAGAACGAAATCTGCATATTATATAAACTTGGTCAAAGTCATCTAAGCCTATTGGACCGTCGTAATTAAACAAATATATATTGTTTTTAGAAATGATTTGAAGTCGGTAATACATTACAAGCTTCACATACACCGTACAATAGTAGTGGCATTTAGCAATACGTTTTCTTTAAAGAGAAGACTTCCCACGTTATTTGTCCTAACATTTAATAATAATAATAATCAATTTGTATAGCGCTGAGTGTTCCAGCTAATAAGACAAAGTGATGTAAAGGGTTAGGGTTATGTCACTTCCGGCAACAATGAAACCGTTAAACATGTTTCCACATAAGCATTGCACGCGTGTTACAAAATAGACAGAGAATCATCCAAATCCAAGGACATCAATTCCATTTATACATTTGTTACCATGTGTTACATAATATGCTAAAAAGTGATCCCGGTCAAAATTGTAAAATTTCGCAAAATTACGTCACTTCCGGTGGCGACAGAAAACATTATCGGTAACAAAAAAGTTACCGATTTGCACCATGAAACATATGAACTTTGTATTATACATATCGGGGAATAAATAATTAACCTAGAACCAATAAACTGAAATTAATAAGGCAAAACAATCTTTAAAAAAAGATCCTGACAAAAGTGGTTATTTATCGACAATCTATATGTCCATTGGAATAAAATATCATAATGTTAAACGAATGCTAAATATAATTCACTTCAAAATATATTTGTTTTGAAAGCCGAAAATACAGGGTTTTTTTGCCAAAATGACATTACTTCCGGTGAGAATGAAAATGTAAAATTAGATTTATGAAATCAGAAACGTCATATGGCATCACATGGTGAACATTTTATAAAAATCGAATAATACTTGACAACTTTATAGACCAAAAACCTTGAAAAGTGACTCGTAGAAAATCGTCTTTTTCTCTGCAACCGTACAAGTTAGAAATCATTTTGTGGTATCTGCATATGGGTTCATTCTATTTGT